AAATGCAGCTTTATTTCTTTCAAGTACAAACAATAACTTGGGCTTGGCCGAACCAAATGTTGCCTGATCAAGGGAACCTGCTTTCATGTATGGAGATAAATGATTTCTAGTTAGCACAATCATTCACAGGTGGAAGAATGCTTCTGTGACGCATGAAAATAACTTCTCATCTTATATAGAGACATCTTGTTCCACAGTCACTCCACTATTGGCTTAAGCAATCCCTTCTCCCCTGCCCACCCACCCCAGAGAGTGCCAATATAAACTTCACCTCACTCCCCCGAGATCACAACGTACATCAAATAAGTGAAACAGAAGTTCCATGCTGCCATAGGTGTTGGATTGGTGAGAACAGCCTGTTTCAACCTGAGCATTCTCATCAAGAGAACTAAGTCTAAATGAATGAAATGTGTCTGTTCACAATGTCAGTATATGGACACCAACAGCAGTGAGCTTTTACCATCTGAATTAGTAATTGGCCAGGTTTAAATATGCAAAAACACATTTTTATTTGAGTACATTCATGAAGAGCAGAAGTTAGCTGGGTTTCTTAAGCTGCAATCATTAAGTATGTTCACACTAGTCAAGACTGTAATACAAGTTTTAAGCAACTGGGGGAGACTGGATATACACGGGAACGACTTGATAGCAAAACACCTTTTTGCACTGAGCACGGTCACTCAGTCTCATCAGGCTGAAAGGAGTGGTACAAAGGTAACTGGTAATCCATCTGATGATTTATCCCGAAAGAAATTCCATTTCCTAGAGTAAGTGCAGGGAGCCGCAGATCAGGACACAGAGGTGGCTGGCAGGCACTTCTGTCAGGAATGCTAACCTGGCCCCTCTGTCAGACACTCTATCTAGGGACTGCAGAATTCTCAAGAGGCATAAGCAGGTAGGACGGACCTGGGGCCTCTCCCCTACGCTGACAACCCTATGGCGCTGAAGGAAAGCGGAGTGCGCGCCCTGGTGCAGGCTGCCTCCCAGGACAGCAGTCTTACTACACGTTTCCCTATAGACAGCGGCAAGTGGTTCGGATGCCAGGGCCCCGCAGAGGCCCAGACGAGGAGGCGTGGAGAGCCAGGAGCAAGATGGTGGGGAGACCCACCTCTAGGCGCCCCAGAAGTCGGGGCAACAACCACGGCTTCAGGGGTTGGCTGGGTTTGCCAAAGCAACGCATCAAGCTGGGATCCTCTCCTTAGCCGCTTCTGTTCAGCTGAAACGCCTCACCTGACAGAAACGATTTCTTCATGACTAACATAATACTGTTTGCAAAAGTATTTCTTTTCTCCCTAAGATGTTTTACAAATGCAGAGCACTAAACATTCTCCTGAGAGCAAATACTAGCATGATCACGTGATCCTCACTCATGTTTTCCTGAGCATTCCCAACGGCCAGAACAGAGTAACTTTGAACTAGGAAAAAGGAAGTGCACACCTTAAAACTGAATAGCAACATTCCCTTTCCTCCACTTAAAAGCTATTCAAACATGTGTACTTCCTGTGGGACTTGTTCAAAGTCAAGCCCCTCCCCTGGAGGAAGTCTTTCTTCCTACTTCTCCGAAAGGTCTAAGATGTCAGGTGAAACCCAGCTGTTGACATCATTTATTATATTCTTCAAATAATGGGGTTTGCTGGGGGGAACCAGCTTCCTTTGGAATGGGAACCAAGTCTGCTGAAACCTCACACCCCCTCAGCTTTCTCGGACCCCATCCTCTCCCCAGAGCCCCAAGTTCTTATGAGTCCCTCCAGAGACCTGAGCAGACAGCCACCCCAGCTTCTACCACACCAGGGTTACCGGAGAAATCCAATGCTCCGGAAGAAAGATGGAGTCTATCTGTTCATGACCTAAGAATTTTTCAGAAATGAGAATACTCACAAAAGAAGAGGCAAAGGCAAATCCCTAGCCTCTGAGCTACGGAAGCAGAAGTCAGTGTCCGGGAAAGAGTGCCCCCAACTCTGTGAAAGGAGCCTGATTTACCCCTGCCCACTGCGCTCACCAACTCCCCACCTCGCTTTATTTTTTTCCAAAGGATGAGTCGGTTTTCCATTTTTATAGAAGCTGTTGTTGTTGAATCACTAAGTCGTGTCCAACTCTTTGCCACGCCATGGACTGCAGCACGCCAGGCTCCTCCTCTGTCCTCCACTATCTCCCAGAGTTTGCTCAAATTCATGTCCACTGAGTCAGTGATGCTATCAAACTATCTCTTCAGCCCCCTTCTCTTTTTGCCTTCAATCTTTCTCAACATCAGGGTCTTCTCTTAATGAGTTGCCTCTTTGCATCAGGTGGCCAAAGTATTGGAGCCTCAGCTTCAGGATCAGTCCTTCCAGTGAATATTCAGGGTTGATTTCCTTTAGGACTGATTGATCTCCTGGCTGTCCAAGGGACTTCAAGAGTCTTCTCCATCACCACAAGTCAAAAGCATTCGTTCTCTGGTGCTCAGCCTTATTTAAGGTCCAGCTCTCACATCTGTGCCTGACCACTGGAAAAACCATGGCTCTGGCTCTATGGACCGCAACACTGTATGAAGAGGGATGAAGGCAGGACTCCGAGCACTGCGGTCAAAATCAGCTGCACCACCTCGATGATAACTTTGGTATTCTCCACTGAAAACTGAAAGGAGATGTGCCATACAAGCTTTAGGTCTGTCACTTCTAAGTTTTCCCCACAGATGACTATATAATCGCGTGGTCTTTAAAGCGATTGGATGTATGTCGGAAGGTGAGGTGGGACTATGGATGGTCATTCGATCTGTGATCTCAGTTTCATGTTCCAGGTGGATGAAAATAAGAAGAGTCACTTCCCCTCACCGTGGCCCAAAGCCTCCGGAGGTTCCTGAGAAATAGATTCCAGCTTTGAACCTAGTCCCATTCCTTAAAAGGACCCAGCAGCGCTCACCCACAGAAATCAATGTGAGATGGATTTGGGGTATGAAGATCTTGTTCTTTCACCTGATTTCCTCAGAGTCTCGGCATGGATCTTAGCTAAATCCATCCTTGGGACCAACCGTCAGTTCTCATAAACCCTGACTTTGCAGCATTCGGAGGTCTGTTGTCAGGCTCTAGGGTGACAGGATTTGGGAGTGCACTGTCCCCCCTGTAGTTTGAATCATTCTCAGCTCTGCCAGCAACCCTTTTCCTACCTGAAAAATGGGTTAATATCAAAGTTAACAAGAAGAAAGAATCCCTCATATTCCCAGGCAGGGCTCCCACTCAGGCTCCAGCTCTTAAATTCATCTTCTCACTATTAATACTTTCCTGGAGGTCCGTGACTGAAAGGCCCCCCCCCACTCCTCTGTCACACAACTGGGAACTCTTGAATTCTTCCCAACACTTGTTCCCTAGACTTTCTCCCTAATGTTTGTGACAATTACATTAAAACACCGCCACTGTAGAACCACAGCCTCGTCTACTCTGCAGGAATGAGAAGGTGGGGAATGTGAACTGGCAGCCTGTAGACTCGCTTCATTTATTAGCCCACTGCATTTCACATTATCTCCAAGTCATTGTCCACATTTTTAAAATTAGGGAATTACAAACACAATTCTGGAGGCCTACCTCCACCTGACACATCAGAAGGCATGTGCAACGCTGGGCTTACTCCTGCCTGGCACTCGGGGCTCTGAAACTGCCCCATCAGAGGAGCTTCCCCTGGTACAGCTCCATCCTGCCCAGAGGGCTGCACTCACCTATGCTCTCTGCATGGCTCCCTGGGCCTGTGAGTTTGCAAACCCCAATCTAGCGCAAGTCCTTCATTTTCAACAGAAAGTTAGCCTGCCTGAGGCTACCCATCAAGAGAGAGACAGTGGAGGAAGGAGAGTCAGGGTCAGAGATCTTTCTCTCTGAGCTGGCACACCCTGCCTCTTCAGAGAACCCCAACTCCTCTCAGCACTTCTTCCACCAACTGCGTACAGTTTTTAAAGCAGACTATATTAACATTTTCCACATTCCCTTTTATCCATTCTTTTTTTTTGCATGTTTGATTTCCTTATAGATGACAACTCTGTATCAGTGATTTCATTTATAGACGATCTCCAAGATCATCATGCCAAGAAACAACGAATTAGCAATCGGACAAAACTGAAGCATCAACTTTTGCACAGCTCAGCAGACACAGGACCAGAAAGAATCCCAGAAATAAATGACAGCCTAACAACTAGCTATACAGACAGAGAAAACGGGGCCAGAGAACTGCACTCCTGGGCTGCTGGGCTCCTAGGGAACAGAGCCAGGCTTCAGTCTGCCAGCTTGGCGCCTTCCACTGAACTGTGTCCCCTCTATGCAGTCATGGAGGTGGCAGGTGACCCAGCCAGCTTGTTCCACAGAAACAAAGACTAGAGAACTTCGTGCATCTCAGACACAGCCGACCTTGGCTCTGACAAGAACGAGGGCTTAAAACGTGTCACAAACCATCAATCTATAGAAGTGGATTTGCACTGAAGACACATTTTCTTTAGAAGTGGTATTTGGTGGAGAGCATGAATGTCACAGAACTCGGTGGTCTTTATAACACGGGTCGTTATAAAAGCTAAGCCCCATGTGAGAAAAGTTGCTGTAACAACATCATAGCACCTTTGCTTCAATTTCAAAAGAGAAAAAGGCAATGGTAAAAAGCTTTAATAATAGACTGTGTTTTTACAGGCAACCAATTAGCAGATTAATGAGCCATTTAAATTTCTTTACTTAAAACCAATATTCAAGAAAGATGAACCCCAGATGCAGCCTCTCACACTGACCCACATAACTAAGGACAAATAAACGATGAACCCCAGATGCAGCCTCTCACACTGACCCACAAACTAGGAACACATGAAGCCAACGGTGCACCCCGTCAGCGTGCTGCGGTGTGTGTCCACAAGATGAGCCCCCCGCCCCGAGCCCTGCCCCCGGCAAACAGATACATGATTGTGCACTGCGCGATGATACCATGAGGTGAGAACTTTGGTTCATGCAGTTGGCTGCCAGAGGCTGCACTCCAAAGCCGCAGCCCCGGCGCCGAAATCAGCCGTGCTCCTTCCACAGCACCAGGTGGATGCTGTGGTCGGGCATGCTGGTGGCGAAGACCAGGCCCGTGTCGTTGTGCCCGTCCAGTCCATTCAGCCAGGACGCTTCACCTGCCAGGAAGCTGGAGCCCCTCTTGGATTTCCTGTACTCGGGGAGAGGCCAGCGGCTCATCAGGCTCTCTGTCCGCAGGTCCAGGATGTACAGGTACCGGTTGTCAAACAGCAGGGCGAAGACGTCCCCAAAGCCAAGCAGCGCCAGGTTCGCCATCTCAGGAGTCCGGATGACCCTGCGAGGGCGAGAGCGGAGATGCGTGAGCCAGCATGGGGGCAGGGTGCGCCTGTTCACGCACAGCTTATGTCGTCTTTTCTGCAGACACTGAAAACCAACACGGGGCTTTTCTGCCGGTCCAACGCTGAGGGCGCCACGGCAGGTGGCACAGGTTCGATACTCAGTTGGGGAAGTAAGACCCTCCATCCCGTGAGCAGTGCAGTCAAAGAAAAAAACCAATACAAAATTCAAGCAAATTTAAAACTAAATGAAACGTTCTTATAAAAAGGAAATTATGAGGACATAAAGCTCACCCTATTTTGGAAAAAAGGTGTGGGAAAAGAACCCTTCATAAGAACATAACACAGGCATATAAGGAAATGAACATTTATAAAAGCATAAAATGCCCATCTAAGCTGGAAAGGATCTTTCAGATTATGTCATTTAATATTTTCATTTCTAAGATGTGAAAACTAAAGAGCAGCCAGGGTAAATACTCTGGCTAAGGATTTACAACTAGCTAGGTACTAGTCAGAGGAGAGTCTGATACTCAATTCTTACCGCGGGGCAGAAACTGCTATGTATCAGCCCTTGCTTCCTGAAGCCCTCAGATGCCAGAATCTGAGGGTGCTCCAGTCCCTTAGCTACAACGGCGCAGCTCGGCCAGCCCTCCCCGCTCACAGACGCAGAGCACACGGGTGTGGAGCGTGACTGCACTGGCTGAGGGGAACCCCCCACGCTCAGAAAGAGGACGGAAAATCAAGGGATTTGGTGCTGCTCTGCTCTGCAGGTGGCAAACAGGTTCCGCTCAAAATAGTCTAGAGGCTGAAAATATAAAGTTTCCCAAATAATTCGGAAACATTCAATAACAGCAGATTCGTAGTAAGTTAGAGAAAACTGGGAGAGTAGGGAGGACGGCTTTAAGCTTCTCAGGTTGGCAGGTCACGGAACTCTGATGACAGAGGCATGGCAGGGAGAGACCCTGCTAAAGAGGAACACGGAACAGCTCTCAGTCTCTGCACACTCAGTAAGGGGAACCGTCACTGTTCTCTCCGGAAGCCTGCGAGAAGAGCGACAGGACAGAGATATTCAAATTCTGTGGTGACTGTATGCTTGAGCCCAGGTGACAGCCCAGTTAGCGCTACATCCTAACAAGGACACCACCAACTAGGGTGTGCAAGATGTTAGCAGAGGGGACAGGGCCTGGTAACCAGGACCACCGCGGGACAGCTGAAGAGTGTGAGCTGGAGACGGTGAGAGAAACACCACAATCCTCACCTTTCAAGAGTGAGGGATGTGTGAGAGGCCCCGCACGAGGGGCCCCAGCAGCAGAGAGCTCAAAGGGAAAGAGCAGGACACAGAACCAGACTCCAGTCTGGGACCAGGAAGGGAGGGGGACTCAGCACGAAGACAAAGATCTGTCCCTCACACTCGTCAGGTCCAAAACTAAACTTCGCAGCCAGACCGGTTTCTCTTCGTCTCCCTGCTTGCTCACTCAACCAACCACTCAAGACAGGAGACGTGGCAGCCATCCAACCCTAAAACCATAAATCCAATCACCAAGGTCTATTGGTTTTATCTCAATTTTCCTTTGACCTGAACGGCCACAGTTCTAATCTAGGACATCACCTGCTGCCTGCACTACTGCCCAGGGTTTTCAACTGGTCTCCCCACTCTGCTCTTGGACGCTGTCAATCATTTAACCTCACACTTAAATTTACACCTGTTACCACCTGACTCAAACTGAACCCCTCCCGTGGCTCTCCACTGCACTCCCATCCACCACACTGGCCTTCTTTCAGTTACTCCAGCGCACCGGGCTCCCGTGGGCTCAGGGCCTCTCAGCAGACTGCATGCTCGGGCCGCCATGTTCCTCACCTCACACCTGCACCCCCAGCAGTTAGCTACATGCATCTCCTCACCCCTTACAGCCTGGCCTGACCCTCCTCCTCAAAGCTCTCCTTTACTTCTCAGACTAGGTCTCAGAGTACCCCATTCCACGCTGCTCTTCTCCCAACCATTAACACATCTGCATGTAGTCAGCTGTTTAATGTCAGCCTTCCCTGTTCTGTCATGTCTACAAGTTTGGTAAGTACTTCTGCTGGTTCCCAGCGTACATCACGGTGCCTGACACACAGCTTAGATAAGTAAGTATCTGCTAGTGACTACAGCAGTGGTGCGGTGAGCACGGGAAAACATAAATTCCTACAAGACAGAGTCAAAGAAGACCAGGGAAAGCAGGAGAGTCTAGTATAAGTCCCACATCACTGATACAAGCAGAAAATGACCAGAAACTTAGAAAACTGAGTGGCTAGGGGAACAGACTTGAGGCTGGGAAGGATGAAAGTGAAAGTCACTCAATTGTGTGGGACTCTTTGCAACCCCATGGACTACACGGTCCATGGAATTCTACAGGCCAGAACACTGGAGTGGGTAGCCGTCTTCCCAACCCAGGGATCAAACCCAGGTCTCCCACATTGCAGATGGATTTTTTATCAGCTGAGCCACAAAGGAAGCCCAAGAATCCTGGAGTGGGTAGCCTATCCCTTCTCCAGGGGATCTTCCCAACCCAGAAAATTGAACCAGAGTCTCCTGCATTGCAGGCGGATTCTTTGCCAGCTAAGGTACTAGGGAAGCTCTACACTGATTTCAAAAACTCAAGCGCAAACATGCTGCAGGACTGAACACAGGTCTTGACAGGCTCACAGCACCCTGGACTTTGATTACTTTAGGACTGCAAACAGACATCCCTGCAGTGCAGCCTGCGCCCGTGAACCTGCACACCGCTGCCTGCTACACCGAGATAACCTCGCTCAACACACCACACCGCATCCTAGCTTTCACAGAGCAACGCGCTGCTGTTGCCGCTTTCTGTCTTTTCAGTTAGCATCAAAGCGTAAGGAGCACAACCGAGTACTGGCAACTGAGGCCACAGTCACATAACTGTTCAACCCCTTGAAGAGAGACTGTTTTATTCATGTGAGGAAGAGGGGGGAAGTAAGAGGTAAAATATCCCCTTTTCAAAAAAAAAAAAAATCTGAACTTAGCACTTGCAAGCAGCAAACAATTGTGCAAGTTTATTGGTTACAGTTAGCATATCCAAACAGCAAAAACTAACAGAACTTCTCATCTGGAATTTGGACTCCACCTGCTATTCTGAGTAAGAGGCACACAGGAGAAAAGCAGGCGTAGGATCAAATGAAACCTTTAGAGACTCTAAGCATTAAGAAGATTACGACAACCTTTCTTCCACCCTGCCTCAGCACCCCTCTCTTCCAAACTTTAATTCAAACAAAAGCATTAGTAAACTAGCAAAGATCTGGTTTTCCCAGGGTGACTACAGTCGTATCTGGGGAAAGTGGTTGCGGAGCCCGCGCAGATACCAAAATGCATGGCTGCTCAAGTCCTTCGCGCAGAATGTTGCCATATCTGCATATAACCTATACACATCCTCCCATGTGCTCAAATCATCTCCAGGTTACTTGTACCTAAGACAATGTAAATACTATGAAAATAGCTGCTGATGCACAGCAAATTCAAAATTTTGCTTTTTGGAACTTTCTGAAAATTAAAAAAAATCTTCCATCCTCAGTTGGTTGATTCTGTGGGTGCAAAAGCCATGGCCAACTGTACTTGAATTTCTTACTTTGCAAAGAATCAAGTTCTTTCAAAAGTTCCTTCTCTCTGGCTTGCTGCTACCGTGGGCACATGTCTGCTGGATGATCCAGCCATGGATGGATGGACGGATGGATGGGTAGGTGGGTGCTGGGCTAGGGGAGTTGTGAGATGTTTGGCCAGGCCCCTAACCTCTCTCAGCTTCAGTTCCCCAACCTGTAAAATGAAGAGCTTGAACTAATGTTTTCTAGGATCTGTTCTAGTCTGTTTTGTCTGCATGCAGTTATCAATTATTTCTAGAAACTATACTGAGAGCTTGGAAATCTAAATGGTTAGAAATGCAGATCTGAGAAAAACAAACAAACAAACAGTAGTAGTGTATGTCTGACTCCAGGAAGACAATAATGAAACTGTAACTTTACAACCAAAGATGGGTTGTCAGCTGCTGGCCAACAGGATCAGATCCGAGTTGACCTCTAAACAGTCACACATAAAAACAATGAAGATAAAATGTTCAGTTTCTGTCTCCAGGCAGTCCCTTCTGAAGCACACTATGGAACACTAATTCTGTGAGCTGTCAACAGGTACTCCTCCAAGCAAGGGCACCAGGCACAGTGTGTGTGAAGTCACAGGTGTCTTTATGCAGCAGGACTTCTCAGATGTATTGACGATACAGACTGTCAGGTCCTGAGCTAGATCCTCATTCAGTTCGGTCGCTCAGTCTTGTCAGACTCTTTGCGACCCATGGACTGCAGCACGCCAGGCTTCCCTGTCCATCACCCACTCCCGGAGTTTACTCAAACTCATGTCCAGCCAGTCGGTGATGCCATCCAACCACCTCATCCTCTGTCGTCCCCTTCTTCTCCCGTCTTCAATATTTCCCAGCATCAGGGTCTGTTCCAATGAGTCAGTTCTTTCTATCATGTTGCCAAAGTATTGGAGCTTGAGATTGACCTTCAGCATCAGTCCTTCCAATTAATATTCAGGACTGATTTAATTTAGGACTGATCCTCATTAGAAGCAATTAATTTAATCTCTACAGGTGAGAAAATTCAGGCACAGAGGGTTAAAAAACTTACATAAAATCACCCAGTTCATAAAAAACAGAACTAGGTCTTAAAGCAAGGTTTATCTATCACCAAAGTAAGTTCTCTTAAACACCATAAAGCACTGGTTTCTCGCAGCCTCCAATATGCTACCAGATACTGCCATCTCCAAGAGGGGTCTATGGTATGCAGTGAATCACAAAACTGTCTATAGGCCTCTATTTTGTTGGAGAGAAAGCCTGCTAGCTGTAACCTTCTCTAAGTACCTCTGTCTTTCTACTAGTCAACAGAAGGTCACTTGATCCCTCAAAGCACAGCTTCAAATGACCAGGAAGTAGAACTTAAAATATTACAACTAGAGGAAATGTGAAAGATCTTTCCATCCAAACTCTTCATTTTCCAGAAAAACTGGCAGGAGAATCCAGACATTCTGAAAGGGGAAATTAACTCAGAGTTAAGAAGTGGGGCTGGGCTTGTCCGGTGGTGCAGTGGCAAAGAATCCACCTGCCAATGCAGAAGACTCAAGAGACATGGGTCTGATCCCTGGGTTGGGAAGATCCCTTAGAGGAGGAAATGACAACCCACTCCAGTATTCCTGCCTGGAGAATTCCATGGACAGAGGAGCCTGGTGGGCTATGGTCCATGGGGTCTCAAAGAGTCAGATGTGACTGGGCAGATAGCACATAAGAAGAGGAATTAGAAGCTAGAGTCTCTACATTCTAACATATAACTCTTTCTAATTTAATTACTGCCTTTGAAATATTTTTGTGTGAGATTTAGCACAGAATCATTCACAGCTGTTGTGAGTAAACATTTCCCCAAAGCAAGTTATTAACTAGTTTATCCAAATACTGTTCTGTCTTTATTATTAAACTGCAACAGACTGTTAACGGTAAAGGCCCAAGGAAATATTACCTGAGGATATCATAACTGGCGAAGTCCCACTGGTAGAGGCCCAGTGCCGAACTACAGACAATGTATTTGCCATCAAAATGAAGTCTTGGCTGCAGGCAGATACTTCTATCCTCAGAGACAGACAATGTCTTTAAGCACTTACAGTTAATTTCTCTCCCAATTGGCCAAATCTACAGAAAAAGGAAAATTAGGAAAGATGATAGATCACATCACCATAGAAAAACCTGTTTTTAAACAATGTGGCTTGTGTTTGCTTAAGTCAGAAACAAAGTGGAGTAAACTGCAACTTGCAAATTAAAAATCTATAATTTATATGCTCCCCTGCCTCCCCCTTCAAGCTTCATATAACCCTGGTTATCATAAATGTTTGCCAGTAGCATAGTGAAGTTTTTAAAAAGTCAAGTGTTACTGCATTGTAGCTTTTTTGAAATCTAAGTTTAACTTTTTCCGAGTTACCTGTCTTATTTATAAGACCAAACAAGTTTCTTATCTTTCATGAGAACAGTGCCAAGTATCAAACATTTTGATTAGCCTTCAGCTCAGGTTTTAATTTCTATTAAATGCTAACAATTCTTCTGATTTGTTTTTGTATCTTTCATAATCATATCTGATCCTGCTGTATTAATGACAGTTACCCATAAAAAATTTTTTTAAAAGGGTATTTTGCATATTACTACCTTCTGTTTATTTTTCTCCTGGGAAGTTGCTTTGATGATATAGGCAGCATCTAAAATCACAGCCTTGGGAGAATCACTTGCTTTGCCTGTCTTTGATTGCCTCAAATTGAACTTTGCCTCCCTCATGGCCTTCTATTTGAGTGCCAAGTCATGGAAGATGGCTTTGTCAACAGCAGTTTGATCCAATAGGATATTCACAGTGTTGTGGAGTACAGGCATGCCTTAGAGTACCACAATAAAGCAAATATCACACACACACAAAAAAAAGTGGAGTAAACTGGAGACCACAGGCTGACCGCTGAGACATGGGTTCAAATTCTTATTTGGTACCTATGTGTTGTGTAATCTCAGGTAAAATATTCAACCTCTTCTGAACCCGAGTTCCTGCAGTGAAGATAGTTAGTGCCTACCACATGGAATGTTTTAGAAGATGCAATAAAAGTATAAGTCAGAGTGCTCTGTAAACTTCTTGCAAATTGCTTTTATTATTATACAAATAAATGTTTATGTTTTCATACTTCAGATCTAAGAATGGAGAAGGGTAGCAGATGTATGTCTTAAGAAAATGGTAAGAATGCATTGAAGATAAATTTCTGTGGATTTTTTTTTTCCCCTTCATTTATAAATCAGAGTTAGAAACTGCCTAGAACATGGAGAAAATGAATTAAGTCTCTTTCCAATGGGTTTAAGAGGGCTTAGACTGAAGACATTCCTACCTCCCTTGAAATATTTCCCTGTGCCATACTCTTTCATGAAGCAAATTAATCAAGGAAAAAAAAACCTCACCTTGATCTCATATTTGTCTGCACTTAAGAGGATGTAGTCTCCAGGGCTGTGCAAGAGAGACTTGACTTTGCACTTCTGCAAGACGACCTAGAAATAATACATACCCATGTTACAGAAAGACCCTTTTAGTACTATATACATCCCTTTTAAGTAAAATATGAAAAAAGGCTCAAAATGATATGGTATGTGGGTAATCTATAACTCTACGTTATCTGTAACTCAAGTTAACCTTTACTAAGAGTTTTATTATAACGAGATTCTCTAGGCTATCAGCAAGATCTAAAAGTGTCTAATATTGGCAGCATTTACTCTTAGCTTTGGTCTGGAAGCAAACATTAGGACTGATTTTTAAAATCATAAAATGATAAAGAATAGGAAAGAAAAAAATCCATATACATAATAGGTACAAATGACTTGTTTTCATAAGTACGTGTGTCATAAGGAGAAAAGACATTCTACTTGTGACCAGAATCTGTCATATAATGACTTTGCAACCTTGGGCGGGACCATCTAAATTCTTCATCTCTGTTTCCTCATCTTTAAAAACGGGGGTTGGGGCACCTATTATCTCAGATAATCGCACTGAAAATGAAATAAAACAATGAAAATAAAGGTAATAGAAGTAAAATCCCATGAGCACTTGGGATAATCTGTAAACACTAGGTTCTGGGTATTTTACCATTAAATCAGCATAAAGTGAGAAGGCAGGCCAGGCTCACTCATTCAGAAGACTGGGTTGCAAATACAAATGAAACTTTCGGGGAGCTGCCCCATCATTTAATATTCACAAGAACAAAGAGCAGATGATGAAACTCAGGCCCTCCCCTGAAGGGAAGTCACTCGTCTAAGACATTACAGTCAGGTCCTAGCCCCAAATCCACTGTTTTTTAACCAACACTATATTGTCTTACATAACTTTTCTATTTAAAACTGAATGTGCCCAGGACAGATTTTTCTTTCCAGGTTTTGGTTTTTCTAAGTGTGGTAAAATACACAGAACATAAAATGTAGAATCTTAACCATTTTTTAGTGTACAGTTCAGTGGTATTACTGGTCTTCTCACACAATCACCCACCGCACCCAGTCCAAAAGCCACTAGTCATCTTTCTCCTTGGTCCCCCGTAAGTTCAGCTGGCTCTGCTGCACAGACACAGCCTCGGATGTGCCCTACTCCTCCCGTAGTGCCGTCCACGTCCGAGCCGGGGGTCTCTTCTGCTTGGACTACTGCCAAAGTCTAACTGGCCACCGAGCATCCACCTGTGTTCCCCCTCGAATCCACTTTTTCACTCAGCAGTTATTTTCTTAAAACATGAATCACACCAGACTCTTGCTCAGAACTCATCAGCTGCTTGCTACTACACTTAGAATCATACAAAATCCTTAGTAAGGTCCAGTAAAGCACGCCGGACGGCCCCCGCTCCCACACTTCCCCCAGCTGCAGCTCCGCTCCCACACCTCCCCCACCAGCAGCTCTGCTCCGCCGCCCTTCCGGGGCATCAGGCTGTGAAACGTTCTGGTTCTTTCCCACCCCAGGGCCTGTGCACACCCCGCACCCTCTGAAACACTCCTCTGCTCTTTACGCAGCTACCTCCAATTCATTCTTCATATCTGGCACCTTTTCTAAAAGCTTTCCTTCAATCAAACTAAATCAGAGACTTTCCTAGACTTTCTCAGAGAACACTACACTCTTCCTCCATTAGCACTTAATACAATTTGTGATTATATATTTATCTGTGAGATTACTGATTAATAACTATTTCCCCTACTAAACTAACACTCGTGTTAGGCCTGGGTCTGTTTTGCTCACTCATATATATTCAGCACCTCACAGAACAGCACGATAGGCTCAAGAACAGTGTTTCTCCAGGGCATTTCCATTAACACGGCTTTTGATATTCACAGCAATTCTTTTCTTTAAAACTAGAAGATATCCCAATATTCTTTAAAAGATGCTGTAAATTTTTGTTTCATTTCTTCCAAGATTTTCTTCATCCTCCGTCCTTCCTGCTCTTTCTTCACATTAAAAGAGCAAAAAAATGAGTTTACCCATTTCTCCCACTCACCACATCCCACCCTCTGCTTCTGACAACCACCAATCTGTTCTATCTATGAACTTGGCTCCGCCCCCACCCCCCATACAGTCCACTTTTACGAGATTGTATGGTATTTGCCTTTCTTTGACTTATTTCACTTAGCATAATGTCCTTGAGGTCCATTCATGTTATCATAAATCATTAACATTTCACTTTTTTATGGTTAAATAATATTTCAATGTATATATACATCTATCCACCCATCAATGAACACTCTGGTTGTTTCTGTATCTTGACTATGATAGACAATACTGTAATGAACATGGGGATGCATGCATCTTTCTGAGTTTTCAATTTCTTTGGATAGATACCCAGAAGGGGAATCACTGGATCATGTGCAAGTTTTCTCATTTTTTGAGAAACCTCCAAACTGTTTTTTACAGTGGCTGTACCAATTTACATTCCCCTAAAAGTGAACAAAGTTCCTTTTTTCTCCACAACCTCACCAACAATGTGCTATTTCTTGTCTTTTTGGTAATAGCCATTCTAACTGGTATAAGGTGATATCTCATAGTGGTTCTGATTTACTTACATCTGCATTTCCCTGATGATTTTGTTGAACATCTTCTCATTTACTTCTTAGTTGCTGTTTTCATCTATACATCTTCTTTGGGAAAATGTCTGTTCAGATCTGCCCATTTTTTAATTAGACTGTTTGGTTTTTGCTCTTAAGTTGTGTGATTTATCTATTTTGGACACTAGCCCATGACCTATGATTTCTAAGTATTTTCTCCCATTCAGTAGGTTGCCTCTTGATTTTGGTGACAGTTTCTTGTACTGTGCAAAAGCTTTTTATTTAGTATGATGCAGTCCCACTTTATTCTTGTTTCTTTGTTTCTTTATTTCTTGATTGTTTCTTTATTCTTTCTTCCTTGTTGCCAGATTCAAAAAATCACTGCCAAAACCTATGTCAAGACGTTCACTATGTTTTCTTCTAGGAGTTTTATGATTTCAGGTGTGTTAAGTCTTTAATCAATTTTGAGTTAATTTCTATGTATGGTTTAAGACAGTGGTTCACTTTCATCCTTTTGACGTGGCTGTTCAGTTTTCCCAACAACATTTATGGAAGAGACTGTCCGTCCTCCACCATATATTCTTGGCTCCTTTGTCGTAATTGAATTGACCATAGACACAGGGTTTATTTCTGGGCTCTTAATTCTGTTCCATTGATCTAAGCATCTGTTCTGCTAACATCACATTGCTTTAATTACTGTATCTCTGTCACACAGTTTGAAAGCATGATGCCTGCAGTTTTGTGCTTTTTCAAGGTTTTTTTTTTCATGGTTCCATACGAATTTTAGGATTATTTGTCTTATTTCCTTGAAACATATCATTGGAATTTTGATGCAGACTGCATTGAATCTATAGGTTGCTTTGGAAAGTATGGACATTTGATTGTTCAAATCTGTGAGCATGAAACAACTCTCCATTTATTTGTCTACTTCAATTTCCTTCACTAATGTCTCAGGGTTTTCAATACACAGGTCTTCCTGTTATATACTGATTAAGTTTATTCCTAGGTTATTTCACTCTTTTTGATGCAACTGTATATGGGACTGTTTTTTCTTTACTTCTTTTTCTGACAGTTCTTTATTAGTGTACAGAAATGCAAGAGATTTTTATATAGATTTTATATCTTGCAATTTTACATGTTTTAGTTCTAACAGATTTCTTATGGCATCATCAAAGTATCACGCATTTGCAAATACTGAGAGTTTTACCTCTTCCTTTCCAACATGGATGCCTTTTTTCTTTTTCTGCTCTGGCTACAACTTCCAATTACATGTTGAATAAAAGTGGCTAGAAACCAGCAGAATGTCCTTTTAAAGAGTCTGCACATTTCTCTCTGTTCCACTTCCAGCAAGTGCTTTCTTTTTCAGAATGAAAATTGCTTTTCTGATTTAAAAAGAAACATGCTTATCCTAAAGGGAAAAAAGTACTCATAACTTCACAAGAAATAATTACCTTCAACATTTCAGTGCAGAAACACATCCAGAAACTATCATCATACTCTACGTAGTTTCTGATATAACCTGTTTTATTCCCTCCCTCTATCCACCTGATATATTGTGAGCATCTTCCCATGTCCATAGCCATTCGTTCACTAATTAACTGAGTGTCTTTCACACGCTGGTCACCGCTGTACGCCACCATGGCTCGGGGTTGCATCTATCCCACCTTATGACTCATCTACCACTCATGAGTCAGCGTGTACCATCCTCCAACCCGCCCCCAGCTTCCCCTCAGCAAGAGTGGTGTCAACATCAGTGAGTCTTCCTACCTTGGTGACCCATTCTGTGTGCCCGGTGAGAGTGTTCAGGCATGTCCCAGCAGATAAAGCCCATACTTTCACGGTGAAGTCTGCAGAGCCACTCACCAAGATGTCCAGTTCGTCATTGTAGTCGACACTAAACACTAGTGTACACAACACACACAAAGTTAAAATATGCCTTTGCCTGTGGGTCTTTTATAATAGAGTTCAACAACACTTATTCTTCCTAGCTGTCCAAGTGTGTAATTTCTTAACCAGAACTACTATAAGAAGGGTGCTTTCTCGACTAGCAATTTTTTGCTTAAAAAAATACACCCATTTCAAAATTCTCATTATAGATTATCCTAAGGATGGAAAGTCCCTGGAATATACAATCTCTTCCTTTTGTTCTAGCTTCAGAGTCAGAGGCAAACAAGTGTAGGAGATCCTGGCATTTCTTCTCAGGACTGAGAAGAAACACTGAACATAGGTGGACCTACTGAGATTTGTACTATTTACTGCAGTAAGATAAAATGTCAGGAGTATCCATTCTCAAGAAAAGTCAGTATAATGAGAAAAACAAAGCAAAGATCTTAAGTTCAGACTGAGCCATCCTCTCAAACTGTCTGATTTTCTTCAGACCTATATCCCTGGCACCTAAAACAGTGCCTGAGCATAACAAGTACTTGTTTTCAAATGCCTGTCAAGCTCTGAACGGACACCAGGGACCCAGAGATGAAGACACTGCTCTTTAAGGAACTCTAAGTGAGGGGTGGAGAAGGAGGTCCAAAACAAAAGTGAATGTTCACCTCTCGCTAGGGAAGCACCAAGAAGAAAGACTAACTCTGCCCAGGGGTATCAGGGAGGACTTCAGGGAGGAGGTGATATTGGAGGTGGGGCCCTAAAGGATGAGTAGAATTTATCAAGAAAAGAAAGAGAATACTGCAGGTAGAAGGAACAGCAAAGGCATGGAGTTAGGAAAAGCCACAGCAATGTCTTGGGAACATTAAGGAGGAAATTTTTTAGAACCGGGTTCTCAAAGCTGACCAAGTATAAAATCAGCTGGAACAGGTGCAATCCTTGACACTGGAATGTTACATTCAGTTGATACATAAGCTCCATATTAAATCATGTATCTTCAAATATTAATGACTATAAACAAGAGGCAGCAGACTGAAGAAGAATGTACAGGATGATAAACAAAATGGGGGGTGTGGATTCGGTGGGGTTTATTGTTTTTTTTTGGGGGGGGGGCATAAAACAGCTAAATTTACTTTAAAGAATTACTGAACACCATGCAAGGAACTCAGGACCTAAGGGTGAGTAAGGACAGGTGGGATCCCTGTCCTTCTAGAGCTGACAGGTGGGTGGGGGAACCAGTTACCATACTCACTTCTATAATGGGTGTTACACAGGTTACTAGGAAACCTATAGCAGAGAAACTCAGCCTGTTTAGGGTGTCCAGGACGGAGCTCATAAATGTGATGCTCAAAAGCACAGACTGTGACTCTCAGAAGCTAATGCAGTGGGTGATGTGGGTGGGGGGTGGGGAGGGGAGGCGGAGGAGAAGGGAACTAGCTCACATGATTTCTACACAAAGCTCCAGGATACAATGAAGCAGAGGAGATGCTCTGATCAAAAGGCTTCGTTCAAATGACCAGTTTTACAAACTAAGGCTGCTGCAACCTTATTAGGAAATATTGAGGTATCTCCTTTTTATCTTGTCCCTCAACAGTGAGATTATTATCAACCAAGCTCCAATCTGATGTAATCTGTGTAGTCACTCCTAAGGATTTCCAGTCCTAATTCTACAAATAAAGTGGACTAAATTTACATTTATTCAATTTGGAGGTATGGAATTTGGTCAAAACAAAGGAGGCCGACTGTGCAAACAGGAAATAAATTAAATGGGAGAAAAGAACTGCCTCTCCTAGCCTAAGGGTATAAGGTCATTATGAGTTAAAAAATGGGCCAAGGAGAAGCAAAATTTGAGGTAAAATTGTTGAATAAAGAGATTAACTGTACTGACTGGAAAAGAAGTAGGGGGAAAGACAGATTAAATTTAAAAAAAAACCCAAAAGATGGATCACATTCTTGGCCCCTGGCTTTAAGCAATGTGGCTAAAGGAACCGGGAAAGCCGTGAAGAGAGGCGACCCACCCGCCCCCGTGTGCCCCCGGAAGTGCTGGGTCCTGGCTCCGGAGCTCCATTCCCAGCAGGCCACGGTGTTGTCAAAGGAGCCTGTCACAAGCTTCTGCTCATCAAACTTCACCGCAGCACAAGTGTGCGTCTGGATGCCATAAACACATTGCCCTGTGCTCACATCCCACAGTTTTGCAGACAAGTCATCTGACCCTTCAAGAGAAAAACAGGGAGGTTAGTAAGAAGACAAAAACTCTAAAGAGGTGGAATCAGTCCCCAAAGATGGCATCCTTAAAGGAGAACCTTAACCTCCTCCAGCACTCCCACTTAATAGCTTGGGGAAACCAAAGCGAGAGAGAGGAACACAGCCTGTTCTGTATCGCCAAAATAGCGTTAGCAGCCCTGGGACTGACTCCAAGCCTTGGTTTAGTCCTTTTCCCTAAACGCTCCAGGTTACAGAGCCGTGTTAAGACTGGAGCATCCCTTGGTGCTTCCACTTGTAAATTTCCCTAAATCTCTGGCTATCATGAGCTCTCTGACTTAAGCTTAAAATGATGGGTATTACCTATCACTGCATGTGTACACTTGCCTGCCTGTCCATTATCCAACAACTGAACAAAGAACGCTGAAATAGTAAAGCTGTAGGCTGGAACATGTTCCACTCTAAGGCAAGTCAAAGACAAGCCCCGATCACTGGTTAACTTCTACAAAGGCTAACCGCTAATTTCTTGAGCCATCCCGAAATGTGTGAAGGAACTTCAAAGAAAATAAGGCATAAACTATTTCCAGACATTTACAACAATTCAGCAAAGGGCTTGGAAAGTCTCTTAAGATTATGCAGGATAAAAGGCAGGTTTTACTTCTGCCTCTGATGAAAATTGTGTAACAATTCACAACATTACTGTTTAGTAACCAAGTCACGTCTGACTCTTTGTGGCCCCATGGACTGTAGCCCACCAGGCTCCTCTGTCCATGGCATTTCCCAGGCAAGAATACTGGAGTGGGTTGCCATTTCCTCCTCTGGGGAACCTTCCAGACCCAGGGATCGAACCAGTGTCTCCTGCATTGCAGACAGATTCTCTACCACTGAGCCACTGGGGAAACTGCATTTAAAATCCTAGTGATTAATTCATGTTTCAAAATTTACCTTAATAAAATATTAAGAACTGACAAAGTCATTTTGAAGATACATAAATGTAATTCCTGTAATAAAGACATAGTATCTTGGAAAAGCACCAACTGATCAGTTTTCTAAAAGCTTAAATGACTAAATAAAGCCAGCCGCAATTCCACCTTTAAGGACTGATCAAGAGCCACTGTTTCAGAAAATGGAAAAATAGCTATCAGTTATGAAAGAGCAGAGCAGAAATTTCACCCCTGGAAAACCCTATGAGAGCATACTGAAATGAAGACTCTATTTGTTGTTATTTTACTAATTAGGGATTCAGTTTCCTTTCTATATAATGAAAGGTGAGACTTGGCTGGTGGTTCTCAATGGCATATGAGGCATCAGAATCAACTGGAAAGCTTTATCAAGACATACATGCTAGGCCTTATCTTCAGAGATTCTAACTCAGAACACCCGAGGCAGGAGCCAATAATTATAAAAACTTGCCAGGTGAACTTATTAGGAATGCATTGAGAACCAATGATCTAAGAACAATACTATCCGATAGAAAGATAGGACAAGCCAGGTATGCAATGTAAATTTTTCTAATATTTACTTTAAAAAGTAAAAAAAAGGGGAAATAATTTAATTTTTAACTCAGTATGCCAAAAAAAACCCATTATCAGCCAATGTAATTGATATAGAAATGTATTAATGAAACGGCTTACATTCTAAGTCTTCAACTCGCAGCAAGGACCCCCTACCTCACACCTCGGTTTGAGCGAGCTGTGTTTCAGGCACTCGGCGGTCAGGTGTGCTGGGAGGCTCTGCCACAGTGGGCAGCACAGCTCTGGACGGCCTTTAAGGTCCTCTCAGAGCTTTGGCAGACTCAGCAGTTTGTGGCTCTATTTCTAGGAAGCTAAAGCGGGAAAAGAAATCATGTTTGGTCCTAACTGAGCTTGGTTCTGATTTACTGCCAGTGTTTCCCAGGGTCGCCTTCATTCATTCAACCCATATTTGGAGAACTTTTGTGTCAGGCAGGGATCCTGCTCTTGTGGCGCTTGGTCTTCCAAGGAAGACAGGAAGGCCAAACAAGCAGTGACAACTCAGTGAAGTGGCGGGCGGCACAAAAGCCCACAGCAGATACGAGGAGGGGATGAAAGGATAAAGCACCCCAGATGAAGTTCCGCTGAGTTTACGGCTATGCTCCTCAACATCAAGGTGTTCCACAAACACGCTTAGGAGAAGGCACGCCTGGCCCCACACCATACACTCTGGTCTGCTGTGAAGCCAGGCCTTGGTGTAGGACTGTCTGAAGAAGGAATTTCATGGCTTAAATACCCAAACTTGGGACTTCCCTGGCGGCTCAGTGGTTAAGACTATAAGCTCCCAATGCCAGTGGCACAGGTTCAGTCACTGGTCACGGAACTAAGACCTCGCATGCCACATGGTACCACCAAAAATAAATACAAAATTTAAAAATTTTTTCAATATTAACAAGTTGAAATCTAAACGATGAATACAGTGATCAGCACCCTCTCCCCAATCAAAAAACTAAAATATAAACAGTGTGTGCCAGAGCTTAGCCAAACTTTTTCTGCAAGAGACTGGACAGTAAATATATTTAGTCTTCTGGAGCAACACAGCCTCTGGGGCAATTACTCCACTCTGCTGGATCTGGACCCTGCGGTCTGTGGTTTACCAATCCCTGGAATACAACTATTTAATTATTAAATACCTCTATTTATTATATAAATATATGTGAACACGCATTAGGGTCGATTCATAAAGAACTCCTTGAACCCATTCTATCAATGAAAACTATCTAGGAATTATTGATAATGCTTGTCAAAATGCACTGCCTCAAACAGGGACGCTGGCAACAGTTCAGTATGACTGGGAAGTAGAGGGAAAGGTCAGGATGGCAAACTGGGTTGGGAGGATGTTTAACTATGACCTCATCTGCATTTCTGAAAGACCTCTGTGGCAGCATCACAGGAAAAGATTTGAAGGGGAGCAAAGCTGGAAGCAGGAAGGTCACTCATAAACTAGGCAGGAGGATACACAAAACGTGGCCTATACGCCAAAGGATTACTCTCCAGCCTCAAAAAGGAAGGAAATTCTGACATAGGCAACAACATGGACAAACCATGGAGACCATTCGCTAAGTGACCTTAAGTCAGTCACAAAAGAACAAATACTGCTCAGAGCCCACCCGTGAGGCACCTAGAGTGCTCACACACAGAGAAAGCAGCGTGATGGTTGCCTGGGGCTGTGGGAGGAGGGGATAGGGTGTCAGTGATTAACGAATACGGTTTCAGTTTGAGAAGATGCAAAACGTTCTGGAGACAAATGATGGTGATGTCCGTGCAACATGAACGCACTTGATGGCACCGAACTGTGCACTTAAAATGGTTACAATGGTAAATCTTCTATTTTCCCACAATTTGTTAAAAAAAAGGGGGGGGGGAGGAGATTATCTAACGTCATATAGGAAAACATTAGGCCACTCCATTTTGCACCGTAATAAACATCAGCAAGCAATCAGGTTGGGCTGCACTGTTTGGCAAGGCAGAAACCTAACGTCAGCCGCTAAGCCTTTAGGAGCCATTATCCTCTCCTCTCCTGCTCGTCCCAGCGCTCTTCACGGACTCTCATCTGCTGTGCTGACGAACCCAGCATGTTTTCACGGAGGTCACCAATGATACTGTGTAGAAAGCAAAGTGAACTAGATAAATGTAGACTATTTTTCATTACATGAAAGGGGAAAAAAAGCCCTCTCAATTTAGAAAACAGGATGAAAACAATCTTTGATATAAAAAAAGGTAAGCAGAAAAATGAGCTGTAACGCAAATAGAGTAAGCTATCTTATCAAGCTAAGCTTAAATATTTAACTGGTAGAATCAGATCTCAGCTCTCAAACCATCTGAGTCATCTGACTGTTAACCAACTGAATAAACATTTACTAGTGCCTCTTTAGGACAGGCAACTTTCATTCTCCTTTTCAAAACTGTTTATTACCCTGTCTCTTTACCTCTCCCCATTCTATGAAGACACACTCAAAAGGAAGCACCCTACACTCTATGCATTCTTTTTCCTCTCCATCTCCTTTTAAAATTTCACTTGCAGCCACAGCTATGATGTGACTAACTCCTAAACCATTCTCTCTAGCCCTGAGCACTCTAGAAAGCTCTTACCCTGCATTTCCAAATATTATGGGACTCTCCACTTACACATCCAATGAGATTCAGTTCATCCCACACTGAACTCCATCTATCCTCTTGAATTTATTCTCAGTTTCTACTCTTTTACTAGTACTATCTTCACATTTGTACATGCAGCTAGAAGACTGCAGTCATTTTTGATATATCCCTATTCCTTGCCACACTCCCAATTCACTGCCAAATCCTGTCATTTCTATTTCAATAGCTACTCTTCCATCCAACTGCTACTTTCAGAAATCTCTACCCTTAGTATCCTGTATCTAGACCTATTTAAACTCATCTAAACTGCAACGGACTAGTAACTTAATTTGGAAGCTCGAGATCTGTCTGTTAAAAGGTATCAAAGGAATTAATACCTTCTGGGGGAACACTCTAGAAACGGCAGGGTGGCTTCACTGTCAGTGAGAGGACATTACTGGCCTCTACTCGGCAGAGACCAGGAATGCTGGACATACTGTATTGTCTGCAGTGCACAAAGAGAATCATCTTGTATTCTGCATGACATTCTTGAAGGTCCTGCCAGATACTCATAAGTGTAAAGCTTATTCTTAGTTACCTAAGGGTAACTAAGGGTTACCTAAGAGTAACTAAGGGTGAGCCTCAGGTGGGGCTCTGAGGCTCTGGGTGAGCCTCAGGTCGGGCTCGAAGGTTCTGTGTGAACCTCAGGTCGGGCTCGAAGGTTCTGTGTGAACCTCAGGTCGGGCTCGAAGGTTCTGGGTGAACCTCAGGTCGGGCTCGAAGGTTCTGGGTGAACCTCAGGTGGGGCTCGAAGGTTCTGGGTGAGCCTCAGTCAGGTTACCTTTCTGATCACAGTGTTTACGTTCTTTGAGGAAAGAACAATCCTGATTCAGCTACGCGTGCTCACGCTGCCTGTCACGCAGTCGGCATTTTATAAATAAATATCTACTGAACAGCACCAAACGCAGTAGGTTCCTCTCTCACCATTTCAGAAACGAGCAGAATTTCTGAAATTCTGAACACACATACAATCTCATACAATCATACAATCTATACCACGCTAATTTTTAGCATTATTAACCCTTTTGGTAAAACTGTTTCACTGCTTGCTTAAGGGCTAATCTGAGAGTCACTAAGTTTATTGCCAAATTCAGAATTTTCCAATTCAACAACAGTGAAAAGACAAGCTCTTAAGTGACGAGGTGATACAAACACATGTTTAATTCTATTAACAACTATTTCTTGCTAGTAACAGTCCCAGGAATGCTGCTTTAAATAAATGCTTTGAATCATTTTCAACAGCACAATTTTCCATAATCAAAGTCAGTGAATTTAATCATACTAAAAATAAGATAGCAGATAGACTCACCTGGAGAATAATCTTAAAATGCAGGGTTGTGTCCACAGTCATTTGTAGATATTAACTGCCCAGGTAATTAGGGAATTCAAGTGAATGTATTCCATTCACTTCTGTGCCAAGTAACTGAGGTTTTATTGCATTTCAAAAGCCAAGTTTAACAAGACATTAAAAAAAAAAAAAAAAGCTGGAGCTAGTTCTGAAGATGAGACAACTACCAGTATTGACCCAAGTGTGAATAAGTGCCAAGTTCAAAGGCAATATGGCATCTTAATCTTAAAAAAAAAAAAACAACAAAAACCTGCCAGTGATTATGAGGCAAAAGAATATTGAAAAGTCATCACCACAGATGGGAAAGCAGATCAAGGTATAGAAGAACAGATGATGCTGTTCCAATAATCAGGCTTTTAATAGTACAGGGAAAATAACATGAACATGGAGTAATCTCAGGATGACAAACAAAACCATGAAATACCTTAAATGTTTATTTTATAAAACTGACAAAGTGTCGAGCATTTCAGAGAATGTCACCGCATTAAGAAAATGGACAACCTCAATGAATAAAGAAATTCAATTTTAAAACAGTCTTGAGAAATCATACCTCTCTTCACCATTAAAAATATTAAACTGAGTGTGGTAGGACTCTGAGGAAGAAGCAGGTTTACCTTAGACTTCGCTGTGGGCATAGCACCAATTCAATACATCTGGAAAGGACACTAAGAGGCGCTATAAATTCATTCATACTTCTGGATCTGGTGATTCTGCTCTGAGGCTTCTGCCTCAAATGAATAATCCAAAGGGAAAAAATAATGCAGACAAAAATACCCATACAAACAGAAACAACCTGAATATGCACTCGTATGGAAATGGCTAAATGACGATGATCCATTTATACAAAGAAACAGTGTGTGACAGCCACGTAGCTCAGGGAACACTCGTGTGTGTCAGAACGCATCCCGAGGAAGCAGCGCAGGACGGCCCCGTGACAGGCTCCTCTGTCCATGGAAATTTCCAGGCAAGAATACTGGAGTGGGCTGCCACTTCCTACTCCAGGGAATCTTCCTGACCCAGGGATCAAACCTGTGTCTCCTGCAGTGGCAGGCAGCTTCTTTAACACTGTGCCGCCTGGGAAGCCAATACTGTATATTATATACGATGGAAGCAAATAGCATTATGATCACTGATAAGATGATCTAGAACCTTGAGCCATTCTAAACTTTGCTTAGTCATTATACACAACATCTATCAACATGTACTGCCTGAAACATGGGCACTAACTATATAATCATATGTAGAAACACATGCCCATTATAATTGGAAGATGCACATAATTCTAACTTTAATCATTACATTTATAATAAAAAGTTACTTTACTTGTTATTGTTGTTTAGTTGCTAAGTCGTGTCTGACTTTTTCATGATCCAACAGACTATAGCCCGCCAGGCTCCTCTGTTCATGGGATTTCCCAGGCAAGAATACTGAAGTGGGTTGCCATTTCCTTCTCCAGGGGATCTTCTCGACTCAGAGATCAAACCCACATCTCCTGCATTGGCAGGCAAATTCTTTGCCACTGAGCAACCAGGGAAGCCCTGATTGCTGAGTTTTAAAATATCCAACTATTTTCATTCCCATGCCCAAACTCTTCTAAATTCTTCTCAGAACCACAGGATCTTAGAGCAAGAGAAACAGCTCCCTTTGCATATTTTAAATACAAGGAAACAAACACAGAGAGGTTTCATAATCCTTTCAAAATGAATTATTTGCTAGGACTAGACAGCAACTTTTCTGTTTTTTCCCCAAAATCAGTGCTGATAGGAAAAAAAAAAATTAACCAACATGAAGGACTGTTTATGAAAGAAAAGTATAGAAAAACATTAGAGCTTTCAGATTCATCTCACATTTATAAGAATGTCTGGAGCTTTCTTCTCATAAAATTTTATAAAAATAATTGTCTTCTCAGAGTGAAAAAGGATAAAGGGGTGGTGGTGGGGAGAGGAGGAACCAGTCAGGGATGGAGGGATAATGCCATCATAGATATCTCAGATAATTAACAACTGCCATTCTGAAGCCTGAGGAATATTTTGTTCTGTCTGTAAGATTACACTCCACAAAACGTGAAAAAAAAAAAAGGTCCAGGCTCTCTTACCTGTACACAGAAGTCCATCTTTGTAGTAAAGTGCATACACTCTGGCACTGTGTCCAATTAAAGATGAGGTCTCAAAGGCTTCATGGTCCTCCAGTTGCTTCATTCTCAAAATAGCCTTCAAATAAACCTTCTTCCAGTGCAAAGCGTCCTGAACAGAATCATCTATCTGCCAGCCCAAATTTTTACAGGCGGTCTGCCACACCTCTGTACAGGCACTTATCACCTTATTCCACTGTTTAGAGACGAGGCAGCACGTGAGTAAAGTCTGAGGGTCGAGCCATTTTAACAAATAAAAACTGAGCTCCAGGGGAAGGAGTTTGAGGAAGTCCCGCTTGAGCAGAGTCTCCAGGTTATTGGAGAGGTGTCTGAGCTGGACTGCCCCACTCAGACTAATCAGGTGATCCAGAGTTTCATTTTTCTGCAAGTCCGTCAGAGAAAGAAATGTAACAGAAATGTTATCAAGCCATGTCTCAAAGTCCTTTCTCTCCATAAGGTTATGGAAAAATTTACCTGTGGCACATCAAAATATTGTATTAGTTCTGCTCAAAAAGACCATTCAAGCAAGACTGCTAACAAATGAAGTATTAAAAATTAGTGCAAAAAACTGTTACAACTTTAGAGCTTAGTTACATTACAACTTTACAGTTAATACATTATATTTATCTGAAATAATTTCCATGCGCACAAAACACATTTGAGAAAACATACTTTAACAAATCATGACCTCCAAAACATAACTCAGTGAAACTAATTTTGGTGTGTGTGACTTGCTCCTGAAGTCTATCACATGCTACATGCATCTTCACAGTAAAAGATTTACAAAGTATTCATTCTTTATGAAACAGTGTATTCTGTATAATAGAACTCCCATCAAAATCATCATGATACCATTTTCTTAAATACACTCTACTTGGGCACGAAAATCACAAAAATAAGCACAAGGATGTGACACCCAAAAAGTAAGTCTCTAGAGCAGTAACTTGAGACATCAGTTATCAGGCTACGTATAACCTGACCTGTTATAGGAATCACAGAACTGACTACTGGCTTTTGCAATAAATGTTTAGGCAAAAAGCTTTGGGGAAGAAAAATAGCCAGACACAGTAAGTTATATGGCTCAGGTGTTCTGGTTCTTCCACTTCCTTTACGGCACTGCCTGTTAGAACATGAATTTCCAAAAGCCTTATCTGGCCTTACACGGTCTGTTTTAATAAGGTTAATATGAGCTGGAGACAACTCTTAACCTCATGTGTCCCCAAGAGCCATGAGGGTCCTGGAGGTGTGCACAAATAAGACAAATTAGTCATCGTGATGCTTACAAGATGCACCAAGAAAGGTACCATCTCCTTCACTTTGCACATGAGGAAGTTGCAGGTCAGAGGAGGTAAGTGATTTGCCTACAGCCAACAGGGCTATTAAAATAGCAACAGAAGGGGCTGAAAGCCAGTGCTCTCAAGATCAGGACTCTTCCGGACACACCAAGCTGTCTCTCTCTCTCTGAAGCCAGTTACCATCAGGAGAATCACAACCTGGTGATAAGATCTGGGAGCACTGAGTCCATCTGCTTATACCATCTTCCCCTTTAAGGCTAACTGGAACCCATTCCCCCCCAACCAAAATACAAGTATCCATCAATCCATACTATGTCAAGGTGTCTACCCACTCTTAACAATGGGGACTAAACTAATGGGAAGAGAAGAAAAAGTAAAGCAAATCTGTGAAAACCACCTGTTCCAAGATCAGCTATGTTGATAGATATTAGTGCCGGGCAATAGGTACATGGGGTTTCTTTTTAGATTTTCATGTGTTGAAACATTTCAATGATTAAAAAAAAAAAAACCTTCCTTGTAATCTGACCAGTTTCCCATCGTATTGTCATACTAACTTAAAAACCTAACGTCCAAATTAAAGTGAAAGAGGAAAATAAATTCATTTATCAGTTCAGTTCAGTTGCTTAGTTGTGTCCGACTCTTTGCAACCCCATGGACAGAAGCACACCAGTCTTCCCTGTTCATCACCAACTTCCAGAGCTTGCTCGATCTCCCGTCCATTGAGTTGATGAAGCCATCCAACCATCTCATCCTCTGTCGTCCCCTTCTCCTCCTGCCTTTAATCTTTCCCAGCATCAGGGTCTTTTCCACTGAGTCAGTTCTTCACTTCAGGTGGCCAAAGGACTGGCGCTTCAGCTTCAGCAGCAGTCCTTCCAATGAATATTCAGGACTGATGTCCTTTAAGATTGACTGGCTGGATCTCCCTGCAGTCCAAGAGACTCTCAAGAGTCTTCTACAAAACCACAGTTCAAAAGTATGAATTCTTCAGCGCTCAGTTTTCTTTATGGGCAAACTCTCACATCCACACATGACTACTGGAAAAACCAGAGCTTTGACTAAATAGACCTTTGTCGGCAAAGTAACGTCTATGCTTTTTAATATACTGTTTAGGTTTGTCATAGCTTTTCTTCCAAGGAGCAAGTGTCTTTTAATTTCATGGCTGCAGTCACTACCTGCAGTGATTTTGGAGGCCGAGAAAATAAAGTCACTGTTTCCACTGTTTCCCCATCTATTTGCCATGAAGTGATGGGACCAGATGCCATGATCATTTACCAGGTTTACACAAATAGTCAGATCTCACTGTCCAACTTCATTAATATTAAAGTATGTAAAGATCATTTTCATTAATTTCCCAATATCAAATTTGGCAGGAACATTTGTTATCAGACAAAAAGCAGTTAAAGCAAACAAACCACTTCTAATCACATCATCTGGTGATTAATGTGTCTAATATTATCGAATAGTGAATGGACTTTAAGTCTCAGGGTTTGGGCTAGGTAGGATTTATTAATTTAAGGATTTACTTGGCTGCCAAAAACTGATGAGTTCACGGCAAGTTGTATGAACTTAACACAAGATAACAAGTGTCCGGGGTTTCTTGGTTGCCCAGTGGTTAGGACTCTGCACGTTCACTGCCAGAGGGCCTGGGTTTGATCCCTGGTCAGGGAACTAAGGTCCCACAAGTTGCTTGGCACAGCAAAAAAAAAAAAAAAAGCCACCAACAAGATTAACAAGCCTCCTTTTTCTGCATCCTAACAACCTTTTACCTGTAATATTTCTGGAAAAGTTTTACTTAAAAAAAATCATTCACAGCAAGACAAGAAAAAAGTTTCTGTAGACATTCATAGAATGTTGCCAATAGCTAATTAATCCTGGCCAATTAAAAACATAACCAAAACATGTGCCCAGGAATCATTTTTTACCACGAAGAAGTGGGGCGAGGGGCTTCTTCTATCACATCGGTCAGGCCACAAACACGAAGTGTGCCACATACGCATCTTAGGACTACTGACATTTGTGTACAATGAACTGTTACTTAAATGGACACAAAGCAAATTTATAATACCCATGAAAACAGTATCATTACCAAATAACTAAGAGACATCATACAGCACACCCAATCAATGAACCCAAGACACCATAGAGATTATGGGATGAGTTTGCCATTGAGCACCTTTAAAAACCTAGGCATTTCTGAGATTTACACATTCTCCTAACAAGAACTGTTCTTCCAACTCTTAAAGACTGACCTTTAAGCTACTGAACCCTTTATGGGAAGTTCTTATCCAGTTCTTCATCTCTCACTATCATGAAAAAGGCATCTTTTTAAAATAAAGTAGGACCCATTAGCTTTGCAGAATGCACTATTAAAAAAAAAAATCAGCTTTTGTTTCTCTAAAAAATGAACTGACTCTGGAGAGAACTTTCTTAAGGTCATAAGTCTAAACTGAAGTCTTAGAGAGCCGCTAGAAATATCATGTACTGGCAGCACAAGGCCCCATAGGGAATACTTCAGGAAGTGAGATTTCAATTCAACTGAAGGAGGAGCTTTTAAAACATCAGAGCTTTCCAATAATGGAACAGCTGCCTCCAGGGTGGTGAGCTTCCCAAGTACTGGGAATGGTCAAGGACAGCTAGCTAGAGAGGCGGATTGAGGTAAAGGAAAATGCTTTGAAGTCAATCAAATCTCCCACAGATTCAGCCACTTCCTATGTGATCATGGACATACTCAACTAACTTCTGAACTTCAGTTCTGTTGTCTGTAAAATGGAAGCTAGCTCACCTCAAGGGCTGTGCGAGTCACAAACAGCAGGGACAGGCTCAGAAAGCAGCCCAGCAGGGTAACTCAAATGGCACTTTTTGTTAGTTTTGTTACTATGAGTACCTGGCAGGAAAGCTTCAGTAACATCCCTTTCAACCCTAGGATATTACCAGTTTCTCTTTTTTGTCCGTTCCGTGCCCCCACCCCCATTTCTCTTAAAATGGATTAAAATATACAGGAAAAAAAAGAAAAACCTCAACTGCTCAAACTTACTGGGGACTTAATTTTGTAATTAAGGGCAGTTACTGACAGGAGGTTGATTTCCCAGGAGAGGCACTCTCCTTCCACCCTCTGCACACTCCAGTGTCTCATTCTTCCCCCCGACCCCAACTTAAGACTCAACATAAAACTTGCCCTTCCGCCCTTAGTATTAACAAGAACAAAGCTCTGAAACAGACAGATGTGAAAAGATTCCTAACCTGGGAGATGAGAGGCCTGGGCTTGGTCTCCGGTTCTATTAACTCCCTACGTTCCCTCAGCTCTCATCTTTGTACTAGAGTACTACTCATAGATGTCACCTCCTGTGATTTTCACGACCTTGTGGAAGGTATGAGAACTGCCCTTAAAAAATGAAGAAATTTATGGTCCCCAAAGTGGGAGTGACTTTCCCTGGGTCTCACAGGAAGGAGCGGGCACAACATCTTGCCCAGACCCCACCCTTCTCAAAAAAGCAAAACAAAACTTATACTTCCCGGTCTTACTAAAGACAGAACATTCCTGACTAAACATGATGAATGCCGTTTACCTCTCCTCTCTCAGGACCTGGCCTAATCAAGACAGAAAACAAGACATTTGCTATCTTTGGGAGGGAGGTTTCATCTTCCCTCTCTCTTCTTATCAAGCATAACCAGGGTTAAAGAGAAGAGAGACTCTGTGCTTATCTAAATAAACTTACATATACATAAAATATCTTTTGAATACTCAAGAAGCTGGTTAATACTGATTGTTTCCAGAGAATACTGGAGGGTTGAGGAATAGGAGTGAAAGTCCCTTTATGAATTTAAAACAGTATGAATATCTGACCTGTTTATATCCGCCTTCGGTTTTAAGATAAATTTTTAAAAGCTTTGAAAGAATACAAACAGGGCTTTGCAACCCAACTTGTTGCTGGGTAACCCTGGGCAAATCACTTCACCTATCTCAAGCCCAACTTCCTCACTGGTAAAAGGTAACCACTAACAGCTTTATCTACAAGCGTTTTTTACAAAGAATAAACGGGATAATGCACATAAAACGTTTAGCACAGTATCCGCACAGTGGAAGCCTACAAAAAATGCTGCCTACCACCATTATTTAGCATTAACCCTGCTATCTTTATTGCAAGCAGCACTCCACATACACACCTGTTTCCATGGCATACCCACAATTACGGCGCAGTCCCGCACATTCGTACAGCGCTTTGTACTTCACAAACCACCTCTCCACACTGCTTCATCCTTCAAACTCATTAACAGCCCTGGGACATCACGGTTAACTCATTTCGCAGCTAAGGAAACTGAGGCTCCAGGAGGCAGTCACTCAGTTCTCCCATCTCTAAATCAACTCCAGATCCCTTCAACCCGTTCGCCGCTCCCTGGTCCCCTACTCCCGGAGCCGTGTTCCGCGCGGCACTGACCTGAGCGAGCGCCCCGGGGCCCAGGACCTCGCGCCGGGCTCACACCAACTAGGCGCGCTCGGGCCGCCAGAGCCTCGCAGCGGCCAGGTCCGCTCCGCAGCCATGGCGCCTGCAGGGAGAGAAAGGCAAACAGCCCGAGGCGCGACGGGTCAGCAGAGGCGTGGGCCCCAAAGAGCCCCCTCCGCGACCCGGCCCCGCCTAGAACACAGACCTGGACCGGCGGCCGCCGCTCTGGGTCCGCAGCCTCACAGGGGAGCGGCTTCCGGTGCTGCCTGCGTCATCTCCGCGCGTCCCTCCACCCGCGGCGCCCAGCGGACGCGGCTGCACTTCCGGCCCCGCCGTGAAGCGGAAGTAGGAGGGCAGAGGCGCGTAGAGGGAAACGGAGCATGAGCAGGACCCTTTAGTCTTGGGGCACCGGGACCGAAGTTTACTTCCAGGAGGTATAAAGAAACTGTCCAGCGAATTTATGTCCGTCACCCAATCTGATCTTGCACCACCGACTGACACTTTTTCTTATTATGCTCACTTTCCGAGGAGGGCGGCAATATAAGAAACATGTCCAAAGAACAGCAATTCATGTGACAGAGAGTCGTACGTGCAGTTAGTGGTGGAGCAGAGCGAAGGCCCCACGCGTCCGGAGTACATCTAGGGCACTGAACATATGGGAAATAAAGTTGATTCTTTGTGGTGGAAACTAAGTATGGAGTTCAGAAAGTCAGGTCTTAAGAGAGCGGGTTTGGTTTGGTAGACAACAGGAAGACTGAGAACTTCTAAGCCAGAGGGTGACTGATGATGATATCACAGGAAAATTTAGGAAGACATAGGTTCACATGTCAGATTGGGTGACCTTTATGAAAGAGAAGGCAGTGCTCAGGTAATCAAGAAAACCAGGCACTTCTATTTCCAGCAAATGATCTCAACCCTAGTACTGTAAGAGTTTGCTGAATCAAACTGAAAATTCTAGATGGAGCTGGCCCAGAGATAATATTGTTTGAACCTCTCATGGACAAAGAAACCAAATTGTCTCAGTTTAAGTCCAGAGACTACCCAGGAGCAAAATTTATGGCTTATTAAAAAATGAAAATTGCAAAATGGAATTTGTATTTAATGAAACTCAAGACCTTTGTAATCATTCAATTTTGTATATGTAAAAATTCTCATTTGCATTTTTTAAGGATATATATTCCCCACTTTGTAAAAAATCTCCAAGAATCCATAGTGATTGTTGAGAAAACATAGCTAGCTTTAAAATGCAATGAATTATTCCTACGCAAATAACTACAAAAACTGCTATGAAGGGCAGGCAGGAAGATCCATATGCAAAAAGAGAAACATGAAATATAGCCTGGCATAGGAACAGAAGGTTCAGTGCAACTGCTTGTGACAGGAACATAAAAATACGCTGGATGTTGTTTCTTTAATAAACTTGCTGATCAAATGGTATTTGGAGTAATTTCTACGCATAGAGACAATAGAAAAATTGCAAACATCAAATGCTTGGTTTTTCCAGTTCAGGCTAAAATGGATTACAGGTTGTTTTCTATTTTGAGATAAAGTTGCCTGGGAGAGGTAGATGGATGACATATAATTAAGAACAATCTTAACATGGCCTATACTAGGAATTCAAAATCCTTCCTGATGAGACATGTATCAAACTTACACCATAAGTTTCTTTGGGTAGAAAAACATGCACCCACCAGGGATGACAAGTATCTCTTAATGTTTAACACATTTCTCGCATGTGTATGTACCAGGGAGCAGAAACTACTCTGTTTAGTTTCTTGAGATACACTCTGTGTGATGATGCTATGGAGACATGATATGTGTGAACTGTTCTTTCAACTCCCACACATACTTCACCAGGAACTCCATATAAAGACAAGGGGTCAGTTTCAAGAGTTACACAAGGTTGGAAGCATTTGAAGAGGTTTGCTTTCTATTCTTTGTTCTGGATTCACTCTAGCTGTAACATGATCAGCACTTGCTCTCCTATAGAGCCAGCAGGTATTCTGGGACAAAAGCTCAGGTTGATTGACAAGAAACCTTATCCTGAAGGTCTCAGGCACAAGGTACTGTACTTCAATTGCTGTTAGACTGAGTGATCCTGAGATACATTTGGACATACTTTGGCATCTGGACTCAATAATTTCCAAAGCCCCCAAATTGTTCACAGACAACATGCAGGTAAGTTTCTTATAATCTTTGTAGCATTTTATATCTACCAGAATAAGCTTTGAGTAGGCTGAAGTTTCTTCTTTGTGTAAATCATCAGATGAACTAAAAAAAAAAGGAAAGGAGTTCAGATTATAGTTGTGGGAATGTTTTGCTTTGTTGTTTTTTTCTTATTAAATAGACATGGGTAAGTAAAAGATGGACTTCAGGAGTCTCTAGTGGTTAAGAGTGAGCTTTGAAACTGACAGATTTGAGTTCATATCATGGCCCTATCTCACCCTCTTCTTACGCACTAAATGATCCTGGGCAAATGCCTAAACCACATGGATGCTCAGCTTAAGTCTGAAGATAACCTATCTCAAAGGGATATTAGCAAGACTGAAAAGAGTTAAGGCATGTAAAATGTTTAGCATAGGGCCTGGCTCACAGCCAGTGCTCAGTAAGACATTAAGTGTCACTATGGGAGTCTTTATTGATTGAAGCTCCGATGAACAGAGACTTAATTCTAATGTCGCTGGCTCTGTTATATTGCAATACTGTATTGTATATGTTCTTCCAGATGGAAAGTTTCCATCTCCTTTAAGGTGATGGAATAAGCTTGGCATCAGATATGTCCTAGATCTCTGAAAAGGTGCTGTGCAGATAGCAGGAATCTTCCCATATTGAAAGACATGTCAGAAAGATTAGGGGACACTGTCAAAACAGATAATGTCAGAATTCAGTATTAAATTGAAAACTCTTACTAGAAGAATGTAAATGTTTGATAGTAGCCACTGTGCAGTGGTCAACAAAAGCTGCCACTCCATTGACAAATAGCCCTGGACCTTTGTAATCAGAGAAGAAACTGACCCAAGCACACTGGTTCCGGAAAGGACCATTATATATTTTCCTGTAAGTTTTTAGCATAATGATACCAATTGTTACTTTATAGTCATGTGTCTATGTCTGATTCCTCTGTTTCCCCAGAGTCTAACACAGGTGCCTTGAACATAGTAAGGGTTTCATCCAAGCAAGAAAACAGATGACATTTTGTTCAGTTTCCACTTTGTGCTAAATACTGGTCTCGGTAGTACTGGAGAAGAGAGAGGCATGATGTCCAGGGGACCAAGATCTAGTGAGAGAGAGAGGTAACAGAAACACTAATAATAAACACTTAAAAATAGTGTACTGTTAAGTGCTTTCAGGTGTACACATAGTATTCCAGGAGTATGTACACAGAAATGGGGATGAGGCTTGAATGAATGTGTGTTCTTTCATTTAGGTGACTTTCTGCAGACTTCGGACCCATCAGTGGTGTTTCATCCTGTTTAATGTTATTCTATTTCATGCCTTGCTTTTTGGGGCTGATTTTCTGGAAGAATACTTCCTGCATGCTTTGCCTTATGTAGATATGAAAGTTCTTGAAATTAAGGATAAGGCAAGAAAATTGAACACAGAGCCCTTGAGAAGCAATCTTTCCAAATACTATATGCTGAGCCAGTTGGAGGTGTGTAAAGGAAAGAGCATATTTTTGCTCTCTCTTATATTCAGTAGCCCAGAAAATGGAACAAGGCGGGATCTCATCAGGAAAACCTGGGGTAACGTGACCAGTGTCCGAGGGCACCCCATTCTCACACTATTTGCTTTGGGAATGCCTGTTTTGGTGACCACTCAGCAAGAGATAGACAGAGAGTCCCAAAAGAATAATGACATAATTGAAGGCATCTTCTTGGACAGCGCTGAGAACCGATCATTACCATGATGCAGTGGGCTGTGACTTTCTGCCCTAATGCCCTGTTTATCCTGAAGGTTGATGAAGAGATGTTTGTCAATATACCAAGCTTGGTGGACTATCTTCTCAATCTGAAAAAACACCTTGAAGATATCTACGTTGGAAGAGTTATCCATCAGGATACACCCAACAGAGACCCTAATAGCCAAGAATTTGTCCCTTTCAGTGAGTACCCAGAAAAGTACTACCCAGATTACTGCAGCAGGGAGGCCTTTGTTATGTCCCAAGATGTGGCTCGGATGATGTATGTAGTTTTCAAAGAAGTACCCATTATAGTGCCTGCTGATGTGTTTGTAGGGATTTGTGCTAAGTCCATTGGCCTTATACCCATCCACAGTTCAAGGTTTTCTGGGAAAAGACACATCAGATACAACAGATGTTGCTATAAGTTCATTTTCACATCCTCAGAACCTACAGATGCTGAAATGCCCCTGGCATGGAAGGAAATTAACAGTGGAAAAGAATGTACGCTGCTTGAAACCTATTACGGGCTTGTTTCCTGCAAACTTCTGACGTATCTTGACAGCTTTAAACGCTTTCACATGGGTACCATAAAAAATAATGCCATGTCTTATGATGACTAGGGTTTCTTTGTTTTTCTTCAGAGAGTGTGTTCTTTTAAAATTACCTCCAACCTTGTTACAGAAAATGTCCCTCCTTCCTCGTGTTTTTATGTAGTTTCTCTGAATCTTTAATTGTACTCGGCAAGTTGCCAAGTGTCTTATTGCTCTGATGTAGTACACTAAATTGAGATCTCATTTTAAGAAATTTAAATCAGTGTAACACGATTCTCTTCAAAATAAAACCTTCTGTCTAGAAAAGAGAGGACATAAAATTGAATTATGACTCAGAAGTCTTGTTTCTCTTTTATAATTAATGGGTTTCTAAAAATCACATTCTATGGAACTCTCATGACTCAGTGATCCACAGCAGTGACTGACTTTTTAGAATGCTCAGAATTAAAGAGAAACAATAAATAAGGAATTTAAAAAGATGTTCATCTTGTCTGCAAGCAGGAAGCCTTTTAGTAATCTGGATGGTGGAATCACATTTAAAAGTTTTAGCTACCTAGTATATATTAACTTAAATTTCACTGCTGTAAAGACTTGGCTGTCTTTTGGTTAAACAGTTTCCATCAGGTCCTAATTAAGCAGTGTTTTACAAAAGGGATGCAACAAATATGCATCTCCTCTTATGCAGATAGTCTACTGGGCTTCCCTGCGTGGTTCAGTGATACAGAATCTGCCTGCCAATGCAGGAGACAGGGTTTGATCCCGGGTTGGGGAGAATCCCTAAAGAAGGAAACAGCAACCCACTCCAGTATTCTTGCCTGGGAAATTCCACGGACAGAGGAGCCTGGCAGTCCACAGGGTTGCAAAGAGTTGGACATGACTTAGTGACTAAACCACCACCACCATATACTCTATTAGTTTCCTAGAGGTGCTTAACAGAATACAACAAACTAGGTGGCTTAAAACAGAAATTTAGTGGTATTAGTAGTAGGAAAATGGCCAGTGTGGGAACACGGACAAACAGAACTCAGGGATACCAGAGATGGTGAAAGACAGATAACTAATCTGGGGACAAGAAAATTCCAGTCACTTGAGAATCATTTTGTAACAGAGAAGGGCTGGTTTATCTATATCACCATGGCTTGAAAGAAACCTATTTCTACATTCTGAACCATCACACTGATAACATATTCACGTAAAAACCTCTGGATTGGTGATTGCTTTGCCGTTTAGAGAGCAGAACACTGGAAAACAGGTGGGAACATTTTTTGTCAATGAAAAACAAGTGCATCCTCTGTTAACCAGTGAGATGGTATACTGGTTTGGGCAAAGGGAGCCTTCCATTCTGACCCTGATTATTAGGAATCAATTTCCCTCTCTTTGATCAACTCAATATTGACTTGGATCTCAAGAATTAAAGCTCTCAACGACGATGACCACCAATAACTAAGACGACAGTTTGGGGACCCTTCCAGTTCAGCATGTTTTCACTCCCTCCCGCCCAAAACCATGATAGAGTAAAATGCTCTGACAAACAGCAAAACGGGCATCAAGGAACACTGGAAACATCTTTATAGGATTTATTTTCTGTTTTTCAAAGGAATAATAGTAACAAAAAAATCAAGACATCTTATTAAAAGTATTTATTCTTAGTATAGGGAACATAATTTTAAGATTGCATATTACTTGTTTTTCAAAGAATATTAAATATCCAAGACTTTGAAAGTAGAATCAGAAGGGAGAAAAGGTCCCCCCCCAAAAAAACCCCAAAAAAGGTGAGGGGGCGGGGATGAAAATAATTCATGAACAATTTGGTTCCATTTTAGTTAAAGTGGATTTTAAAATAAGACAGAGAGTAAGTCCACGAAATTTCTTTGGGAGGACAACAGAACTTCCATCTTCTTGCAGAGATTAAGGCAGTAAAAGCAATCTGAGAAACACCTGGTTCAGTTATGACGAAGTTTGCCTGCTTTCCTGATTTTACACTGAGTTTCAGTGTGGAAAGACAACAAATGTTGGTGATAAAATTATATTACACACTCCATGATAATTCTGGTGGGGGCGGGGGTAGTCTCTGTTGAAGAATATAGACGGAGTCAAATGCCTTAGGAGAAATTTTGGTCAATAAACAGTTTGGGCTCTGGAAGAAGTCATTCTGCTCCTTCCACTGCTGTTGTGGAAATAGGTTTCACATAGTACGGACCTTCACTCAGGTAAGTTCTGAGCCTCAAATAATTTGGGTTCCCAAAGATTTCTGCAATTGTCTTGGAATTGGCAAGTGCTTTCACCAGTTCATACTTAGCATCCTTTGAAGCTTTGTCATGCTCTACAGACCGATCCATCACATATTCTACAAAACCTGGACTGTTAAACATAAGTTTCTGAGCCCAGGGTTGGTTTGCAATGGCCTGAAATGGAAGGGGGAAAAGAACACAATTCCTCTGAGCCTTAAGAAGTTAGGTGTGTTAATGGAATGGCACAAACCTTAGAAAAAAATTTGGCAATGCAAACATTAAAAATGTTACTTTTTACCTAAGTAAATTCCTCCTAAAACTCTAACTTAAGAAAACACTCAGAATATTTTTTAAAGTTTTGTATACAAAGATGCTCATTACAGTGTGAAAGGTACACTATAAATCCCTTATAGTGGGAAGATGGGTTAGTACATTATGGTATATAGCAATAAAAAATTAAGTAAATATTAAGAATAATGTTTATAAAGAACAGTGAATCTACGATATGAAAAAAGCCGATCCAAATCACACACATGGCACGCTTACAGCGATGGAAAAGTAAAGACTAGAGAAGAAGACGCTTCCCTAAAGAAACTCGTTCACGTGCACAAGAGCGTGTTTTCGAAAATGTTCATTGCAGCATCGTTTGTGATAGATGCTATCTAAATCTTCATCTGCTGGAGAAGGACACATTCTGGCTACACAATGAAATACTAATGACTTTCCAATTGCCTCTTTCAGTCGAGACAAATCTTAAAAACATAATGCTAAAGAGAAAAAGCAAATTGCAGAATGATATGAAGAGCACGATAACACTTGTAAAGTTCAAGAATATTTGAAATACTGTATTTTAAGGATATATGCATAAGCAGTAAAAGTATGAAATCACACATGCGCTTGTAAACCTTGAAGTCATGACAGTGAAAACACAGAGGAAGCAAGGAAAGGGAAGGGAACTGGACCGAGGTAGCAAGGTGTGCCTGCGCATCTGAATGTTACCAGTACACAGATGAACCCCAATACCAGCACTGCGGAACCAGGCCACACAGGTGTGACCATGTGCGTCAGAGACTTGCTAGTTCTCAATCGCTTCCATATTTAAAAGTAATGAATAAACAACTTTTATGATAAAAAATGTTTTTAAAAACCTCACTACTATATTTTAACAAGGAAAAATCAAGTTGACAGCCTGTCTCTTTCCTTCAAGATGTGCTCCGCAGACTATCAGCATTGGCATCGCCTGGGAGCTTGTCAGAAACTGACGATCTCAGGCTGAATCCCAGCACCACTGGCTGAGACTCTGCATCGTGACAAATCTTAAGTGTCAGAAACCTCAGCCTATTTAACAATATCTGAGGATGGGGGGTTTGAAATAACAACAGCTGCCCCAACCAGTAAATCAAACATTATTTCTACAACTGTGGCTAAGTAAGTGAAGCATAAGGTAGAAGAGTAGGAAAACTGCAATGATGTAAAGTAATTAGCCTCCAACTAATAAAAATAAATGGGAAAAATTAAAAAAAAAAAAAAATAAATAAATAAATAAAGAGAATGGGCTTCCCAGGTGGCTCAGTGGTAAAGAATCAGCCCGTCAATGGAGGAGATGTGGGTTAGATCCTTGGGTGGGGAAGATCCCCTGAAGAAGGAAATGGCAACCCACTCCAGTATTCTTGCCTGGGAAATCCCATGGACAGAGGAGCCTGCCGAGTTATAACCCATGGGGTCACAAAACAGTCAAACACGGCTTAGCGACTAAAATAAGAATACCAGTGCAGGAGCCAAAATGCCCATCACAGTGGCTACTAACAAGAGTGAAACAGTCTAAAAACTGCATTCTTTGTTGGCAGGTACTCTGTGTCCTTTAAGACGCAGACTGTACCACATCCTGGAGGAAGCCTTCCCTGTCTGGGCACCCCCTCTACTTTTCCTTCCCTCTCCAGGCCAAGCATACTGCCTGAGATCCCATTGTTAAGATTACTAAAGAGCATATTACTACATTTCCACCAACCCAGGGAACCACAGTCAGTGCTGAAGCTACAAAGTTAAATCAGATACGGTTCCTATTTTTCAATAAACTCTGTTAACAGGTCAACAAATAAACATTTTCAACAAGTGTAATAAATAAAACAGAGGCATAATCCTCACCACACCTATAACTATACAATTAACTATATAATGATATTTACTGCCTGGGTCCCTCTATAGACAGGGAGCTACACGAAAGGAAGCTCTTTGTCATTCTGTTCACTGTTACATCCCCAGGACTAACATAGAAGCTCAGTAAATATTTGCTGAATAAATTAGGAAATGCAGATTAGGAAAGTCAGCACTGCTGAAGTCAACCTTATGAGTTTGGGCAAAACTTGCTGAAAAGATCTCTGAGCTAGCCCTTGGAAGAATACACAGACGTCAACAAGCAGAGTCCGGGAAGAGCGCTGCCTGCAGAGAAGGTATGAGGGTCCAGAGATGCGGGAGCAGCCTCGTGTTGCTAGAGCATCAGGACCAAAAGGGAAGGGCAGGAAGTCAGGCTGCGTGAAGACCAGGGCTAGGGCAGTAAGGGCTTGCTTGATGGCAGATAAGGAATCTGGAGTTAATTCTGTGATCCCTGAGCACCCCCAAACATCTGCCACAGCACCTAGTAGCTTTCACTGACACAGTCTGTCCACACATTTGTCTCCCTCATCAGTCTACACTAACAGCAGAGGGCAGAAACTTAGGGGCTCACTGTAAGCACTCAAGTGTTGAAGGGCAGAGTCCCAGAAGGGCCAGTGGAAGAGAAGAGGATGCCTACCGTAAACACTTTTAAGGCGGCACAGTGTAGCTCAGAAAAGGGCTGATTACTGATGCTACGGAAGAGCTCCAGTGGGTCCCGAGATAAAGAAGAAAACCAGGACTCTGTCATCCTCAGGAGGTCGTCAGTCTGCTGCTCAGGCTACATGACACAAAAGGAAAATCTCAAGACATTAGGAATCGAGGAAACCTGGGTTCTGATCATACCCTGCCACTAACCAGCTGTGTGGTCTCTGCCAAGTCGGGAGCACTCTTGCCCAAACGCAGCCCTGACTTCCCCAGATTTGTTCTGGCTTGCTTTTTTATTTTGTTTTGATGAGGCTGATTAAGCAATCTCTAGGGTCCTCTCCCACTCTAATACTCTATGATTCCACTTTAACTTAATAAAATGTCGCCAGTCATATAATGAAGGCTATCTTCTTTCACTAAGAGTGAGAAAGATGGCATTTATTTGATTGAAATTTGGAGTAAGTTAACTAGTATTATACGGATTTATTCTCCCCCAAATATCCTACTGTCCTTTGTTAATTTCCCAAACCACTTACTGGTAAATAAAAAAGAGATGACAATGCATCCAAACATCTAATTTTGAGCTCTGTTGAGGCATTCTTTGCTTGATATCCTATTCTCATGAGCAAGCGTTCAAAGCGAGTTCCTTTGAAGAAAAACAAGATACATTTTATTGCGGTAAAATACATGTAACATAAAATGTATCACTTTATCCATTTTTAAAAGGATACATTCACATTGTTGTGCAACCATTACCCCACCCACCTCTAGATCTTTTTTATCACCTCAAACTGCACTCATTAAATAACAACTTCCCTTTCCCCTGCCCCATGTCCCCTGGTAACCACTATTCCACTTTCTGTCTCTGTGAATCTGACTATTCCGGGAATGCTGTAAAAGTGGAATCATACAGAATTCGCCTTTTTGTGTTGGCTTATTTCACTTAGCACTCTATGTTCAAAGTTGCCCCATGCTGTAGCATGTGTCGGAATTACATTCCTTTTGAAGACCGAATAATATTCCTTTGAATGTATATATACCACATTTTGTTTATCCATTCATTCATCAATGACTTGTTTCTACCCTTTTTGGTTATTATGAATAATGCTATTATTAATGAACACAGGTGTATCTATTTAAGTCCCTGCTTTCAATTCTTTTGGGCATATATACCTAGAAGTGGAATTGCTGGATCATATGGTAATTCTATGTTTAATTTTTCTCAGGAACCACCATAATGCTTCCACAGCAGCTGTACCATTTTATATTCCCACCAGATGTGCACAAGCATTCCCATTTTTCACATCCTCGTTATTTTGTCAACACTCATTACTTTGTTTAAAAGAAAAAGAAAAAGGAAAAGAAAAAAAAATAGCCATCCTAATGGGTATTAAGTGAACAATGAGATTTCATATGCAATACAACATATGCAAGTTAAAGTGTAGAGATCTGGGATCAATAGACCTGGATTTGAGTAGCAGCTGCCCCACCACAATCTGAACGATCTTAAAAAATTTTCTTAACTTCTCTGAGTTTCAGCTATTTTATCTGCAAAATGAGAGTGACAATAGTGCGTTCTTTGCACTACTGGAACAGGATTATATGTTATGGGTACAACAAATTAGAAAAGGACATAGAACATGGATACTCGTGACGAAACACAATAGCACATACATTAATAATTTTCACCATCTATTTCACGAGGGTTTTAACAGTGCTGTGCATTATTTTTTGTGCGTGGAATTCATAGTACTTACAAGATACTCATGGGTGTGCCATGAAAGTATCACTTTTGGCATAAAATCTTGTAACATATTTTGTTTACCTTCCTTGACATATAAATATAAAACAAATGTGTCTTTTCATTAACTATGAACAACAACCCTGAGAAATATTAACAGTTGTTCTGCTGTTTTTATATATGAAGAAAATGAAGCCGAGAGCACTGAAGGGAGTACGAGACGCTCAAAAAGCTAAGTCAGCGTTAGAACGGGGACATAAAGCCAGGTCTTTCTGACTCCAGACATAGGCTCTGTATCATGAATACTGTTTAAGAAGATGTAGAAGGGGGAACAGTGTTTGATCCAGCCAAGCTAAAAAAAAATTCAGTGATAATCATGAGACTTTTTAGGGATTGGTCGCAGGTCATGGTAAGAAGACTGTCCTATAAAAGCAGCTTCTACAATGAAGTTAAAGATAAAAGCAAATGAACTTACGTAATGAATTCTTATTAAAAAGAAAAAACAAAACAAAGAGCTCCTCAAGGAACACCAAAACAAATCATACCAACCTGTCTTCTGTAAGACTTGTTTTCCTTCAACACTGGATCCCAGAATTCCAATCGTGTCCACGGCTATACCAATCATGGTGGGGTCTTGACTCTCTGTCATTTCAAAGACCTTTTCCACAAAGATAGGATAACGCTCACAGATCTGTTGAGGACTATCCATGATAGCCAGGTTTCCAAAGAACTTCACAAATCCTGAAGGTATTTAGAAGAATATATTTTAGTAGAGAAACAAGACAACACAAACTGTGGGCCCCACATTTTCTTTTTTTAAAAATTTTTATTGAAGTATGGTTTCTTTATAATGTTGTGTTAGTTCCCGCTGTGTAGCCAAGTGAATCAGTTGTTCCTATACATAGATCCCCCCCCCCCCACTTTTAAAAGATGTCCTCCCCGTTTAGGTCATCACAGAGCACTGAGGAGAGCTCCTTGCTGGTGTTAATTCTCACTGCTACTGCTAAGTCACGTCAGTCGTGTCCAACTCTGTGTGACCCCATAGACGGCAGCCCACAAGGCTCCCATCCCTGGTTTCTCCAGGCAAGAATACTGGAGTGGGTTGCCATGTCCTTCTCCATGGGCCCCACATTTTCATGGGACAGTAATAAACTTCAGGCCAGAAATGGGAGAAAGGTTATGGGACTGTGTCACCCAGAAATCAGACAGACCACAAGAAGATGCTGAAGGATCTGTGTGGTCCTGAGGGAACAGAAACCCCAGAGTATCAACTGATCTGAGCCTGAACACTGAAGCACTGTCATAGGTAAAAAGGAAAAGAGGAACGAGGACCCATGGAATCATAGGAAGCCAAGTTTGGAGTCATTTTCAGGAAGAAAATTTTAAATAGAGATGTTCATCAATGAAATAAGCAAGGCTCTCTAAAATAAATCTTCAATTTCTGAAAGTGCTAAAGAAAAAGTTACTAACCATGTCCTAGAATAGAATGACTAGAACAATTCTATATTAAAGATTTCAACTGAAGCTTTGACAAATCTGTGAAATATACTGCAAATGTCATTCTAGTAGTTTTATTTATGACTCTTTTGGCTGAGGGTCAAGGGAAACATCCTAAAGCTCTAAACAGCAACATTTCTAGAAAATCAGAATCAACAGCACATGGCTCCCAGAGCAATAGATTCCACTTCATTAAGGGCCTATGGGCATCATCTCCAGGAAACTGGCTCTAAAGAAAACAATTCTTGGCCTCTGGTGTCAAAGATTAATTCTGAATCAAAACACATGCTGTCATTTCCACAAGTATTTCTTACCTGGCAAATAGAAGCTAGAGAAAGGGTCTGCATCTGCCCCAATGATTATGTTAGAAATCTGATCAATGACTCCTTCTTGAGCAAGGTACTGTCGTCCATGATGAGTATAGGCCAACGATGTCACCATTTCTATACAGGTGGCTCTGAAATGCCAAGGTTTTGCATATGACTGACAGTTTATAAACTGTTTTCACACAGGTTATTTTATTTAATTCTTCCCACCAAATCTGAAAGGTCAATGATCTTGGCTCTCCTTTTCAGATGAGGACACAAGGATGAGAAAACTGTAACTTGTCCAGAATCATAATCATACTGTTTTTCCATGGCAGTTATGACTTAAACTGTGATCTTCTGATTTGAGGCACACGCTGTTCGCCGTTTCCATTATAACACTACCCCTTCACAAAGAGTTTTTAAACCTGTGTTTTATTTTGAAATGTCAGATGTGATTATTTTTAACACAATTACCTCTACCACATATTTAAAAAATAATTCTTTGGTATCATTTAAAGCCTAACCATGAACAAATTTCCTCTATTAACTAAAACAAGTATTTTTATAGTTGACCCTAAGGTATATTAACTATTTGCAAGTTTTTTTCCTATGTCACTAACCCTGATACTAAGTTAAAGAAATGTAACAAAATAACTTCCTTACTATGAAAGCTCTGAAACAATGTAACTCCAATGCTTTGAGACAGCATTAACTGAGGACTGGATGTGAGTTTAACAAATTCAGTCACGTTTAAAGAACAGAGGACAATCAGAAAATCATTTAAGAAAAAGAAAACAAAGTCCTGTGTACACAATGGTAACTATAGTGCTCTTATAATAGCAAAACACTTGAAACAAACCAAGTGTTTAAGAGTGAGGAGGTGTTGGTAAACTGTGGACTACCCAAGGAAACACTTGGCAGATATCAAAGGGGACTCCGGGAGGAGCTGGGCGCTGGGAGTAGAGACTGAAATGAACATTTCCCAGTATAGAGCCTGTACCAGCCATTGTCCTGGTCTCTGTGGTTAATTCACTTAATCTTCATTTTCAGAGTTGTCATTCACATTTAATGTTCTAATGACAACATTTACAGAGTTGTCATCAAGTTCAGTTCAATTTAGTTGCTCAGTCGTGTCTGACTCTTTGCGACCCCATGGACTGTAGCACGCCAGGCCTCCCTGTCTATCACCAACTCCTGGAGTCCATCCAAATTTATGTCCATTGAGTCAGTGATGCCATCCAACCATCTCATCCTCTGTCGTCCCCTTCTCCTCCCACCCTCAATCTTTCCCAGCATCAGGGTCTTTTCAAATGAGTCAGCTCTTCACATCAGGTGGCCAAAATACTGGAGTTTCAGCTTCAACATCAGTCCTTCCAATGAACACCTAGGACTGATCTCCCTTAGGATGGACTGGTTGGATCTCCTTGAAGTCCAAGGAACTCTCAAGAGACTTCTCCAACACCACAGTTCAAAAGCATCAATTCTTTGGCACTCAGCTTTCTTTACAGTCCAACTCTCACAGCATACACGATTACTGAAAAAGCCATAGCCTTGACTAGATGGACATTTGATGGCAAAGTAATATCTCTGCTTTTTATTATGCTGTCTAGGTTGGTCATAACTTTCCTTCCAAGGAGTAAGTGTCTTTTAATTTCATGGCTGCAGTCACCATTTGCAGTGATTTTGGAGCCCAAAGAAATAAAGTCAGGCAGTTTCCACTGTTTCCCCATCTATTTGCCATGAAGTGATGGGACCGGATGCCATGATCTTAGTTTTCTGAATGCTGAGTTTTAAGCCAACTTTTTCACTCTCCTCTTTCACTTTCATCAAGAGGCTCTTTAGTTCTTCTTCACTTTCTGCCATGAGGTTGGTGTCATCTGCGTATCTGAAGTTATTGATATTTCTCCCGGCAATCTTGATTCCAGCTTGTGCTCCATCCAGCCCAGTGTTTCTCATGATGTACTCTGCATAGAAGCTAAATAAGCAGGGTGACAATATACAGCCTTGACATACTCCTTTTCCTATTTGGAACCAGTCTGTTGTTCCATGTCCAGTTCTAACTGTTGCTTCCTGACCTGCATACAGATTTCTCAAGAGGCAGGTCAGGTGGTCTGGTATTCCCATCTCTTTCAGAATTTTCCACAGTTTATTGTGATCCACACAGTCAAAGGCTTTGCCACAGTCAATAAAGCAGAAATAGATGTTTTTCTGGAACTCTCTTGCTTTTTTGATGATCCAGTGGATGTTGGCAATTTGATCTCTGGTTCCTCTGCCTTTTCTGAAACCAGCTTGAACATCTGGAAGTTCATGGTTCACGTATTGTTGAAGCCTGGCTTGGAGAATTTTAAACATTCCTTTACTAGCATGTGAGATGAGTGCAACTGCGCGGTAGTTTGAGCATTCTTTGGCATTGCCTTTCTTTGGGATTGGAATGAAAACTGACCTTTTCCAGTCCTGTGGCCACTGCTGAGTTTTACAAATTTGCTGGCATACATGTTGTTGTCATCAAGGAGATGAGGAAAACTCAGGTGCAGAAAGGTTACAATAATCTGTCTAAGGTCAAACAGCTACTAAGTAGTAGAGATGCATGCAAACCAAGTCTCTCACTCATTTTCAAGAGTCCAAGCTTTATTCTGTCATGCTGTAGTGCTATTACTTAACAACATCAAAAGATATGCATGTTGGGAATTCTATGCTGGTCCAGTAGTTAAGAGTCAGTGCCTTCACAGCCTAGGGCCTGGGTTCAATCCCTGGTCAGGGAACTAAGATTCCATAAGCTGCACAGCATGGACAAAAAAAAAAAAATTTATATATAAACACACATGGGCTTCCCCGGTGACTCAGACAGTAAAGAATCCACCTGCAATGTTAAAACCTGGGTTCGATCCCTCGGTCAGGAAGATCCTGGAGAAAGATGTGGCTACCCATTCCAGCATTCTTGTCTGGACAATTCAATGGACAGAGAAGCCTAGCGGACTAAAGTCCATGGGGTTACCAAGAGTCAGACACAACTGAGTGACTTTCACTTTACTTTCCCTGGTGCTCAGTGGTAACGAATTCACCTGTCAATGCAGGAGACTCAGGTTCAATTCCCGGGTCGGGAAGATGACCTGGAGAAGGAAATGGCAACCCACTCCCGTGTTCTTGCCTGGGAAATTCCATGGACAGAGGAGCCTGGAAGGCTATAGTCCATAGGGTCACAAAAGAGTCGGACACAACTTAGCAACTAAACAACAAGCATACATGCGCGCACACACACACACACCATGTGCACGCTAACATGTTAAGCAATACAAAATGACAGTTACCACGTGACTGGCAACTTCTAAAGCGCACACTTGCCTAAGGACAGGGAACAGTTATTCAAAAGGAGCTAAACTGCCATGAAGGGCTTTGCTAAGTTCCGGTATGTTGTGATCACGTAAAGTGAGCCAGGTCCTAAATGCCCCTTCTTCACAACATACATCCGTCAGGAGATCGCCACCTGAGCATAGGATCCAGGCAGGGGAGATCATGCCAAGTCCTGAGGCTGTCTCCTGGCTCTCCAGAAGAGGACATTCTGCTTTAAGAACTTTCTCCATCAACATACCTGACCAGCACATCCTCACCAGTCAGTTCTCGGAGGAGCTGGGTTACCAACCCACTGGTGGTACAGTAGTTCAAAGATTCTGGAGACACAGAAGAAATCTCCACAATTAGCTGAGAGAAAAGAATAGAAAAAGGAGAAAGGTGAAAAGAGCACCAAACTAGTTAGATGGCATTTTAAGTTAAATGCAGGACTAGGAAGTATATTACATACTGGTACAAATTATATATGTACTTAATATAACTGAATTTTTAAAAATCCATAATTTGTCTCCACAAGTAGGACAACTTTGTTGAACACATAAGAAATTACTCTGGCACAGAAACACTCCATATACCTGGGCATATCTTGACTTTTTCAAAAAGAAACCATTAATCGGGACAAAAGCCCGTCGGCAACAACAAACAGATTATAAAAATCGTTCATTCATTCATGTATTCGATCCGTCAGGAATTCACTTACTTAATCAACAAGTATGTTCTGAGGGCTTATGAGAGATCTAGGACAGCAAGGATTTTAAGCAGAAGAATGACAGAATCAGACTTTGACTTTTAAAAGATCGCTCTGACTACATGTGGCAGCAGACTAGCAGTGACAAACCTGCAGATGCGTTTGGATGGAAACCCAGTGCTGCAGGCGCGAGACGCTGACAGCTCAAGAGAGGGTTGCGGCAGCCACAGCAAAGAGGAGAAGTGCACGAGCTTGAGAAAAACTGACGCAGTGTGATGACTGAATGGGCACGTGGTAGGGAGGAGATGGCCTCTGAGAATGAGCAGGAGGTCCAACATCCAGCTTTGTGTGGACTGTGAGACAGGGTCGATTTGTTGCTGCTGTTTTTCATTAGGGGTATGAGGTAAATGCAGAGAATCAGGGGTCTGTTTTGAACATGAGCATGGCCTAGCTTGCCTTCACAAACCCCAACAATTAAAAGTTCAATAGAGGTTAAGGACTCAGGACACCGAGACGAAATGGCTATATAAACAGAAGGAAAACCAAGATTTTTTCATGTTAAGACATGCAAAGTAAGACATTGTTCTGAAGAGGGAATCAGACTATAGAAGCTTCATTTTGAATACACAGTCTACTAACTGCGTGGTCTTGGGTAAATGACTCCATTAATAGTGAGATTAATGATAATGAACTATAGGGTTTACTGTGAGAATTGAAGACAATATAGATGAGAGGACTTAGCATACTGCTCAGTAGAAAGCTTCTTCTTACTACCACTACTACACTCATCTTTTCAAAGAGTAATTTCAATGGTATCTCCTTTATTATATCAATAGTCCTTAGTGAAAGTGAAAGACGCTCAGTTGTGTCCAACTCTTTGTGACCCATGGACTATACAGTCCATGGAATTCTCCAGGCCAGAATATTGGAGTGGGTAGCCTTTCCCTTCTCCAGGGGATCTTCCGAACCCAGGGACAGGACCCAGGTCTCCAACACTGCAGGCAGTATAAATATTTTTTATACGACTGTCTCACACACTAGGCTGGGAGTTCATCTCTACATTGCTAGCGACCAGTATAGGGCCTAACATGGACTATACACTCAATAAATACATGTCAAATGAGCCATCTTGCCTTATTATGTGAGCCCTACTGCATTCTGAATTACAGGTACCAGACAGTATGCTTTTAGTCTTACCTCATACACTCTATACCGAACAATGTCATTTGTTTTCATGACACTTTTCAAATCATCCAGCAGATTACTTTCAAATAAAGCCTCCAGTCCAGCTTGGGTCAGTGATATTCTTGACAGGGATTTAATGGCCTTATGAGGAAAGAAAATATCTCTTAAGTAGTCAAAATGCCAAACTGCATTTTCTACTTCCTAAGATTGAAGCGAAAATTAGTGCATGGAATGCACCTTATCCAGAGAGCATTCACTACATTTTAGGTATAATTACTTATAATTGGAAAAGATACACTGTATTTCCAATAGAAAATAGAAACAGTTTCTTATCAAGCAACCCAAACAACTTATGTAAGCTCCATGATGGGTAATTTAGACACGTGTATTCTAGAAAATAACAGGGGTTTACTAGCTTTTTTTTTTGACAACCACTTATTTATTTGATCCCATTGATATGAGGTTGCAAACTCAATTACACAAATCATTAATTCTAAACCTTCACCTCTCAATCCAGAAGGCCTTTCTCTATTTTTTAGGACGTCGTCATGGCATGTTTAGGCGATGGTTATAGCTGACTCACCGTTTTAGCTACAGACAGATTCTCTCCACCAATACAATAAACAATTTGTTTCAGTAATTCAGCGTTATTCAGAATCTCAGTAACAGCATCAGAATTTTCAACAATCCTTCCAACCTGAATGGAAAAAAAACAAACAGAAATACTCTTCGACGGCAGGGCAACATGGAAGCACATGACAGATTTCCTCCGTGTCAGGAGTTGCTGGCTTTAGCCATGAGTCGTCAGAAGTGCCAAATGACTCAGATTCATTAAAGTCAACACACAGATGGCACAGTCACATCTCTGTCATTTTTTTCCCCCCACATCTTTGAAAGAAAAAAACAAAACAGGTGAGTTAAGGCTTAAGACACCCCAGTGAGTGAACACAGTACAGATCCAGCTTCTGTCAACTTTCAGGGGTTAATCGTGAGAGCAGATTAACTTCTTTGAGCCTAACTTTTTGTCTGTAAGATAGGAATACAATACTTAGCTGCAGGATCATAATAAAGATTAAATGAAACTTAAATAGGTAAAACCAGAGTTTTGCAAGCAAATGATTAATGGATAACTTGACACCTTCCCCTTTTCTTGAATAAATACTTTAGAGGAGAAAAGAAAAAACAGTAATTGAACATCTCTTGGATAACTAACTGCTCAGCTTGTGTCCCTTCACGATAATCCTCAGCATCAGCTCTTCATCCAAACAGCAGCAAGTTTGGTTACCAGGCTGGTAAGAGTGACTGCCAATTTGTTGGTGTAGTGACCTTTATAATAGTACTTCGTTCAAGCCACTATAAGACTTACCATGGCAATCTTTTTTTCTAGACTTAGGGCTCCTTGGAGGAAAGAAACAGGCCTTATTTAATAGCTTTTGTATCAGGCATTTTACCATATACTAACATCATACGGTAAAATGTCTGACAAAAGCAACTCAGTATTTGACAAAAAACTGATTCAGATGGTACTTATTGGAATTTCTTACTTCAGCTTGCATTCCCCAACTATAATTAGCTACACACACTAGATAATTCTTACAGACAGAGAGAGCATGCATTTTCTTCACCTCTCTGTCTCTGGCACCCAGCATAGAGCCTGGCCCAGGGCAGATGGTCACTAAACGTTGATTCCCTTACGTGCTAGTAAAATATTCATACCTGGGACAGAGTGAGGATTTTTACAGAATCATTAGGGTGAGTCAGTCCCCTCTGCAGGTCAACCCTGAGGTTCCGGGCCACATGAACTGGCTCCAAAGCTTGCAGCAATCTCTCCAGGATGGATACACACAAAGTAGTCTGTTCCCTAAAGGAGACACCATAGATCTCATCAATTCCTGTCCTACCAGGTAGGAAGTAACAACCTAATCCTAAAGGAAATTAGTCGTGAATATTCACTGGAAGGACTGATGCTGAAGCTCCAATCCTTTGGCCACCTGATGCGAAGAACTGACTCACTGGAAAACATCCTGATGCTGGGAAAGATTGCAGGTAGGAGGAGAAGGGGATGACAGAGGATGACATGGTTGGACGGCATCACCGACTTGATAGACATGAGTTTGAGCAAACTCCGGGAGCTGGTGATGGACAGGGAAGCCTGGTGTGCTGCAGTCCATGCTACTTATACAGTCGCAAAGAGTAGGACACGACTGAGCAATTAACTGAACTGAACAACCTTAATATCTGACACCAAGCTTAAAGAGGCTCTCCTCCACACAGGGACTTACCTTTGAAAGACCACTTCTACTAATTTATTCAACATTTACTAAGTATCTATTATGTACCATGTTAGTGCTGGGATATATATATATATATATATATATATATATATATATAAAATATATACTAAAGATAAGCTATATTCTCTGATCTCAAGGAGCTCATTTAATGGAAGACACAGAAAAACAGAAAGGCAACTATAATCCAGGTAGATAAAGGCTACAGGTTAGGGCTGGAAGCTGAGGGAGCTCAGAAAAGAAGATGGGGTTCAGGGAATGCCTCCCAGAAGGTAACACCTAATGAAACTTTAAGAAAGCATGGTAGTTATCTAAGAGAAGTGTTCCAGGCAAAGGTGGTATGAGCACAAAGGAATACACATATAGGAATGAGACAGTGTTATGTATTCAAGGAACCACAGGTCGCTCGGTATAATGGGGTGGGAGATAAAGTGGGGAGAAGGATGAATGAAAAAAAAAACAGGAAAGATGCACAGAAGCTGGATTTGGACAGGTCTTTTATGTCCTGCTATGCAATTTAGCCTTTCCCTAGAAAGCAATGGAAAGCCATTAAGTGGTTTTAAAGCAGAAAAGGAACACAGTGAGATCTGACTTGTAGAAATCACTGTATCAGTTTTAGAGAAAGAATTTCCAGTTAGAAGTTACTTGATGGTGAGAGGTGATAAAGGAGCAAAAACGAGGAAGTAACAGTGAGAAAGGAGAAGAGGGAAAAGATTCAAGAGCTATTAAGGAGGCAAATTAAGCAGAACTTGATGACTACCAGATGCAGACAGAGGTGTTTCACAAGTAATTTCCTTGTCTCTTAATAGGCCGTACAAATACATGGGCACTCATATACTACTAACAGGAGTATAAAGATAAACGGCGCCTTTGTAAAAGGGAAGTAAGCGATATAGCAATGCACGGCTCCACAGGTGGCACAGAATCTGCCTGCCAATGCACGGGATGCAACAGACACGGGCTCAATGTCTGGGTCGGGAAGATCCCTTGGAGAATGAAAAGGCAACCTGCTCCAATTTTCTTGCCTGAAAAATTCCATGGACAGAGGAGCCTAGAGGGCTAGAGTCCATGGGGTTGCAAAGAGTCAGTCATGACTGAGCACAGCAACACACAGCAATTCAAAGCAAATGAACATATCCTTTTAACTTAGTGACTGCACTTTGCACAATCAAGCCCAAGAGAGTAGTTAATTTTTTTATTCTCAAGTCAAAACGTATGTCCACACAAAAACCATACACCAATGGTCATAGACCCTGCTTGCCAGGGGCTGGAGGAGGGATGAGAGGGGGAAATAGAAAGTGACTGCTGATGGCTATAGGTTTCTAAGATTAAGCCTCTGCCTGTGTGGATCACAACAAGCTATGGAAAATTCTTAAAGAGATGGGAATACCAGATCACCTTACCTGTGGTCAGTTAGAACCAGACATGAACAAGTGACTCGTTCAAAATTGGGAAAGGAGCATGACAAGGCTGTATACTGTCACCCTGCTTATTTAACTTATATGCAGAGTTCAGTTCAGTTGCTCATTGTGTCCGACTCTTTGCGACCCCATGGACTGCAGCACACCAGGCGTCCCTGTCCATCACCAACTCCCGGAGCTTACTCAAACTCATGTCCATTGAGTTGGTGATGCCATCCAACCAACTCATCCTCTGTCGTCCGCTTCTTCTCCTGCCTTCAATCTTTCCCAGCATCAGGGTGTTTTCCAGTGAGTCAGTTCTTTGCATCAAGTGGCCAAAGTATTTGAGTTTCAGCTTCAGCATCAGTCCTTTCAATGAATATTCAGGACTGATTTCCTTTAGGATGGACTGGTTGGATCTCCTTGAAGTCCAAGGGACTCTCAAGAGATTTCTCCAACACCACAGTTCAAAAGCATCAAATCTTCGGCACTCAGCTTTCTTTACAGTCCAACTCTCACATGCATACATGACTACTGGAAAAACCATAGCCTTGACTAGACAGACCTTTGTTGGCAAATTAATGTCTCTGCTTTTTAATATGCTGTCTAGGTTGGTCAGTTTTTCTTCCAAGAGCAAGGGTCTTTTAAGTTCATGGCTACAGTCACCATCTGCAGTGATTTTGGAGCCCCCCAAAATAATCTGTCACTGTTTCCATTGTTTCCCCATCTATTTGCCATGAAGGGATGGGACTGGATGCCATGATCTTAGTTTTCTGAATGTGGTGCTTTAAGCCAGCTTTTTCACTCTCCTCTTTCACTTTTATCAAGAGGTTCTTTAGTTCTTCACTTTCTGCCATAAGGGTGGTATCATCTGCATATCAAGGTTATTGATATTTCTCCCAGCAACCTTGATTCCAGTTTGTGCTTCATCCAGTCTGGCATTTCTCATGATGTACTCTGCATACAAGTTAAATAAGCAGGGTGACAATATACAGCTTTGATGCACTCCTTTTCCTATTTGGAACCAGTCTGTTGTTTCAGGTCCAGTTCTAATTGTTGCTTCCTGACCTGCATACAGGTTTCTCAAGAGGCAGGTCAGGTGTTCCAGTATTCCCATCTCTTTAAGAATTTTTCCACAGTTTGTTTTGATTCCCACAGTCAAAGGCTTTGGCATAGTCAATAAGGTACAAATAGATGCTTTTCTGGAACTCTCTTGTTTTTTCGATAATCCAGCAGATACTGGCAATTTGATCTCTGGTTCCTCTGTCTTTTCTAAATGCAGCTTGAACATCTGGAAGTTCATGGTTCACGTACTGTTGAAGCCTGGCTTGGAGAATTTTGAGCATTGCTTTGCTAGAGTATGAGATGAGTATATGCAGAGTACGTCATGAGAAATGCCTGGTTGGAGGAAGCACAAGCTGGAATCAAGGTTGCCGGGAGAAATATCAATAACCTCAGATATGCAGATGACACTACACTTATGGCAGAAAGTGAAAAGGAATTAAAAAACCTGTTGATGAAAGTGAAAGAGGAGAGTCAAAAGGTTGGCTTGAAACTCAACATTCAAGAAACTAAGATCATGGCATCCAGTCCTATCACTTCATGGCAAACAGATGGGGAAACAGTGGAAACAGAGACAGACTTTATTTTCTTGGGCTCCAAAATCACTGCAGATGGTGACTGCACCCATGAAATTAAGACACTTGTTCCTTGGAAGAAAAGCTGTGACAAACCTAGACAGCATACTAAAAAGCAGAGACATTAGTTTGCCGACAAAAGTCCATCTAGTCCAAGCTATGGTTTTTCCAGTAGTCATGTATGGATGTGAGAGTTGGACTATAAAAAAATCTGAGCACTGAAGAACTGATGCTTTTGAACTGTGGTGTTGGAGGAGACTCTCGAGAGTCCCTTGGATTGCAAGGAGATTCAACCAGTCCATCCTAAAGGAAATCAGTCCTGAATATTCATTGAAAGGACTGATGCTGAAGTCCAATCTTTCGGCCACTTAATGGGAAGAACTGACTCACTGGAAAACACCCTGATGCTGGGAAAGATTGAGGGCAGGAGGGAAGGGGACGACAGAGGATGAGATGGTTGGATGGCATCACCAACTTGATGGACATGAGTCTGAGCAAGCCCCAGGGAGTTGGTAATGGACAGGGAAGCCTAGTGTGCTGCAGTCCATGGGGTCATAAAAGAGTCAGACATTACTGAGCAACTGAACTAAGCTGAGAAAAAACCCTGAACCAATATATAGCCCAGAAAAACAGCAAAATATCTAGAGATTGCCAATTCAATATCCAGAGAAGAATTATTCCCACAAATTGCAGTAGGTATGTACTACCCTGTCTTTAAATTTCCACTGACACTGTTTTCTAGAGTACTGCTCCTTCTTTCAGCAAACTACCTCCCCTGAAGACCTTATTCTTCAAACTCTCCTTCATTTCAGTCCCATTTGCATCCCTGGTGTTAACTTATGGTGTGACCACTGAAAGTCTCTTCATCTATAATATAAAGTGGTTGGACTAGTTGGGCTGTCTAAAATTTATGCATCTTTTATTTGGCATATATCATATTATGTGCGGCATCCTAGGAGGGATGCAGAGATGAACAAAACATGGCCCCTGTCTTCAAAGAATTTACAAACTAGAACGAAACACAGATGGAATTACAACATAAGGCAAAAGTGTCAAGTATCATTAAGAGAAATAAATATAATGTCCTCAAGGAGATCTGAGATCTGTCACTCACAACTAGAGTGACCAAGAAAGACTTTTTGGAGGGGAAGGCACTTCATCTGGGCCTTAAAAAGATGGATAGATTTGGAGAGAAGGAAAGAAGGTTATTTCAGTTAGAAGGACTGGCATGAACAAAGTTAGAAAAGTGCCAAGTCATGCTTAAGGAAAAGTAATTGGCACCAAGTGGTAGCTGGAGCAGATAAAATGTGTAGCGTGGAGAAACAAGATGAGGCTGGAAAAGCAGGGTGAAAATAAACTGTAAGGGTCCAAATGCCAGACTGACAAGTCTGACTTTTACACCGAAGGCACTGGGAAACCATGGAAAAGCTGGGAGTCAAACAACCTGAGAAGTTCACTGTGGTTGAAATGTGGGAAGAAAAACTCAGGGATAATGAGATATCAAACTAATCCAACAGGTCTAGCAAGAGGCGGAAAATGAGGGCCTGAAATAAAACGGACATATAAGAGGGATTTAATAAGCAGGTCTAAATAATGTTGACTAACAGAATTAATGAAGGGATAACACATACGAAAAAGAGAGGAGTCTTAGAAGGTCAGAGCCAAAAAAGTCCTCTGAAATCATCCAGTCTTGATTCAGTGATTCATTATCTTTTCAAGAAAGAAGGTCACTTTTAAACTGCTGGACCACAAACATTTTAAAAGTCTTAGGTTATCAGATGATCAAATACAAAGCATTTAAAAATCAAACAGTACAGATATACATAAAATGAAAAGTAAAATTCCATCCTACCATTCTAAGTTCCATTTCCATATTAATAGCTTCTGATGTACCTTTCAGATATTTCTAATGTTACATTGGCCGGTGTTCATGTGGGTGTGGGAGGGTTCTGATTCTTTTCCAAAAATTACATATAATGGAATTATAAACCCCAACAATTTTTTCATTCAACAACATACATTAGAGATCTATGTCCATATACAGAGAGACACATACAGCTAAAAATTGAGTAGTCATATGTCATAATTTAAGGATCTCCTTTCAATAGATATTCAGGTCGTCCCTAGTTGTTTGCTTTTGTTTGGTTTTTGCTGTCAATTTCTGTCATGAATGAACCTGTAGATACAGTACATGTGTGTGAGTATACCTGAACGTTAAGTTTCTGTAACAGGAATTATTGGATAAGGGTATGTGAATCTAAAATATCGACAGAGCCTACCAAACCGCCAGGACAGGACCTCTCCTAAAGAGAGAAAAAGTCACGGGCTTGGATGCGTGTTTGCGGAGCCCCTCCTATAGGCGGGCAACCGTGCCTGTCGCCGGCTAGCTTTCTCAAGGATGAAGGCGGCGAGTCCAAACGACGGCCCGGGGGCACACCTCGGCGCCTGGGCTGGGGCCCCGTCTCCGGCCGCTCGGCCCTGGCTCCTTCCTCTCTGAAATTCCATCTATACTCAGCCTTCACTGAGACTGGGAGAAGCCTCCCCCGTCACCACCCCCATCCCCGGCTCCACACTCGGGGGTGTCATTGTCCCCCGCTCAAGCTGCAGGGGCCTCTCACCGATGGTTCTCGCTGAGCAGGGAGAAAAGCGGGCCAAGGCGCAGCTCCGCCGCGTGCTCGCGGAGCTCGCTGAGCGGCACCGACTGTAGCAGCGACTGCAGAGCGCGCAGCTCCTCCAGCGGCGCCTCCAGCCGCGACACCTCCCTTAGCAGCGCCAGGGCCTGGGCCGCCATGATGCCCCCTCCCGCCGGGGCTCGCCCGTCAGCCCGCCCCGCTCCTGGTTCGCGGCGCGCTCCTTCGAGCCTCGCGAGATCTGCCCGGCGCAGCCTCCCTTCCCTGAGTGTTGGCCGAGCCCAAATCGCCCCGGCAGCACCAATGGCATTGCTCAGCTGCCGGGCCGCGCGCGTTCGGGAGCTGCCAAGCCTCGCGATGCCCGGGCCCACTAGGGTGGCTGGTAGTTACGGGGGTCTCAGCCGTGTGTCCTCATGGGTGCCGCTCAGCGGGCCCGCGGCTCTGGTTTGTTTGCTGCTGGCGCATTGAGCGCGAAGACTGGGTCAATGTCCGGCAAGCGGGGTGGCGAGAATGAGAACCAGCCGAAGGTTAAACGGCCTTGCCTTCGGCCCCCTGGCTCTGAAACCAAGCTGTGGTGAGGCTTAGGCCTCCAGGGCGCAGCGGAGGCGGTGAACATCCTGCTCCCGGGCCAGACATGTAATAGAGGAGGCGAAGGGTCGGGCCTCTGGAAGATGAAAGTTCTCGAGGAGCGGGAAGAAGGCGTGAGTAACACCGACGTGGGGCCGTGCACACCCTTAAGCAAAACGAGAAGGCCGTCGGGGCCAGCATGGAGAGTTTTTCGCGCGTCTGCTCCTAGGTGCTGTGCATTCCCAAGGATGTAAACGTCGAGAAAATGGAAACTTCAGTTAATCTTTTGGGTCTAGGATTGGCGGCGGCGGGGGGAGGGGGGCGCCAGCCGGCGATCTCTATCGCTGAAGGCTGACCGCAGCCAGGCCAAACAGGTTTACATGCAATTGGTGGAACATGCAACTGGCAAGGACAACCCAGATGAGTTTCATGCGAGCAAGGGATGGTTTGAGAAATTTAGAAATTACTGTAGACTGCGAAATTCGAGTTTGATGGAAGATCCGTTAAATACCCAGTCACCACCCACATATTCCAAGCAACTCTAGAAACTGATCAGAGCTAGAGGCTTTAACCTCAACCATCAAGGAAATGACTCTGCTTTGGAAGTGCTTGCCTTTGTGTACTTTTGGGGGAAAAGACAGAAATCAGGGAAACTCAGAACGCTAAGGACAGATTTCCCTCAGATTTTGTGCCCGTGCTGCAGGTGACAAAATGAATAACCCGTTGTTGCTTTATGAAGACCCCAAATTCCACTTGTGTTATGAAAAAAGATATAAAATGCTTTCTCGTTTTTCTGGCGATCACAAACCTTATCGTTAACAGCTACCCTCATTTTGGATTAGCTCCATAATGGTTTTATTCTTTGAGCCTGGAATTATTTAACTTCCCCAAATCTTTTCTTCAGAGTATAGCTAATAGTGATCCCAGTCACCCAGACTCATTATTCCTTGCTCATCCCCACGTTGTTACTATGCTTCTCTGTCTGGAACGCAGTAGCTATCTTTAGCCTTTGGATCAGAGTATAGTTGAAGCTTTCATGGAGTATTACACCAAGCATACGTTTGACCACTTTGCCCGTGGTATTGGAAAAAAAAACAAAGACCCTTTGCTCACTTTAAAAGAAACATGGCAACAATTCTACACTGCTGTTGCTTTGGTAGTAATAAAAGAGGTGATGGATGATAAAAACCAAATGCTCTTGATAAAGCTTGGTGGAAGCTTTGCTGTGATGTTATGAATGACTATGCATGTTTCCCTGGAGCTAAAGAAGCTGAAAAAAAATCATAGTCTGCAAATCGGATGGGCTTTAAATTCATCAATATGAAACTTAAGTTTCAAGCTTTGGCAGTAACAGAGAGTCTGTGTTTTGAGATGATAGATACACGTCTGTACCTTGAGAGGGAGAAGGCAGATCTTTGGAACCAGAGATTAAGATGAACCTGAGGAAACAATGCTGTCCTACACCAGGTGTCAGACCTCATCTGCGCTGCGACTCATGGATTCTTCCCTGGATGGAGGTTTGGCCTTTAAAAGAGACTTCAATAAATTGCTGTATACATATAGAAGAGGTGCAAAACGAACCTTCAAAATAAAGTAGAGGAGCTGAAGAAAGAGAAGGAAGATACAAACAGTATTGTGGATGAAAGAGAGGGGTACAGAATCTGACTCTGAGTTCCCCTCTGAATCCAGTAAGGAGGAGGAAAGAGAGAGAAGGGAAGATGCCCCCAGAAGAAGAGCCTGTGATCTCAGGTGGTGGCACTGAGGTTCTTACTAGAGCTGAAGGGTCTGCCAGGGCCATAAATGCAGAATTGGACGTTTGGAATCTGACCTTGGAATTGACTCTGAAGAGAGCAGAGGTGCCTGAGTTGAAGGAAGAAGAGAATCCAGAGGTGGTTTCTTCCACATAGCAGTTCATCCCTTGCCATCCTTTGCCCCAACGTCACCTTCATCATGACCATCCTTATTATCACCGGTCACACATCCGTATCATTTAGTCATTCAACAAATATTTATTGAACATAATCTATGCAGGAAGCTGTGCTAAATTCTGGGACATCATCTCAGGATCTAAGGTAAAATGGTCATTAACAGTGACCTTTCTTACTAATATAACGGATTGAGAAGATCACAGTCTTGATTTATTTTAGTGGACTTTGACTATAAAGGGTTTTTTAAGGACCACTCAGCCTCATTTTTTCTAACCCTGTTTTTTTTCATACATGCTAAGTTCTTCAATCACAACTGGGGATTTTCTGAGTTAACCTTGTTTGGTAGTGGCATGAGACTGCTCTTGAAATGCTGACATGATCTCACATTTTATAAAACACTCTTACATTAATCTTCTGTTAATCTTCACTTTGGACCTATGAAAGAGGTATTAGCTCTTTCTTTACCAAAAAGAAAAAAGCCCCCAAAGCTCAGAGAGGTTAAGTAATTTGCCTGAGTCTACACAGCCATCATAAATGATAGGACTAGGGCTTTGCTAGAAAGTTATCAGGCCTTTTAAGAACAACAGTCCCAAGGAGTAAGGCAGGCAGGTGAGCAGGCAGTCAGACACAGAAGCTGTGAGCTGGCAGCTTGCCCACCAGCTTGGGGATCCGGTGTGTTTTGTCTGCCCAGGTTAAAACAATTCCTAATTGGTTTTCAGCCTTCCCCCACCCGCTTTGCTAGAGCTACTATTTACATAGAATACAATTTACCAATTTAAGTGTGCAGTCTGTTGAATTTTTTAATGTTTGTGTAATCACTACTACAGTCAAGATAAAGAGTAGTTTTCCTTGGCTTAAAATTTACTTAGGGTCTTACCAGCAGTGTGATCATGTAAAAATTAAAATATTTCACATTAAGAAGCTGGATTAAAAAATTGGAAATGCTGAAAGCCATGGACTCTGCATCCCCAAAGGGCAACAGTCAGTCATTAGCTTGCCGCTTTTGAGTTTGTTTTAGCCGCTGATGTTAAATGCTGCCTCAGAAGTGTGGACAGAGTGCCTTGGGGGAAATGGAACCTTGGGATTAACCTTGGTAAAGGCTGCACAGACCAGCTGGCCTTGAAAGATGGGTGAGTTTACAGGGAGAGCAGGCAGCGGCAGGAGTGTTTTAAACCGGGGAGGATTAGAAGGGAGATTCTGTGGGTGGACACGAAGTCAGCCATGTGTGGGCCTCATTTACTTGGGTTTGTTTTTATTTTTTTGATGGGATGGGCCTCAGTGGAAGAGTTTTGTGTATTTGTGTTTGTGGGCTGTGGTTTCTGAAGGTTTTATATATCGAAGAAGCTTTAATCTGTACACCTCAGGGGATTTTATGGTTTTTGGTATGTGTGAGAATGGGGAGGGAAAATTAGTGTTTTTATTTTTGCAGGGGTTGGTTTGCACAGGGTGTTTGGGTTATATGTTTTTAGAGAGCTGCCCCGTGAAAAATGAGTTCCTCTTTCCCCGCCCCCTCCACCCTCTCCTTCCGGCCAGCCTGGCTGGGACCTGGCCGGGCAGTGGGGCAGGCAGCAGGTGGTTAGAGGAGAGGGGGCTCAGGCCCTTCGATCCCACCCGTCCGCCAGTGACTTTCCCTCAGGCTGCAGTTCCCATAGCCTGTGCTGGCTTAGTCACCAGCGACGCCATGGACAGGCTGGGCTCACGGTGCCCTCTGCCAGGCTACGCACGGCCCTCTTTCCTGATATGCCTCTTGGTGAGTGTTCCACAGTACAATGCTATGAATCCTCTCGCCTCTAAACCTCCAGCCTGGGGATTGAGGGAAGAAGGGGCATTTGTGTTGTATACTCCTGGGATTTTGAGCTGGGGGCAGGCAGGTAGTAGGTGGATGGTGAAATCCCTGGAGGTACCACCCCGTGTCCTGGAGATTGTGGTGTGATTCTGAAGCTTACCAGCACCCCTTTCTGCCCTGCCATTGAGGAGTGGTGACCGGGCTGTTTCACGGCCCAGGAGGGTGGGGTGCTGAAGGTGTCTGCTGGTGCATTCTCACCTAAGGGCCCCATGCTAGTTTCTTGTCCTCTTCCCAGTGCGGTTACCATCTCATTGTTCTGGGGGCTTGGTTGTCCCATCTCTGAAGTATCTTCAGATGTGGCTGCAGGGTACCTGTTCGTGGTGCTGGTGCTAGCTGCTCTTGGGGGCAGCTGCTCTTGGGGTGGTGGAAAGGACTGACGAAGCCCAGGGGTCTATCCCAGCTCTGCTGCTCACCTTTCTGGCAATTTCTTCCCCTCTCTGGCCCTTAATTAACTGGCACACATCAGTGATGCTTAACATTTTGGGGACTATAGATTTTCTTGGGGTGTGTGTGTGTGAAAATTCTGGATTTGCACCCAAGGAAAGTGTGTAGATAAGCACAATGTTAATTTCAGGAGTATTGACAAATTCCTTAAAACTAGGTATGTTATAAATTTAGAAACACTAGGTGGTTTCTGAGGCCCCTTCTGCCTTAACACAGATTGTAAAGTCAACCATAAACTCTTAAGGACGTCCCCAACAGTCCAGTGGTTAGGACTCCACATTCCATTGCCGGGGAGTTGAGTGTGATCGCTGGTTGGGGAACTAAGGTCCCAAATGCCTTGGGGTGTGGCCATGAAATTAAAGAAAACTAAACAAAACCATAACCTCTTAAAGGTTAGGCAGATACTCCAGTACCAAAAAAGGAAAAAGGCAGAATGAAGTAATTGAAAGGGTACATAAAATATTTTAAAACAATATAAAATTAGAAAAGATGTAAAGATATAAATATGAAAATGTTATAAACTTACAGTAATAAATATAATGTTTCTATTAGGAAATATGTTGATATGTGTATTTTGCATGTAATATCACTTTCTAATGTACTATAGTCCACCTTTGATTCCAAACTGACCTTTCATATCTTCTGATTCTTTGTTAATATGGTCCACAAACACTTCTCAAGTCCATACCTCTTATCAGGGCTTGTAAAGTGCTGAGGATACAGAAATGAATCAGCTTACATCCAATGAGGAAGAGATGTATGTAAACTACTGTATTTCAGTGTGATCAATGGTACAGTAGAAGGATGTTTAACAGCAATCCTGGCCTCTACCAATGTCATTTCCTCCCCGGTCATGACATCAAAATTGTCCCTAGATGTGGCCAGATGTCCCCTGGGGCAGGGGCAAAATTGCCTCAAGCTGAGAGCCACTGGATTAAGTGAAGCTGAAATAACCCCACTGTGTCACCTCCTACTGATGCTCCTTACAGTTCAGAGAGCCCAGAATGGGAGGCAGGAGTTTGGATTTAAGTCTTGGTTTGGTCACAGGACTGCCTCAGTTACCTTATCTGTTAAAGGAAGGACTGTCTTAGGTAATACCCAAGTGCCCAGACTACCTCTGAGTGCACAAGAGTTTCCGTACATTTTAGGTGAGTTTATATTTAATCCTGTGAGCTCTGTGTTCCACTGATGAAAAGACGTAAAGATATAAATATGAAAATATTATAAACTTACAGTAATAAATATAATGTTGGCTGAAATGCCCTAGATCTCTCCTAGGAATGGCTTCTTTGGTTAGGGGACAGACTGTTGCTCCTTTTGTTTAGAGTCCGTGCTGAAAGACACCTTAGAGTCGTGTATCTGACCCCTTAGAGTGTTCTAGTATGTCCGATTCTCTGCCAAAAGCTCTGTGGATGACCCAGAAGCCCTACTTACTTCACAAGACTGTTTAGTCTCCATCTCAGCATCTTGCTGGTGTACAAATTCACCAGTCTGCAGGTTATTTCTTGAGAACCTGCTGTGTGCCATGAACTCTCCTGGGGACACAGTGATGAGCAAAGTGTGGTTCCTTTCCTTATTGGATTAGTGGTCAAAAACTTTTTCCTCTCTTGTTTGAACCCATGGCAACTCTGAGGTAGGCAGCACAAACATTGTAATCTCCAATTTCTAGGTAACATTTATAGAAGAGAGAGGAAGTAGCTTGTTGAAGACTGCAGAGCTGTACCAACACTAGGTTTTAAATCCTGCTGTTTAGTGCCTTTGTTTTATATCCTATATAATCTAATTGAGTTGTCACTAACAACTTCCTTGAAAACCCTGGTTGTTATTGTGTGGTCACTGGTTTATTTCAGAGGGATAGTATGTTGGACTGGAGATTTTGGGGGAGGTCGTGGGAGGGAATGAGAGGCCCACCCCAGACTGAAGCTAAAGACACAAAAACGCTACTCAGGCCCTGCCAAGATGTAGGAGCCAGGCAGGGCCAGGCGATAACGTAGGAGTGGGAAGACAGAGGTTTGTTTGACAAGACATGAGCCCCGGACTGGCAGGCAGGAGAAACGTGTTCTTGTTCCGTCCTGCCTGAGTCACAGTGGGGCTCCTTGCAAGTTGCCTCCATCTCTATTAATGACTCTTCTGTATCCCCCAAGCAAAGTACCCTGGAAGATGTCCTCCAGTTCTTTTTATTTCTTCTTATTTTAGATGTCTTATCATTAAAATAGCAAGAAAAAATTGTATCTTGACTGTCTTTTCCTCTCCTGTTATCAGTGTCCTTTTCTTACCTCAGGATCTTAATGTCTTTTTCCTGCAACATTGTAATGGCCTTTGAATAGCCTATCTCTGATCACTCCCCATCCTCCTTTCCATTACTCTGCTCAGCCTGATCATGTTATTACTCTTCTACTTAAGAAACCTCCAAAAGCACCCTATCACCCGAGTACAAACCCCATATTCCTTAGCCTGACCCTTTATAGTTCTAGCCAGACTCATTTTCCTCCCAATTTCATGCACACTGACAAAGACCCATGCAGTCTAGATAATTCATCTGTCCCCAGATACCTCTTGAGTTTGCACATATTAACCTTATCTTCTTTTTCAGTCCTATTATTTCAGTTCCAACTTGGATGATACCTTCTCTTCAAAGCCTTTCCTGCCCACAACAGGTGGAGCCTTCCTGTTGGACCTCCCCCACCGCCGGTTGTCTGCCATAGTAGCGCAGGTCCCATTGCTTTAGCATTAGACTTCCTTTTCCACTGGCCTCCCCACAGCGCCTGGCCTGCACCTCTGGTAGCAGGTTTTTGCAGTGGGAATGGATTTCAAGTTATCCAGGCTCCACTCCTGTTCTTGGCTTCACCAATTAAAAGCTGTGTGATTTTTTTTTGTGTGTGTGTGGCCATGCCACCTGGCTTTTTGGTCTCACGGGGGTCTTAGTTCCCCAACTAGGGATTGAACCTGGGCCCTGGAAGTGAATACGCTGAATCCTGACCACTGGAACACCAGGGCATTACCAAAGCTGTGTGATTTTGAGCAAATGTCTTGATTTTTAAGCCTTTTTTTTTTTTTAACCATTTGCAAAATGCAGAGGAAAATAATCTAGGCATGACAACATTAAGCACTGAAGCTCAATACTGATCGTAGGAATCACTTTGTGGGTGGGAAATGGGGATAAAAGCATGTTGCCCAGCGTTGGTTCCAGTCTGCTTGAGCTTGCAGGTGGTGAGCTGGTCCACGCCTCTGCTGATCTGCGCTTTCCTTTCCCCCTGTGTAGATCCTGACAGCCTCTCTCCTGACATACCCCGTGCTCAGGACCGTCAGCCTGCAGCTCCTTTCGCTTGTCACCGGCAGCTATGTGTCCGGCACGTACTCCATTGTTTTTGTCAACTGTCCCAACGAGCAGATTGCCAGAGATATTGCCAGGTACGGGGAAGGGGCTGAGGTACTGCCCCAGGGGCTCGGGAGCCACCAGGAGGCTCCAGAGGGGCCACTTCGGGACTCCCTCTTTTGCTTTTGACAACCCCATCTGTCCAGTGAGGGACTGCACAGCTGTCTAATGGGGGCGATTTGAGAGGCACGCGTGAATGACACTTGGATCCTGTTTCTGGGCCTGAAAATGTTGAGTGGTGCCAGGGGGCAGATAAGAGACCTGAGACCCAGAGAGCTAGGCGCCTTGCTCAGATGGAAGCCTACAGGTTGAGCATTTAACAGTTCTAATTCCTGACCCAGCTCTCTTTATTTCTGGAGATAGTCTTTGCTCAGTCCCAGAGATGTGGACCATGACAGGAGGAGGAGGAGGAGGAGACCAATTCCAGGTGTTTGGCGAGTTACTGAAAGCAGTGGTGGAGAGAGCCCATGACCAGAGTTGAAATCTTGGCTCGGTCTCTTGCTGACTGTGACCTCCGGCAAGTTGCTCCCCTTCTCTCAACCTTAGTTTTTTGAATTATTGTTGTTGAGAGGATTAAATGATACGGTATCTGTTCAGTCCTTACTCCACTGACTCAAATGTAACAGATGCACAATAAATGTTGTATCTGATTCCCACCCCCTCCCCCTCACTCCTTTTTTGTTTTTTGGCTGCACCGAGCAGCTTGTGGTGTCTTGGTTCCCAGAATGGTGGTTGAGCCCAGAACCAGGGCGGTGAAAGAGCCGGGTCCCGACCACTGAGCTGCTAGGGAAGATGCCCCTCCTTTATAACGGCAGCTCTGAAGAGGGTTAGTGGGGCTGAGGGCTAATAAACTTGACTTCTAGCTCCTCTTCTTGCTCTGCAATTCCGCATTCTTGAAGTTTGGTGCTGGTTATAGTGTTTTATGTGTTGAATCTGGTCTTTGGGGGCACACAGCTGCCAAACTGATGGTCACAGGTTAACTTTGGATTTGATTACGTCTTTCCTGCCCCTAAACAGAATGTCTATTTTTTTCCTTATTAACATTGCTTTTGGAGAACAGCTTTTGTCTGAATGAGCATATGATTACTCCAGAAATATGACCTCAGCTTTTAGCAGCTAGGAATTGAAATCCCTTCTGTGCTTCTGGTATACCCAGGGCCTGTGCCGAACTCACTGGACCCCTGGATCAGCCACTCTGGGTCCTGTCAGGAGCAACTTCAGGTGACACCTGTGAGGTGTTGGGTACTGTGAGGAAAAGAGCTCTAAGGACTGGATTCTAAATAGTGGAAAGGCCAGTTGAGGGGAATGGATTGGTTTCAGCTTGGAGATGTCTCTGCTATCTTGCATCCAGGGTTGCTGATGAAAAGTAGCAATGGATCTCATTCCTTTGTAGGTAACACATTTTCTCTCTGCTAGTTTTTAGGAGCGTATCTTAATGTTCAGTTGTTAACTTTTTAAATATACTCTCTCTATTCTTTCTGTGTCCTTTTCCTGGATGTTGAATTCGTTTTCTGTGACTGACTTTATAGTTTTATTTAGACTGAATTCTATAGTTTCCTTTTCAAGGTTTCGAATTGTTTTTAGTAACCAAGTGCTCTTGTTTTGTAAATGCAATAATCTTATCTTTCTGCAGATAGTAATTATACTTTTTATGTTTAATTTTTTGCAGCTTTATTGAGATATAATTGTCATAACATTGTGTCAGTTTAAGATATACAACATGATGATTTTATATATGTATATATTGCAAAATGATTATGAAAGTAAGGTTAGTTAAAACATCCATCATCTCAGTTACTTTGTTGTGTGTGGTAAGAACTCCTAAGATCTACTCTTAGCAATTTTCAAATATTCATAATTGTACTTATTCTAAAATCTTGGTTTTGATTGTCCTATTGATTTGTCTTTCCCAAGTAAATTCTTCTTCATCGCTGAACTGTAGTTTCTCGCGGTATTTGACTTTCTTCAGGTGCCGTCCTCTCCCGTCTCCCTAGCGATGCTGGCGTGGCCGTGCAGGGGCAGCCGCAGGAGCTGCCCGTAGGCAGCGCTGTTCTCGCTGCGTGCGGGGCAGGCGGGCAGCCACTCTGCAGGCCAAAGCGGTTCCTGGGAAGAATCTATCACTCCAAGAAGCATTTTCAGAAGCGTCAACCTGTATGATTCACACTTTGACTATGTTAATGAAACAATATAATTTTATAATCTTCAAAATTCTCCAAGTTGCTGGAGGCCAAGTAAACCAGATCACTACCAGTTTTTAAAAGATTCAAAGGCTCTTAAACAAGGAAGTCCCCTGACACGCTCCCATGCATGTCTCGGGGCTGCTTTATTCTTCAGGGCTTCCTTCTGGTCGCTAGTGCGTACAGTGTTCTTCCTGTGCTCCGGCGTGGCTAGGTAAGAAGCGTTTCCTGTTGTCTCTGGCGTGCGGTGTGAAAGGGAGGTTGCAGTGTGTGTGCAGCCCACCAGCTGAACTGGAAGTCTCAAGCGGAGTCTCCCTTCAGCTGTTCTGTTCACTAATGATTCATTTGGAATAGAAGAGAGGCAAATAGATTTCGTTTCCAGGGTTTACAGGAGAGAGTAAGTGGGTACGTTGTAGGGAGGGCCCCACAGATGTTGGCTGGCAGGTACGGCAGCGCCGCCTCCGGGGCTGGTGCTGGGACCAGGCCTCTCGGCTCTAGTCTGGGGCCCACTCTTCTCTGCCTTAGAGCTGCCTCTCAGCTCTGGTTCAGCTCCATTCTGGCTCCTGGTGATGTTCCTAGAGCTCGTCATTGACAGACACCCTCTAAACTGGAAAAAATCTCTTATTGAGGCTAGGGTGAAAACCTGAATGTGGAACTGGTAGACCTGGATTCTAGTGTCCTCTTTGCTGAAAACACTCAAGTCTTCTTTCTCTGGGCCTTGGCCTCTGACATAAGGAAAGGGGATTAGACCAGGGTCACAGGCACAGATAGCAACAGGCAGGCCACTTCAACCTGAGCGAAGTGGGCTGGGGTGTCACGATGAAGAATGGCAGTGGTTAGCAACCCTTATGCGTCCCAGGTGTTGGGAGGAAGGAGAGTGGGAACCGACTGACCCGAGAAGCCCCTGTCATGCCTAGAGGTCCTAGCCCTGCTCAGCTCTGGCTGGTGTGACCTTTAGGTCACATTTAGTCCATTTAGGACTACAGGCCCAAGATGCTCTAAGATTCTTTTTTTGGTGAAAAGCTAGGTAACGTGTATTTTTGAATGTAAAGTACCCTGATTGTAAATACTGGTAGCAAAGTCAAGACTTTTTAAATGCTGTGAGAGCCAGACCATGTGTCTGGTCCGTGAGCCCCTAGCCTGTGACCCCGCAGTCTCTGGAGACCCGCGGAGGTCTGTCTTCCGCTTCACTCAGACGAGCGCGGGGGCTTGAGTGACTCATCAAGCGGTGACTCACCGCTGGGCTTCGGTGTGTGTTTTATCCATCAGCTGGTACATTTGTTTTCTCTCTTTTTCGCCACAGGGGCATTTTGAATAACATAGTCCTCCAGAACTTTACAGTCTTTTTCCCAAGTACAAGTTGCAGTGATTAGTCACTGAGGAGTTCACACTGCCAAAGAGATTGGAGGCCCGTGAAGCAATGGATTATTTTTTTCCTAAAGGTTTAACTCACTCCCTGTGTTTGCATGTCACTTTCAGAACCAGTGAAATGTAGTTTCTCAGCAGATGACTTGATTGAGTGAGCAAGACTTGTAGAAGTTGCTTAAACAGGTTTGGGCCGTGTGCCTCTCCTTAGAGTCAGGGATTTATTTACCACCTGGAACTTTCCAAGGGCATCAGGGTGGTGATAATACCACATTAATGTGGAACCTTAAATAGAACACTGTTCAGCCGGGAACCTGGGAGAAGAGAAAGTAGGTAAGTTCTCTTGGCAGCGGTCAAGGAAAGGTGGGATCAGTAAGCAGGGCTCAGACGTGTTGTATTTGGCAGGGGCCACACTCCTTAGAGAACTGAGACAGGCCTCCGTGGCTGATGGCAGACCTGAGACAGGTTTGTCCGGGCCTGCCTGATTCCCAGGGCTTAAGGTTTGATCCTTGGGGACACTTCCCTGCATCGACGACGTGGTGGTGCTTCTATTTCTGTGACACTTTGTACTGGTTCAGGCACATTTCACTGTGTTCACCAGGCCCCGCACAGGATCAGACTATCAGAGCGAGAATTCCAGTCTGTGGTCCGTCAGAAAAAAACCCAGTGCTTAGAGGTCTGCAAAGGCGGTGATGGTGCACTTGGGACTGTGGCAGGAAGCGTCACAAAAGTTAGAAGTGTAAGGAGCCCCTGTTTGCCAGTCACTGGACAGGATGCCTTTTTTCTCCTTTCTTGCTTTTCCTTCGAGTTGTATCAGCTCCATGTGGTCATTAGACACTTCCGACCTGTAGATATCATGTGAAAGCCTAGTATCTACCCAAGAGAGAAGAGGAAAAGAAGCTGACATCCTCAAAGGAGTATTTGGTTGTGAAAAGGGTTGGAACCCATCGACTGAAGCCGTCCTCTGGTACAGCAGGAGAGTCGAGTTGAGTGAGGCGGTCGTGCCTGTCTTGGTTAGGTGCTCAAATACTGATTTCTGGAATGAAAGAAGGAGCTCGCGTAAGGTCACACAGCCATCCTGCTGCAGGGCCAGACTGGAGTCCGGGTCTTTTTGTTCTGCTTCTGGTGCTGACAGATTCCCATTCCCCAAGCTGACTGGCCTTTCCTTGAAGCCTTTGCATAGCTATGCTTCCCTACTTTTCCCACTCAGGGAAGGATTTATCAACAGTTCTGTTTGCAGAGGGTCTGTGCATGGGAGTTATGGAACATATTGGTTTGACGTGGGAGGGGCACTCTAAATGGTTATCTATTTAGACTTAGGTTTCCTGGGAAATTCCCAGGAACTCCTGTATCCTGTCCCATCCCTTCAGATGCTGGACACTTGCCCCAGTAACCGGCGTGCTCTCTCTGCTTTAGGGCTATCCTGGATAAGAAGCTGGCTGCCTCTGTGAACATCCTGCCGAAGGCCTCCTCACTGTGAGTTCTGCTATGGCCAGTGGAGGGGTGTGAGCGTGCTCCGTCAGGTCCTGCCTGGTGGAAATTCGGGCACTGAGCTAATGGGAAACTGAAAGAACAATTCAAAGGCATTTACTTAACCAATACTTCACTGTCGATCTGTATTCAGAGGAAATCAACCAGTGGGTTTATGCCATTCAGCAAAAGCAAAAACAGGCTATGTTTAGAGAAGGCAGAAAAAAAACCTACAGTTTAGGAACAGCGACTCTTGTTTCCTCCTTTGCTTAAATCAGTCAGTCAGTTAGCTTGCTGTTAGCAAAGAAGTCAGACTGGTAAGTCAGTCTGAGTAAGCCAGCTAAGGATATCAGAGATTATAATTCCTATTGCTTTTGGATTCTCTGAAAAACTGAGTTTGGCATATGTAACAGGCTGTTTCTGTGTATTGTCTGCCTTTCATTTTATCAGCTCTTTTACTTAAGCCAGGCCTACACCATTTCCTTCATCAAAATATTTCAACATGGGTGGGAGGCGGGAGGGAGGGGACATAAAGCACCCGTGGCTCATTTACACCGATGAATGGCAGAAATCAACATAATACTGTGAAGCAATTATCCTTCAGTTAAAAATAAATAAAATGATAAAAAACAGTCTCTCAGCATCCCAGTGCTACCCGGGCCAGATTTGTCTTGTGCTTTAACTCTCTGGTCAGCCTGTTTCTCACCTCCTTCCTGCCTTGATGAGAAAGGGAGCGATGCCTGTTCTAAAGGTGAGAGCAGGGAAGTGCTGAAGCATGCACGCTTCCCCTGCCCAGCGGTGATGCGCCCGCCCGTGCTGCTCCCATCACCTGTCGCTCTGGCTGCCAAGTCTGGCCGTACTTTAGATGCCTGCGCTCCATCCTGGATCTGTTTAGTCTCCCTGAGGATAGGGCTTGAGTCTCTGAATTTTTAAGAGGTCATATTAAGTGGTTCGCATAAAGCTAGTCTGGGAGCTAGTGCTTAGAAGCTAGAGTGGAATTTCAGCCTGCCATTCTCCTCATGTTCATCCTTCCTTGTAGTTCACAGTTCTGCGGGGTGAGGCCAGGGGCCGGAGCCATCTTAGACTTGCCCTGGGTCAGCACAGATATTCTCAGGCTGAATTTCTCTCCCTCCCATGACGCTGTTCTCTTACTCTTTTTCTGAACATGTCACTGACTCTGTTTTGAATTTTCAGACCTGCTTCTGTATCTTACAAGGCTCGCTTTTTCCCTGAATAAGTCCTGTGCTTTTCCATCTATCGCTTGGTGGGCACTCAGCTTTGAGAGTCAGTGATACAGGTAGCACCAGCCCAGAGGATGGGGAGGTGCATGGAAGCCAGGAGTATGGGGTGAGCACTGAATGAACTGGAGATGCCCACTTTGGAGGGGAAACATAGGAGTTTCCGCAGAGCTATCACGGAAGTCGGGGAGAACAGTTGGGTGGCAAATGTTGGCACACCATAAGAAAAACCATCTCATGTGAAAACCGTTAAGGCAGATGGACTTCTTCAAGAGACAGTGAGCCTCTTACTTGCAGGAAAGTTAAGTCAGGTGCTGGAAGCATGCATTAGAATGTTTCGGTGACTTGTAGGGCCTTGGCCAACTCCAGGCTTTTTCACATGAGCTTGGGAAGATTTTGAAGTTTCCACCTTAATAAGTCAGCAGATTGGGCAGGTTTATTTCACCGAGCTCATCTTGTAAGTGGACTTCTCTGGTAACTCAGCTGGTAAAGAATCCGCTTGCAGTGCAGGAGACCCTGGTTCGATTCCTGGGTTGGGAAGATCCCCTGGAGGAGGGCATGGCAACCCACTGCAATATTCTTGCCTGGAGAATCCCATGGACAGAGGAGCATGGCCGGCTACAGTCCATGGGGTCGCGGAGAGTCACAACTGAGTCACACGACTGAGTGACTAAGCGCAGCACATCTTGTAAGCATGATATTTCTTTTTTTGTTGTTCTTTTCTCCAGATACTATTGGAATGGAGAAATAGAAGAAGCCACTGAGGTCCTGTTGGTGAGTGAGGCTGGGGGGATGGGGCCTTAATCGGGAAAGAGTGAGAGCAAAGTTCCAATTAAATATTAGCAAAGATCAATTGACTGAGGTTCTTGCCCCACACAGGATGCCCCGTGTCCATTTGTAAGTTAGTGGCTGGGCCTGGAGACCTGGAGGAGTGCTGTTTCCTAAAAAGCCAGAGGAATGGAGGGCTGTGTAGCTGGAGCTGAGATCCTAAACCAGTGATTTTTTTTTTTCTTTTACAGTTAATAAAGACAAAGACTTCCAAGATCCATATGCTTTCCAGCTACATCAGGTAATAGCACCATTTCCTCCCAGCCAGGGACCTGTTGGTAACTAAGTGAGTGAGCTTGAAAAGTAGGTGACCTTGAGCCTAGTCACCAGCCTCCCATGTGACCGTGGCTATGACCCTATCCCATAGACTCTCTATCTATAAAATGAGTTAGTGGTGTTTTTTTTTAATTAGTTCATTTTTTAAAATGTTTATTTATTTGTCTGCACCACATCTTCCCTGATATTAGGGCTTCCCTGATACCTCAGTTAGTAAAGAATCTGCCTGCAATGCAGGAGACCCCAGTTCAACTCCTGGGTCGGGAAGATCCCCTGGAGAAGGGATAGGCTACCCACTGCAGTATTCTTGGGCTTTCCTGGTGGCTCAGCTGGTAAAGAATCCACCCTCAATGTAGGAGACTTAGGTTCAATCCCTGGGTTGGGAAGATCCCCTGCAGAAGGGAAAGGCTACCCACTCCAGTATTCTGGCCTGGAGAATTCCATGGACTGTATAGTCCATGGGATCGCAAAGAGTCAGACACGACTGAGCAGCTTTCACTCACTTCACCAGGTCTTCATTGCAGCATGCGGAATCTTCAGTTGAGGCCTGTGAGGTCTAGTTCCGTGACCAGGATCGAAACCAGGCCCCCTGCATTAGAAGCGCAGAGTCTCAGCCACTGGACCACCAGGAAGTTCCTGTAAAATGAGTTATTAGTTTCAAACCAGTGGTTCTCAAAATTTTGGTCTCAGGATCCCTTTACACTTTTAAAAATTACTTAGGACCCAAAAGAGCTTCACTTATGTGGGTTCTATCAAAGGTTACTGTATTAGAAATTAAAGCTGAGAAATTTTTAAGATATATATTTTTAGTCCATTGAAAATAACAGTAATAGAATAATAACATATGAATGGAAGTAAATACAGGCATACCTTGGAGATATTGCAGGTTTGGTTCCAGACCACCACAGTGAAGCGAGTGATGTCACTTCTTGATTTCCCAGTACATATGAAAGTTACATGTTTACCCTACCTTGCAGTATAAGTGTGCTACAGTAGCATTATGTCTAAAAAAAACAGAAAGTACGTACCTTAATTTAAAAATACAAAACAAAAAATAGTTATAGTAATATCAAAGATCACCAATGTCAGATGACCATAAGAAATATAATAATCATGGAAAAGTTTGGAATTCTGCAACGATTAGCGACACGACGCAGGAACACAGAGCGTGAAGGTGGTGTCAGCAGACATGTTCAGTGCGAGTCGCCACAAGCCGCCAGTCTGTGAAAAACGCAGTGTCCGCCCTGAAGGGTGCGCAGTAAAGCATTATGCTGGTAATGCCTTCTCATGGGAAGTGACCATATTTTCCAAAAATCAAAAAAGTGAGAAGAATGGCATCTTTCTACACTTTTGCAAAATCTGGCTTAATAAGAGAGCTGGATCTCCTCAAAAGCATCTGTTAAGTACTGAGACACTTTCAAGTTCATGGTGATGTATTCAATTTTTCCAAACTTCTGACTTTGCTTAAAACATGAATTTTTTTCTTATTTACAGTGTTTTATGACTACGATGTTACACAATGTGTGGTTTCTGCTATACGGCAGACTAACTCAGTTATGCATATACATATTCATTTTCATGTTCTTTTCCATGATGGTTTATCACCAGATACTGAATGGACCTCCCTGTGGTGGAGAGTAGGACCTTGCTATTTACCAGTCCTGTGTGTAATAGCTTACCTCTGCTAATCCCAGACTCCCAATCCTTCCCTCCTCTACCCCAAAACACAAAAATTTTTTTAATGAATTTTTTTATTGGCAATAAATGATGTAAATTGTCATTTGAGTGATGGGCCAAATATTTGTTCATATTTGAGACAATGTGTACCTAATACTCAAACCTGAGTCACCTTAATTTGTGAAATTGACAAATGATGGTTACTCTAGCTTGAAAGTAAAAGTGGTATACTGTGGAAAAAAGGTCTAGTTTAGCTTGTGACTCAGTCAGACAAATTAAGACAAGACTGAACTTAGGTATGATAGCAGAAGTACTTTATGTATACTTTGCATTTTGTCACGCAGAATATTAAAAAGACACACTCAAGGGTCAGACTTTAATAAAAATAGTAATTTTTGCCACATTATCAGAAATGTTCTTAGGTGAATTTGACTTAGAAAACAATGCCTGTGCGTATGCAGTGGTGAAGAACACAGTGGCGGCCAGCCTAGTGTGGTGCTGCCGTCCTGATGATGCTAAGATGTGACCAGTTTTACCCGTCATTGCTTTTGCACCATGAGTGCAAACGTCAACATAGTGAAAAGATAAATAACAAATGAGTATTGTTGTGAAGATAGTTTTGGCCTCTTGGACCTCCTGAAAGAGGCTTGAAAGTTCCCCAGGGGTCAGAGGACTCCACTTGGAGAACCACTGGTCTAGGTATACATGAAATAAATTAGGAAAATTCATTCTTCTCAGGCACCGGATAAAATTACGCAGCCTACTCCTACTGTTCAAGCAACTGTGCGTGCACATGTTGTGATTTAGTAAGCAGCCTCTCTCATGAGAAGTTTTCTGTGCCTAAAGTCAGGAGAGCAGAGGATTGTTGCCCTGGCAGACAGGTGGGACTGAGGCCCAGTGTCTTCTGCTTTTTCAGTTTGCAAAGTGCAGAGAGCTCGTGTGCTCAGGGCTGAGTGAGAGAGACAGGGAGAAGGGAGACGGCTGTGCGTCTGGATGGCCAAAGAAGGTCCCTGGGGAAAAGCCACTGGTTGAAATAAGCCTTGAGGAGTAGAGAGGCTTTCGATTTATCAGCAGGAGTGGGGAGGACTTTCTGGGTGGAGACGATACAGAGGCACAGGGAAGGGGTTGCTTGGGGAAGGCACAGTGATAAGGGAAGGACAGTGAAAAAGACGGCAGCTGACGTTTACTGAATGCATACAATGCCAGTCACTGTAGCAGCCAAGTGCCTCGTATACCTTGCCTCATTTAATCCTCAGCAATCCAGTACTATTTTCACCCCCCTCTTTTGTGGGGGCTTCAGCGAAATGAAGAGATAGGTCCATGCTTACATGGCTAGTAAGTGGCAGACTTAGAATTTGAACCCATGTCTGTGAGGCTCTGATGCCATCTGGCCTAATTTATACTTGGTGACAGATGGGTCACAGGCTTAGGAGTGGTGGGCCGTGGGGCCGGACAGGTGGGCTGCAGGCCGACTGCAGAGGGCCTCAAGGGAGGCCGGCCAGTTGGGTTTATCGCCTAGGCTTACATGCCACTCACGGGACTCTGCTTTCTTCCCAAAGGTCGGTGCATCCTTTTGAAATCCCAGAGCTCTTCAGCCTTCCCATGGACCAAGGAGATGCGCACTATTTACGGTGGCTGGAGGAGGCCACGGAGGAGTGAGTGGGGCCTTCTGTGCCTCCTGCCGGGCGCCTCTAGCCATTATTATCTGTTCCCTGGCCGAAGGGCGGCTTCTGTCTGCCTCCTCGCGTCTCTGGATTCCATGCTTCTATCAGCACAGAGGACCTAAGTAACTTGTGAAGGGTGAAGGTCCAAGACCCCTGAGGCTGGAGGAGGATTCTGGGCCAGTCAGGCCAAGCACGGACCCAGTGGAACTTGTCTCTGAGTGCCTCGTGCATAAAGGTGGCCAGGAGTGGCAAGGTCGCAGTGAGGGTGAGGCTGGTCTTCTGTAAGTTCATTGAGCCTAAACTGAGTGCCACGTATGTTATTACTGTCCTGCTTCTGATGAGGAATGACCTGATGACCTGTCACCCAGAAGTGTGTGGGGGTGAAAGTCACCTTCTAGGGGAGCTGGAAGCACTCTATCCAAAAGGATGAATCGCTAATGGTGGAATGTCAGGGACAAGCAGGATTATTTCCTCTACCTGAAGGTAGTGTTTGTTATTCCCGAGTCCTGAGGAAGTGGGCCTGGGAGTGGGCTTCCTGAGTGTAGGGAGGGCTGGGGAGGGCTCAGACACAGCCTCAAGGATTGAGAGCTGGTCTTGACTCTTTCCTCGCCCGAAGGTGACAGACGTCAGAAAGCTGTGGTGCCTTGCTCAGCAGAGACGGGGGTTCTGAGCCCACCATACTGATCTTCCCACGTGAGCACTGAAACGAGCGTCCTAAAGTGGGAAGCACCCAGGGGAACTGCAGGGTCAGTGTTTTCCAGCCTGGCTCCACAGAACCCCAGGGGTTTGCCGGAGGAGCCTGAGGGAGCCTCATGCTGCAGCCAGTGCAGCCATGCTTTTGTTATTAATTTTTATGTATTGAGCTAAGTTTTTGTTGTTACAAGTTTGTAAGCCAGTCTTACAGATTTTGTAAGGTCCAAGACCCCTGAGGCTGGAAGAGAATGCTGGGCCAGTCAGGCCAAGCAAGGACCTGGTGGAATCTATAAAGCCAGTTTTATAGATGACTAAAGGGAATTGAACTGCCCTGAGGTCCAGAAAAGGGGCAGCTTCTGTTACAGAGGGGAGAGCCAAGGCTGCTCCTTCCGTCTGCTGCTCTCCTAGCCCTGCTCCGTGGGGCTGGTGGAGGAGCCCCAGGGGGTGAGGGGAGAGCCTGACCTAGGCCGCCTCAGGGCTTTGCCACAGGGTGACCCCGCTCAGGGCCCTTTGGAGCCTTGCCCCAGCTCGCTTTTCCACCGCCACCTTCCACCTGTCCTCTCCTGCCTGGACCCGTGGGTGGCTCTGGTGTGCCAGGCTGTTACCGTTTCCCGTCCACCGCCTCCGCCTGAGCGCGCTCTGCACGAGTGCCCGAGAAGACTGACTGCCCCTCTGCAGGCCTGGCGTCCAGGCCGAGGGCTCTCCCCTGCCCTGCCGTCCTGCTGTCTCTGCGCATCAGGGCCCACCTCTGCTCTCTAGACTGCGCTGCTCGAGGGGAGGGGCACGCTCAGAGCTGCTTGGCCTCCTGCACGCGGTTTGGCATTTATTTCCCAAGTTGATGTTTCAAGGATTCAAATAACTAAAGCTTTCTCTACTTCCCACAGTTACTCTCTCATTTACCAGGTTGGCAAAATCCAATTATTTTTTTCCGTGAACTTCCTTAAAGTGGGATTAAGAGGAGGTTTCCTGCCCCTGGCTGCCACTGGCTCCTTTTCTGTGCTGAGTGTGCTTTGAAAACTGTTCCCTGGTGGCCTGCCTTTGCCTCAGTGTCACAGCTGACTACAGGAAATACAGGACGGAACATCAGCTCTCTGCAGGTTCTGTCCTAGGCCGTGACATTTATCCTTGTAACCCAGGTTACCCGCATTTTCCAGTTGAAACCTGAGATTGGAGAATAGAGATGCTTAAAATAAGTGGCAAAACTAGGCTTTGAAACAAGTCTCTGACTCTAAATCTGATGCTCTTATGGTCTCTTTTAAAGAGGCTGGATATCTCTCTTTGTAGGCCAAAGAACCTGCTATAGCCATCTCTAAGGAAGAGCTGTTCATTCCTAAAATGTCCACCTTAACAGTGTGGTAGCTTGGTTATTGTGTGGTTTACCTCTCCCCACAGATCTGGAGGTTAGTGATAATATCTTCATTCCATAGATGGGGGAACAGATTGAGGGGTACTTAATGATTTTTAGGAGTTTGCCCAACTCTACCACACCGTCCTCCTCGATGAGGCTGTGGGAGCTGGGGCTCGACATGAGGGTTTCCACCTGGGAATGCCTTCCCAGTACTTCTCAGGAAACATGGTTTTTGACTCCAGAACCCTGGGAGAGTCTGTTGAGGAAATGAGAAGAAGTGTTTAAAAAGTATCCATGCATACTGAAGCTCAAAGGCATAAAGGTTTGAAGGAAGCCATCTCCGTCAAAAAAAAACTAGAGCAGGAAACGGTTGCTTGCACAGAGTTGAGCCACAGTCACCCAACCCGGACAGGAGTGCAAAAGAGAAGGGTTTCCACCTGCTTTTGCCTGGGATTGTCTAGCCCTGTCCGCTGTAGACCCCGAGTTATTCCTTCATATAAGATAAATGTATACATGTAGTATGCTTTATACAAATCCTGTGAGTGGTATTCTAAGAAATAAGTTTTGGAAGTAAAATAAATTCTTAATTTGGCAATTCTGACATTCGTCTGTACTCTTAACCTTGTTAGGCTATTTGAATGTTAACATTATTTGAATACTATCCAGTAACATTCTCTGGTGTTTTCCAGGGCTTAAATATTCCCTGGAGACTGCAGTTCTTTGTAAATACTACTAAGTTTAATAATCCTATTTATTAAACAGATTTTTTTCAGATTTCTGTAATAACAGGAAAAGTATGAAGAATGTTTGACGTATTTTAAGAGTAAGTTATGATTTAGGAATTTGTGAGAATTCTAATTTCTTGCTCCAAAATTCTGAAGGCAGACAGATGTGTGTTGTGAGTTTGTAAACACGCAGAAGCAGGCAGTCTCCAGCCTGGGGAGAGCCAGCGGCCTCGGGGTCCCCAGGGCTCTTCACTGCGGCCTGGGCCAGAGCCCGAGTCTCAGGGCCATCCGCGTCTCACTCCATGCCACTGGTTCCCCAGAATGAGCCGCTGCCCCGCCCCGGCTTCAACGGTGGTTTGCTCCAAGAGCAGTTGTAAGGTCGCAGGAGGAGTGGTAGGGAAAAGTGGGAGCTATAGTTAACGAGGGCTTCCCTGGTAGGTCACACAGTAACTTTTTAAGGTCAGCCAGCAACACTCGGGGTGTAACAGGCCACACTAACTCTGGAAACAGAGCTCAGCCAGGCCCATGGCCTTCGCCTGCCTGTAGCTTTTTCCTATCCCTTCCCCTCCTTTTTTCTCTCTGCAGACTACCCCTGACTTACAGAGGTGTATTTAGGGTGGTGATCTGTAACGTTTCTGAGGTGGTTCCTACAGCATCTAGCGGGCTGAACACCAGCGGGGATTCTTCCCGGGCAGGTGAAGCAGGTGGGGGCGCGGGGGGCGGGATGGGGACTGAAGCAAAGGAAGCTGGCAGAGCGGGGCCGGGAACGCGCCCCGGATTCCTAGCCGTGCGCCTCCAAGCACCAAGCATCCTCACGGGGTCACGTTCTAAGTTCCGGCCCCAGCTTGGATCCCTGTGGCTCTCAGCTACTGTCTCCTGTCCCCATGGGTAGGGTCGTCAGAGCAGAAAAAAGGTCCTCTGTCCTGGTGGTAAAGGTAAGATCACTGCGAAGAGAATGGTGGCTGGTGCAGGAGTGGCAGGCTGATGAGAGAGGGGATGCGGCCCCACCGTTCCCAGTGCCTTCCTGATACTTCACTAGAGCAATGATAGGTCATTTTCAGAGGGAGCCTTTAAACTGTAAATCAGACACATTAATTATAATTTTAATATAACAAATGTTATTAAAAGCAGCAATTCAAAACCATGAATCTTTCTGAAGGTGCACAGGGTTATAAGGTCAGTTGGCAGTAACGCAGCTGTCTCCAGGGAGGACTGAAACGCTGGGGCGTGGAGTCAGGGCCTTTCCAGGCCTCACGCTGAGCTCCCAGTGGGGAGACCCTGTCTCCCTCCTCCCCCTCTTCCAGGCCAGAGCCTCTGGAGCTTGAGAGGCGCAGGGGCACCGACAGGCCGTGTTCGTCCCGCGCCTTCTCAGAAGCCTGGGAGCAGAGCTGGGAGGTTGCTGTGCTCTGGGGCCAGGCGGGAAGCCAGGGACTGGCTCTGGGTCCCACGCCCTGGTGGAGCGGGGCGGTGGGGGGGGGGGGGGGCTGGCTTCTCAGCTTCCCTTCCTCTGGCCCCCGTTAGGGAGCATCAGTGTCAGCAGCGGTGGGGCGGAGACGGGAGCAAACTGGGCCCAACCAGCCATCCCTGCCTGGACCACGCTGGGAAACAGGAAGTGGGAAGGCTGCACACAGCAGGTGAGGGCCCGCTTGAAAGGCACTGCTGGGGCTGGGGCTGGGGCTGCGGCCTGAGGCAAGGGGCATCTGAGCGTGCTCAGCACCCCCCAACCCCAAAGGCCCACAAGTGGGGGGTGGCCTAATAATGGAAAGACCGGCTCCAGGCCTGCAGCTGCCCCTTCACTGTTCATCCCCCTTCGCCTTGCAGCTGGCAGCCTCTAAAACCCAGCCAAGCCGGAGGCTGCAGCAGCAGCTGGTGAGCCTGGCCCCCATCTGGCGCACCCCTCGCCCCAGTCAAGGCACTTCTTTCCAATCAAGTGAGTCAGTTTCTAATGCCTCCGGAAGCAGCGAAAATGAGGGGTCTCCTTCCCCTCCCACTTTTGATCTCCCTCCAGACGGGTCTGAGTTTTAATGTCGGTTCTAAGAACTCTGTACTCCCACTGACAAAAGCTTCCCTTTTTTTGAGGGGATGTAATGACTCAGGCCCTTAAAAAAAAAAAAAAGTCCCAAGCTGCCCCCAAAAGTGATTGTCAGTTTCAGAGCTGGGCAGGGGGTACGGGAGAAGGCGTGAGTCCCCGTGCTTCCCTCTCGGCTCCAAGCGGGTTCACCGGCCCGAGCTGGACTTTCACATTTCGTTGCAGCGCGCGGCGCCCGTAAGAGGGCCCAGGAAAAGGCAAAAGGACAGGAGCCAGGCTGGCACCTGAGGAAGGCGTGGCTGTGTGTGTGTGTGGGGTGTGTACCTGGAGGCTGGGACCCATGCGAGCCCGGAGGCAAGAGCGCACACATAGATGGACGCTCCCGTGTGTGCGTGTGCACGTGCCCTTGGGCTGTGGCAGGAGGCGGAGGAGGCAATCTGAGATGCAGCAAGCAGGACACGGCTGCCTCTCCTCATGCCTCCCGTCTGCAAGGCCAGCGCCTGCTCCACGGCAAGAGAGAGGGAACATGGCCCGAGAAGGGAAAACGGGTCTCAGAAGCTAGCACTGCAGCCTGCACCCTCTGCCTTCTGAAGCAGAGACCCAGCCTCCTCCTCAGATCCTGAGTCGTGGGGCTCTGCCCTGCAGGCTTCCCAGAGGCGTTCTCCCCCCCTCACCACCGCCTCCCCAGCACAGGAGGAGGGGTGGGAACGGGGGAGAGGCGCTCCACAAGGCCTCTTCTTACCCACCTTCGCCCCGTCTTTCTCAAAGACTTCTGTCCTCCTGGCGTGGTCCCCGGGATGGGTCAGGTGTGAAGGGCATCCAGGGGAGGGCTGGGTGTGCGAGTGCACACACCCAAAGGGGGAAAGGGAAGCGGACACACTGGGGACAGACTCAGGCCTCCGCGGAGCCAGGAGGGATGCTAACTCAGAGGGACAGGTGAACAGCTGGAGGGAGCACGTGGAGACTCGGGAGTAGCCAGCGGGACCTCAGAGACACGGGCGGAGGGGCGGTGAGCCTGAGGGCCCCGAGCAGGCGGGGACAGCAGGGGCGCAGGCGGGCAGGCGGGGCCCGGCCGGGCCCTCGACTCTCTTGCTTCCCTCCCTCCTGCAGCCTGGGGAGAACCGGGGAGCCTGTGGCTTCCACCGCCTCTCCTTTGGTTTCCAAGGCTCCGGGCCGCCTCGGGGGGCTGGTCAGTAAGGGGTGGTCCCTTCCCACTCCACCAGGTACTGAACCTTGCCCTCTGGCGTGACCCTACGAGCCAGCACTTGGTACTTCTCCCCACAGGCTAGCCGCCCAGCTGCGCCAAAATAGTTGGTGATGGACGACTTGAGGTGGGACAGGGACGAGTCATCCTCACTGATGCTCTCAAACGTGTGGCTGTCGACGCCCTCGTCCGGCCGCTCGGGGCCCGAGGCCCCCTCTGCGCTGCTGTCCGAGGCGCAGCGTCCGCCCGGCTCGGCTGCCCGGCGCTTGGCCCGCAGCGGCACGTACGCTTTGGCTGCCAGCTTCCTCTTGCGGCTGCCCACCGTCCGTCTGTGTGGGGAGGGGGCGAGGCGGGGAGGGTGGGAATGAGATGGGGTCATCCCCCCCAGGCCCCGTCCCTGAGCTCCACCGGCCCCAGGCCCCACTGAGCTCACTGAGTCCTCGTGGGAGCCCCGAGGAGGCCCCAGCGGGGGACAGAGCCAGCTGGGCGTGGCGGAGCCGGGACCCAAGCCTAGCTGCACGCGTCTCCAGAGCCTGACTCTCATACTGAGGAGCTCAGCGCTGCCCGAGTCCAAGAAACAAACGTGTCTCCACCACACCACCCGCCCCCACCCCACAGGGCAGAGCGGGGAGAGAATAAAGAAGAGGTAAACGTTCACAGACACTTAGAAACCCAGATCCAAGCACTAGTGAGAACCTAAGAAACAGGAGAGGTAAAACACGGAGGCAGCAGCAGAGAACGACACCCAGAGGTGTTTGGAGACCAGACGTACTCCGATGGGCATGACGCTTTTAATTCCCCGCTTGCAAGAGCCACGAGAGCCCTAAATACAGTTAGAGGAGCTTCGGTTGAGAGCTGGTCCGCGCACTTTGCAGCACCCCCCTGCCTCTGCTGCTGAGGGCCTGCTGTGGTGAAGCACGCGGTGCCCTTTGTGAGGCTCCTGGGTACTTCTGTCCCCTCTTCCCAGTCCTTACACTTTGCAGGAAACCATTTCCCCTCTCTGTCAGGTTCCTTTCCTTAAAGAGAGACCCCCAGTGGACAGACACTAGGTTCAGACAGCCTAGATCCAAGGCTGGGGACCTTGCAGGCAGAGGCACGGACCTCACAAAATCCTGGCACGTGGCAGCCAAGAGCCCGAGAATGACAGAAGCCGGACCTGAAACTGCCCGGCAAGAGGCGTCGCACACGCGGCAGCAGGGGCAGAGGAGTGGGAGAAGCGGCGCGTCTCAGAGCCCGACGCCCACACGGACAGGCGGCCAGGTCCCGACATTCAGGAGCAGAGAGCCCCCCGTCACAGGTGGGGAGTGGGGGGAGGCGGAACAAGTCTACGGCACTGGCAAGCTAACCTGGAGTCGTAGGAGAGGCTGGTGGAAGCGGAGCCAGATGTGCTGGCGGCATCGGTGGAGTCCACGTCCGAGAAGAAGGTCTGGCCCGAGCTGGCGCTGAGAGGGAGGAAGCGGTGAGCCTGCCGCCAGCCCTCAGCGCCCCAGGACTTTCCCGGGCATCTCTGGCCCCTCTGCCCGGCATGGATCGTCTCGGCCGAGCCCCTTCCCACCGAGCCGCCCGCCACCACGGCGGTGGGCGCGCCTCCTCCCCCGTCCACTGCCTGCCCACCAAGCCTTCAAAGCCCCAGCGGTCACAGAGGCCTTCCCTGACCATCTCCCCAGTTGGCGACAACAGATGATAAAGAGGGCTCTGAGTCTCCCAGCAGCCACGCAGCGGCCGGGGAGGAGGCTCAGGGAGGTCAGAGAACTTTGCCAACGTCACACAGCTGGCAGCTGGCAAGTAGGGGCTGGGGCCCAGGCCTGAGTGACCGAAGCCCTGGCCCCCCTCCTCCATGCCTACAGGAGAGCCCGAGATAGGAGAATAGTCAATAGTCAGGAGAATAAAACCGCTGGATGTGGTCCCACCCATGGGGGCACCAAGGACAAGGTGCCGTGGAGCAGAGAGTGTCCGCCAGCGCCCGGGGAGGGTCAGGGACGGCTCCACGGAGGACCGTGAATGTGGGGTGAGCACAGCCAGTCTGGTGCCAGGTGTGAAGCAGGGGGGAGTGGGAGAGGGTGTAGGAGAAGTAGGGAGGGCTGGGCGCGGGGGGGCTATCCCCGGGAGCCCCGCAGGCCTCCGGGGGTTGGGGGGGGTGAGGTGTCGGGCTGAACGCCCTGATGCAGAAAGACCCGTCAGGCAGCCTTCTGCAGTGCAGACCCTTTAACTCGGCAAACCCAGGAGTTTCCCCAGCCTCCAAGGCTCTCTGTGTCACCCCCTGCAGGGCTGGGGAAATAGGGGGCGTCTGTCTCCCTGCTCGGTTCCACTCCCGTCTCTGCCGGGCCCCTCACTGTTACCTTTTTAAACTCTGGATCTCGTCCAGCGTAAAGTCAAATATGCTGGCCAGGTGGTGGTTGGTGCTCCAGGCCGAGGTGAAGTCGCTCTGTGGGCACAGGAGGCGGGGGGTCAGCCGGTGAGCAGCGCGCCCCCTCCCCAGCACCCTTCTCCCCGCGCCTGGCACTTCCTCTCTTCCAGCCCTGCCCGGGGAGGCAGGCCACGCCGGTGCCAGTCCTGGCTCTGTCTCCAGCTGACCGTCCGACTGGCCCCTCTCTGGGCTTCAGTTACCTCCACTGCAGAGGTGCGTAACGGCCCCTCCCGAGCCTGACTCCCAGAGGTGTCAGCATGGCAGAAGGGAGTGAGGACTGTGAAAGTCGCCCAGTCGTGTCCGACTCTCTGCGACTCCACGGACTACGCAGTCCGTGGAGTTCTCCAGGCCAAATACTGGAGTGGGGAGCCTTTCCCTTCTCCAGGGGATCTTCCCAACGCAGGGATCGAACCCAGGGCTCCCGCGTGGCAGCCGGATTCCTTACCAGCTGAGCCACCGGGAAAGCCTGAGGATTGTGAAAGCGCCTCATAAACGGCCCAGGGAAGACGTGAGGCACGGCCCACATTACTGCCCACAGCGAGCGCTCCAGTGTGGATGCAGGAGCGCCCCAGAGCCGGTTCTGGGCCGGGCTCCGCCACCGCCCGGGGTGTGACCTCAGCAGAGTCAGTGCCTTCCGGGGCTTCAGTTTGGGGCAAGGCTACAACCCGCCCTGGCCCAGCCCTGCTCTGGGCGCTCAGGAGAACCCCCTCCTGGTGGGACCAGCTGCCAGAGGAACCGGTTCTCTGTTCGGGGACGTGGCGAGTCCCTGGCTCTGGGAGACCCGGTTTTCTGTGCCAGGGTCCCCAGTGGGTGTGGACCCTGCGTGTGCAAGTGGAGAGCGAGAAAATGAGACACTAACACTGGGAATAGCATCTTCCAGCAAAAACTTTGATCTTTTTCTTCTATACACTCGCCTTTTCTGCTGCTGGAATTCATGAGGCAACAGACTGTGGAGACAGAAACAGGAGGGGGTGGCCCGGTCAGAGGCGGCCCGGGGAGGGGTGGAGTCACAGCGTGGGGATGGCTGTCCTTCCTGGGGAGCCCTGGCGAAGGTGCGGGGGTCCTCTGGGGCCGCAGGCGTGCGAGGTGGAGGCGGGTGTGGCGGCACCTCTCCTCACCCAGGCATCCAGGAGCTCTGCCCCCCACCCCGCCCCAGTGCCCAGGAAGCGGGGCTGGGCTCAGCCGGGAGCGCGGCCGCGGCTAGGTCACTGCAGTCGTGTCCGACTCTGTGACCTCACGGACCGTAGCCCGCCAGGCTCCTCTGTCCGCGGGGACTCTCCAGGCAAGAATACCGGACTGGGTTGCCATGCCCTCCTCCAGGGGACCTTTCCCGATCCAGGGATCGAACCCGCGCCTCTTACGTCTCCTGCGCTGGCAGGCAGGTTCTTTACCACTAGCGCCCCCGGGAAGAAGCCGGGGGCGCTAGGGACCCCTTCCCCACTCTCCCTGCCCTTCGCCTCGCTGCCTCGGCCCTAAGCCAGCAAGCCTGGGTCCCAGCTTCCCCTCCGAGCAAGGCCATCGAGGGGCTGTGGTGGAGGCAGCGGGGCCCACGAGGGCGCCTCCGGCTGAGACCAACTGGCCGGAGGCCTGCCTTGCTCCCGCGGACGTCACCGCACAGCCCGTCGGAGGGGCTGGCGCTGGAGCCGGCCGCAGCCCCGCCCTGGGGCCCCGGGCACTGACCCGGGCTTGCTCTTCCCTCTCTTGCGCAGCTCGGAGGCGGCGCCGTGCTCGGGGGGCGCCAGACCCTTGTCGGGCAGCAGCTTCCCGGGCGGGTTGGGCGGGACGCGGATGCGCAGGCGGAAGATGCACTTCTTCTTCTTGATCTCCTTGCCGCAGAGGAACCTGGGGGGTGGGCAGGGAGAGGAGAAAGCTCTGGAGCCTGTCCGTCCATCCTCCTGGGGAGGAGAGCCAAGTGTTAAAAACCTCCCTCTCGGCCTCCCCAGACCCAGAGCTAAAATCCAGAGCGGCCCGTGGAGACCACGAGTCCGCAAAGCCTGTGGGACGGGGGCTCAGGCGGCTCCCCCCCTGTCCTTCCGCATCTCGTGCGTCGCGCTCCTCCCCCCTTACTTCTCTGCCTCAACCAGCCCCCGGAGACCTCTGCCTGCAGGACGGCCTCACCCCGCTCCCAGGGGACCCTTATGGTGGAAACACAGGGCGCCACAGCCCTGCGATCCGGAGAGCTCCTGCACCCTTCCGTCACTGGCTGAGCTGCCTGGGGGCCTCAGAGGGGCCTCGCTGCAGTCCTACCCCCAGGAGACTGTCCACAGAGACAGCAGGAGGCCCCATGCGCTCAAGCGTAGGTAGGGATGTGTCTGGGCCCCAGAGCAGGAGCAGACGGAAGACAGAGTGGATAACCCTCTCTAGAGAGGCCTGGGGCAGTCTCACAGCAGTCAGGGACCGTGTCTTATTCACTGTGGCCTCAGCACCTACACAGGGCTGACACAGTTCAATGGACAGTCGCTGATGCCGCAGATGAATGAAAGGGACTGAGGAGCGTCTGGGGTGGAGAGTGAGCAAAATCACTGGGGAGGGAAGCAGAGGGTTCAGAGCGGCTGTGACTCAGAGCAAAGCACCGCAGGGCCCGTGGCGGAAGGTGTGGGCAGGATCTGATCACACGGGGCCCAGACTGCAGAGCTGAGGCGCCTGGGCGCTCCCTGTGGTGGGGACACGTGTGTCCCAAGAAGAACTCAACAGTCCAGATGGGAAGACAGGCTGGGGACAGTTAGGCGGCTGCAGCCCACCCGAGCTGATGCATCCAGGCCTCCGGGCCTGGCCCAGAAGCCCAGATGGCTAGAGCAGGCGGGCAGCCCCCTATGGAGCGGAACCCAGCAGCAAAAAGGGTCAGGCCGCTGCAGTGGTCAGGGGAGGCATCCCAGAGAAGGTGCATGCTCCCTGGATCCTGAACGATGCGTGATACAGTCACAGAGAAGCAGAGGGAGACCCGGAGGGGAGCACAGCTGGTACGAAGGTAACGAGGCAGGAAGACGCCTGAAATCCGGCCCATCGTTCCCGCCCGCCCGCCCCCACGCCGTCCCTTCCCCGTACGCACCGGCTCTTGTAACTGTTCAGTGCATTGAGGAGATGCGGTCCTCGGTCCGTCACAGGGGTGCTGGTGAGCTATGGGGGAGCAGACAGTCAGACCCGGCACGTGGCCTCCGAGAAGGCCTCAGTCCCTGTCCCCTCCTTCCCCTCGACCCTCGGATGCTCTGAGTCCTCTGGGTGAGGACCACTGACTTGTTCCATGATCTCAGACAAGTCTTTTCACCTCTCTGACCTCACATCCCCATCTGTAAATGAGGAGAATAACTCCTGTCGTAAATGTATCAAGAGCTTTAAAGATGTCCCTGCCCTTGGCCTCGTAGTGGTGCTTCATGGATCCTATCGTACTGACAGGACACAGGAACAAAGTTTTATATACAAAAAAGTCCACTGCAGCATGTTCCTAATGATGGGCAAATATGAAAAATGGGGGAAAAAAACTATATGCCCAGCAGGACGGAAACAAGTAAGTAAACTACGGAGGAAACCAATGCAGCCATGAAAAATGTTGATAAAAACTTTCATGATATGGAAAAGTATTTATGATATAATGTAAACTGAAAAAAACTGACTTAAATTTGTACATACCATGAGTCTGTTTTATGTACAGGTCTATTTATTTTTTAGATTCTACATATAAGTGACGTATTTGTCTTTCTCTGCCCGTCTGACTTCACTTGGTACGATATTCTCTAGGTCCATTCATGTTGCACTGCAAAGGGGAACATTTTCATCCTTTTTCATATTTACACGTCTTCTTACACCAATCATCCACTGGTGGGTACCTGGGCTGTTTCTGTGTCTTGGCCATTGTAAATAGTACTGCTATGACCACTGGGGTACATGTATCTTTTAAACTTAAGAGTTTTCATCTTTTCTGAATATATGCCCAGGAGTGGGGTTACTAGACCATAGGGTAGCTCTGTTTTTAGTTTTTAAAGGAACCTCCATACTGTTTTCCATAGTGGCCGCACCAATTTACATTCCCACAAACTTAAGGTTGGGCTTCCCAGGTGGCACTAGTGGTAAAGAAACCTCCTGCCAACGCAGGAGACATGAGAGTTTGATCCCTGGGTCGGAAGATCCCCTGGAGAAGGGCATGGCAGCCCTCTCCAGTATCCTTGCCTGGAGAATCCCATGGACAGAGAAGTCTGGTGGGCTACAGTCCATAGGGTTGCAAAGAGTCAGACACGACTGCACAACTTAGCAGGCATGCATATAAACTTACGGTTACCAAAGAGGAAAAGGATGGGGGGAGGGATAAATTAGGGGTGTTGGATTAACAGATACATATTACTACATATGAAACAGATAAGCAACAAGGATTTACTGTACAGTGCAGGGAACTATATTCAATACCTTGTAACAACCTAAAATGGAAAATAATATGGAAATATATACATAAATTATAACTGAGTCACTTTGCTGTATATACCTGAAACTAATACAATATTTTAAATCAACTCTACTTCAATAAAAAATGCAAATACTGTATAATCTCATGTAAAAAGAAAAACGTGTGCATTAGATGTCTCTGACTGGTGTGATGGAGGCATATGGATGGTTTTAGGTATACGTTCTTATACTTTTTGGTACTTTGAAAATTTTCTACCAGGAGCATGTAGGATTTTTTTATATATATAAATCAGAGAAAAAACTTGTTAAAAAAATATCAGCTCTACCTATCTTTTAGGGCTTGACATTAATAATATGTATGTCATTTATAAATTATCAAACACTGTAAATGAAGATGTTATTACACGAGAAACTTCTGCCAAGAATAAAGATTACTTAAAAAAAAAAATCCCTGTTTCACGAAAGGATTCAGGGCAGTCAGTGGAGAAGACGCCTCCCTCTGGGTGTGGTGGAGAGGGTCTGAGGGTGTCACAGAAGGCTGACCCTGCCGGGGAAGTGGTTGGGGAGGCCCTGGCTCAGCTCCAAAGCTGTGCGATCATCAGCGAGTGGCTCTCCACCTCTGAAATCCTGGGAGTCTCTGGTCTGTTGCTTCACTGTGTGACTCCCAGCTCCCCAGACTCCTGGTGAATAACCCTGAATACGCTGCTATTCAGAGTACGGCCAGCAGGGGGCAGGCCCACCTCACTTTCCATCCTAGCCAGGTAATTTGGAGTGAGTCATTGCAGAGACACCTTCTCCAGCCAGACTTGACCCCCAGCTCCCTACACCTGAGTCGGTGAGGCCCTAAGCCACCTACTACCAAAGCCTGGGTCAGGAAGCCCCTTGCAGGGCCCAGGCTCAGGCTCAGGGATACAGCAGTTCAAAGACTCAACCTTGGTCTCTACTCAGCAGCCCTCATGGACAGGCAGTGTTCCCAAAGAGCTGTGCTCGGAGACCCAGACCCTAGTTCTGCACTGTGTGACCCTGGGCACAGCCTTCACCCCTCTGGACTCAGGGCACCCCACTGCAGAAAGGATTCTCGCCACCCTCAGGTCCCGCGGCCGTGCATACCTTGCCAAGCTGCAGGAGTTCCCAGTGATGGTTGACGAAGGCCAGAATCTCCTCAAAGTCAAAGTACTTCTTCTTGCTCTGCACGCCCAGGTTGTAGAGAGCCAGGTGGACCACATCGACCCTGGGCAAGGGTGCGCGGAGGTGGGGCCGGGTAAGGCGGCAGCCCGGGCAGCCAGGCTTGCAGCGCCCTGGCTCCAGGCTGAAGGGCAGGGGCAAGGCTGGGATCTGGGGGCTGCAGGCAGGATTGTTCCTGGGGAGACGCGGGAGGGGAGAAGCGGAGAGGGGCCAGGAGGGGGCCCGGGCCAAGCCCCTCCCTCTCACCATCGCAGGGGCAGCCTCTCAATGTACTCGGGGCCCTGGTTGCACACGGAACAGAAGAACAGGTAGAACCTGTCGGGGGAGAAAAGGGGCCCAGGGGTGGGAGAGGCTCTGCCGCCCACCCGAGTCCGCACCCTCGCCCCCCACCTGCTGTCCACGGTCAGCACTGTCCTCATTCCCTCCAAGGAGGGGACAGAGAAGGGACAGAACAGGGACCAAGAGCTGTTCCCCCACCCCTGCCAACCTCTACCTCAAACCCTTCCCCAAACAGCTTTGCCCCGGACTGTGGCCGAGCTCAGAGCGAGCTGAACAAGGCTGGGCTGCAGGGACCCCCTCTTCCCCTCTGCCTGAGAGACACACGCACGTGCACCTACTTCAGTCACAAACCACACGAGACACCAACCAAGACACACACAACGTCTGGTCTGACACACACACGCCTGCCACTAGCTTGGCCCCCTTGTTAGAGGCCAGATCAAGTCATCCATCCTCGCTGTGGCTCCTCCAACAATCCTGGGCAGGGGTGGGGCAGGCCTGTGGCCCTCCTGCTTCCCAGACCCTTCAAGAGACTGGGGCTTGGGGAAGGCAGGGCTTTGTCTAGGGTCCCCCGCAAGTCAGTGGAGACTGGGGATGTGGTCCAGCCGGTCCTTCTACTGGGAAGACCTCCCAACCCTGAGCAGCCTCCGTAGACAGGAGGCTATGCTGTCCCGGAGCCCAGGTGTCTGGGGTCTGGCAGGCAATCTGAAGGAGTTGCTGCAGCTTCTGCCCCCGCCCCCACCACAACCCCGAGGCTGTCGGAGCAGACAAGCACCTACCGGTCCCCGAACATCATGGGCTCGTTGAGACACTGGGTGCAGGCCTCGTGGAACCACTGCCTGCAGCGGTAACACTGCAGCATCCGCAGGTACCACCTGGAGCCAGAGGAGCCAGGGTCAGCCAGGCCCACACTCCCGGCCAGGAATCGGCCTCAGCAACCTTCCCCAGCACAAACTTGCCCTCCAGCGAGGGAGAGGGAAGAGGACTCACAGCTACCGAGCCCCGGGCTGGGCTGGGGAGGCCCGAGCAGCAGGACGTAACATGGTATCATTTGCTCTCACCAACTGGTGAGAGGCCCAAACAGGGGCCTCTGTTCCCATTTTACAGATAGCCTGTTCAAGGTTACTCAGGAGGCAAGGGGAGGAGAGTGACTCAGATCCTCGCCTCCCTGACTTCAGAGCCCACGCTCCTGGTCACACACTGGAGCCCCCTTCTCGGTCTGTGCCTCACACACTGCTTCCCAAACACCACTGATGGGGAAAGGTTTGCCCAGTCCGTTTCATGGGAAAATAAAGGCTCCTGTGAGCCCCTCACCTGAGGCTGTATCCAACCTGTAACAACCATTCAACAACTACTCACTGAATAAGAATGAAAACCAAAAAGAGGTATTTTCTTAATTAACAAGAATAGGTTCACACCTTGACAGGTGTGGTCCATGGCCCACCTGCATCAGAATCACCTGGACTCTGGGTTAAAACGCAGGAGATTCCTGGACCTGTTCCAGGTCTACTCAGTCTTTGCGGCAGCCCCTGGGAGATGCATATTGGACAGTCACCTAAGCAACTGCCCAGTAATCATTGAGAACCACCGCCTCAGTGCTGCAAAGGTCTCTCTGTCTCCACCTGTTATCCCAAAGACCCCACAACACCCACAGAGGGTGATGGGGCCAAGGTGATTAATCTCACTTGAGAGATGAAGCACTTCAGGTGATTTGCCCAAGTCACCCAGCTAGGTCGTGAGCACAGCCTTCAGACCCCCAGTGGTTGTCAGCAGAACTTGGGGCTAAGACTCAGGACTTCAGGGAGCCCTGTGGGTTGTTCCCTGTGAGCACAGGTTCCATCTCTCTTCCTGTGGTTCCTCCCACCAGGCTGGTGCAGTCAGCCCAAGGGAGCCGGCTCAATCGCCCATGGCTACACGCAGGCCCAGGCCACAAGGAAGACTCAAAGGCGCCTGACCTACAGTCAGGGAGAGAACACCCTCCAGAGCATCCTCAAACGTGCCCAATCGCTGCTTGCACAGCTTCAGGGAAAAGGACCTTCACCTCTCACCAGCAACCTGTTTCACTGCTCCTGATGATGGAAAGGTTTATCCCAACGTCCATGCACCAACAGGAAGAGCTCACATTTATTAAGTGCTTACCAAGTGCCAGGCACCGTGTGAGCCTTTACATGAATGATCTAAGTCACGGGGCAGCATAGCTCTAAGGGGCTGGGAGAATGTGGACACTCGGGACCAGGCTGTTAACCACTGCTCCACACTTCCTTCTCTTCTATGGAGCCCCAAGAAAACCTCCGGCCCCAGCGCGCCCCGGCCTCCTAGGGCTAGCCTGTGGCTCTCCAGCCTCGAAAGCCTGTGGGAGGCTGTGGGCTCCTCTCCGGGGGCCTCGCTACCCCAGCCAGCCGCGCCCCGGCCTCCCTGGAAGACCACGCCCATTTGGGCCCCGCCCACCGGGAGGCCCCGCCCCACCGCCTTACTCTCCAGGCCCGCCGCAGTAGCAGTAGCATTGCTGCTGGTTGGTGCGGTGCGGGGAGTCCCACTCGAGCTCCTCCGGCTGGTAGGACAGCACCATCTTCACGGCCTGCAGCGTCCTGGCGATGGCGCCCTTCTTTAGCGCGCCGCCTTTCTGCGGGGAGATGAGGGCCCGAGTCACCCGCCCGGGGTCCCAGTTGGACCACACGTGGATCCCCATCAAGGCTATCAAGGTTAATGCCGGACCAGGTGGGACAAGCCTTTCCAATGTAGTCAGAAACGCAGAGCGTTTTCTCATCAATCTCAGATCCATCCTTTCTCTATCCCCCAAGGATCTGCATTTTCAATAGTATTAACAAGAATAAGCACACCAATAAAAGTCACAAGAGCCAATATATATCGACAGTGGGCGCTTACATGGATTTTTCTGTTATTAGCAACGCCCTATGTGTTGGGGGCCTCCTACGCCTGACACCAAACCTGTATCCATTTAGCAGCGGAGGAATCAGGCTCAGGGAGGCTAAGGAACCGGGCCAAGGGCATACAGCCGGTAAGCAGCAGCCGCCGTCTGCCTCCAAAGCCAGGTGCTGTGACCAGGAGTCAGGCCTGAGTTCAGAGTTTCCGGGCTTCCAGACTGCAGGGCGGGGGGGAGGGTGGGCAAGGTGGGAAGGATGGAGGGCTCACCCGCACAGCCAGCGCGAAGATGCAGCGTCGGCAGAACCAAGGTGTGAGCAGGGGCCGGTCGGCACTGCCCGCGATGGGGATGTGGCACTGCTGGTGGTAACCTAGCAGGGGGCAAACGAGGGCGGTGAGTGCCCAAGAGGGAGCAGGGAGTGCTAGGAGCCATGTGCCTGCCAGCTGCCTGGGTACTTACTGGCTGGCACAGCCGCCAAGATGGGGTCCGAGCAGGCCACTCAAAGCCAGCATGGGCCCAGCGCAGGAAGCACGCAAGGTCTGACTTCAGCCTCTGTGCTCCACCTCTGCTACCCATCCTCTCCACCCCCTGGGGCTCCAAAGCACCTAACTTCTCTCCCTTTCCAGAAGCCCCAGCTATCCCCCAGGATCACCTCCCTGGGCCCCCATTCCCAGAGACTGGCCCCTCGTCACTCTACCCCGCCAAGAGAAACAGGAAGCCAGCTGAGGCCCCGGGGATTGGACGTGGAGAGGTTCCCGAGCCAGCGGGGGATGGGGACCCCCAGGTCTGGTCACACTCACCCAGGCCGCACTTCCCACAGATGAGGATCTCGTTCAGGGGCCCTGATGTCTTCCCCAGGCAGATGTTGCATTTGGGCTCCTCCCCTGGAACACCAGCTGAAAGAAAGGGGCCCTGTGTGGTCAGCTTGGGTTCACGGGAATGACCGGTCTTAAAACCAGAGTCCAGGCGCCGAGCCTCTGGGTCTGAGTGCTGGGCCCCAGAGGCCGACTCACTGAACCTCTCCAACCACTGTGAGCTGCCTGTGACCAGTACCCCATTCTAAAGGTGGGGAAAACTGTGGTTCAGAGAGGTGAATCCCTTGCTCAGCTGGAAAGCAGGAGGAGGGGGATTCAAATCCACTGATGTTTGACATCAACTCATTTGATTTTTGTTTTGTTTTGGCCACACCTCAAGGCATGCAGGATCTTAGTTCCCCAGCCAGGGATGAAACCCACGCCCCCTGCATTGGAAGACCAGAGTGTTAACCACTGGACCACTAGGGAGGTCCCAAATAATTCGCTGTCTTTTTTTTTTTTTTTGTATTTATTTATTTGGATACACAGGGTCTTAGTTGCAGCATGGAGGGTCTTTTAATACTCATTGTGGCAAGGTTTCTCTTTTAGTTGAGGCATGTCAGATCTAGTTCCCCGAGCAGGGATTGAACCTCGGCCCCCTGAGTTGGGGGCATGGAGTCTTAGCCACTGGACCATGAGGGAAGTCCCCCAAATCATTTGTTCTTTTGATAATACCATGCTGACTCTCCTGCTTAATTTAACTTGATTTGTTGACGTTTTTTATGTTAAATAACTTTTAAACGTTTTTTATTATGGCATAATAATAAAATGTTATAGTGAAACTCCGTGTTCTTATCAACAGTCACAAACTCACAGTCTTGTTTTGACTATATTCCCACCCACTACCCCTCCTCTTTTATTGTGAATCAAGCCCCAAATACCCAATCATTTTCCATAAATATTTCAGTAGGCATCTCTGAAAGACTACTCCTCTCTCAAAGAAAAAAAAAAGAACTAGTGCCTCTATGGAACCCAAATATTAAAAATAATTTCTTAATATCATCAACAAATTCAGCGTTTGCATTTCTAATTGTCTCAACGGTCCATAACAATTTTAAGTTTATTCAATTGCTTTTACTCTACAGGTTCCCTCTTTTTTTCTTTGAAGTCTGATGTTACTGAAGAATAAACATGTGTTTGTGTGTGAAGGGTTTGAATGAATAAACTAAGTACGTTTTCATGTGTGTTTCAGTCTCATTTCCCTCAGCAGATGGAAAGTTCAGTAAGGACAGAAAAGGTATCTGTTCATCTGTGTCCCCAGGACCTCACATGGGTGTGGTGCATCACACGTGTTCAAGACATGTTTGCTGAAAAAATGGTCTCTTGCCTCTTATTCCTGAATATGATCCCAGGAAAATAAAGCAGTTACTTAAAAAATGAAAAGTTTGAATCTCAGGAATTCATGTAAAATCACATTCATATGATTAGAAAAGGAAATAAAAATAGGTCGGCTTATTATTGTAATTGTGTTACTTTCCATTCCTCTACTACTTATTAGATACTAAACGACCATTTGCCAGTTGACAGCAGTCATATTTCTCAAGAGTACCAAGAGGACCGTGGGGTCTCAGTAAGTCTCCACTGGCTTCATGAAGCCAGATCAGTACCTGCAGCGAGTTTGGCCTTGTGCTCTCATCCCGGCTGAATGCAGAGGGCCCTTGTCCTCTGTGAGGAGCAGCCCAGGACAGGAGACCCTCATTGCTTTGGATTTTGAAATAGTACATTTAAGGCTAAATAGTACATTTCGCCCTAGATGCTTCAAGGGCCTGGAGAAGCATCAGTCTGCATTAGCCACAACATCGTGTTGAAGAAGGCAACCTGGACACTCTTCTAACTGGCTGGATCCTGTGGCCTTTGCTTGGCAAGCTCCTGAAACCATCTCTTCAGGTAACAGATTCTTCAGAAACTGACTTCCTGTAACTCAACAGCGCTGGTGGTGGTGTAGTCGCTCAGTCGTGTCTGACTCTGAGACCCCATGGACTGTGGCCCGCCAGGCTCCTCTGTCCATGGGATTTCCCAGGCAAGAACACTGGAGCGGGTTGCCATTCCCTTCTCCAGGGGATCGTCCTGACCTAGGGATCAAACTCATGTGGCCTGTGTCTCCTGCATTGCAAGTGGAATCTTTACTGCTGAGCCATTGGGAAAGCCTGGTCCAAGGAATGTCGGGCCCCAAAACCTGCCTCTTCCTCACACAGCACCGTGCCAGTCCTCCTGTTAGAGCATGCACGGCAACAAGCTCTGTTCTCACATGGTAACTCACTGGGAGTGGCTGCCTGGCACTCCATGTTGAAAATGAGTGTTCTGATTGATCAGTGATGTCTGTCATGTACATGGCAGGGGAGAACGGTGGCAAGGATGCCGCCAGTTTGTCATCTCTGTAAGACAGCGTCAGCCCTCTGAGGGCAAGGGATGATACCCAACCCAGCTCCCTTTCAGCCCCGGAAACGGGCCCAGCTCCATCCTGCTACGTCCATCATCACCCTGCCTGCTCCAGACTTGTTGGGTCTTTCCCCCATGGAGAGCGCTGCCTCCTAGTTCTTTTAACATGCTGATAAGAGGACACTGTGCTTACATTGAAAGGTTTCAATTCTGATTGCCTGGGCCCCTTCTGTTCCTAGCCCCAGAGTGACCCAGAGCTTTGGGCAGCCAGGAACACAACCCTGCTCTCCCACCCCTCCTCAAGCTGCCTTCTCCATCTGCCTGCCTCCCTCATGAGGTACGAATACTCAAGAGGATGACAGATGTCATAAATGAGTTTTCATGTAAATGTACAACTGGTAATCTCCAAGGACAAGGCCAGATGCCAGAAGTTAAGAGACAGAAGGAGAGAAGGAAAAAAAAATGGAGGTAGGAGAGGAGACTGGACCAGGGGTGGGGCAGGGGTGCCTGAAATCACAGGAATACTCACCATGCTGTATGTCCTTCCATAAGACCCAGTATTTGGAATTATCTTCAAAAGTTACCAGGCAGCTCTGCTTAGAACTGCTGACCTGGAGCAGAGAGAGGGAGAAGCAGTGTGAGACAGTAGCTGGGGAAAAGCTGCTTGAACAGCGTCTTCCTCTCCCATCTCTGCCCTCACAGGGCAGAGAGATTAGACTCCTTCCTTGTGCTCCAAGAATCCACCTGCAATGCGGGAGACCTGGGTTTGATCCATGGTCTGGGTTGGGAAGAGCCCCTGGCGGAGGGAAAGGCTACCCACTCCAGTATTCCGGCCTAGAGAATTCCATGGACTGGAATAGCCCATGGGGTCACATAGAGTCACTTTGTGCTCCAAAAAGTAGAGCCAGGCCGGAAGGAGATTGGCAGTCCTGAAGGTTGTGCACGCCCACTCTCTGGAGTTGAGCAGCGAGGGGCTAGGCGATGGCAACTTGGTGGGAATACGGAGGCCAAATGATCACCTGTGATCTCTCCAACCTGATTTTGTTTTGTTTTGTAGGCTCACAGAGCACTTGAGCCTTGTGCTCACTAGAGCACTTGTCTAAAGATGATGGCCCTAAGGATGGCACCTGCTTTTGGAAGCTCCACCTCATTCCACTTTCAGGTCTGGAGCAGGAGGGCACGGCAGGAATCTGCCAGCAATCTCCCATCCTCCACCCCTGGTCTGCGTAGAGAGATGCTGAGCCTGGGGAACTGGGGCCAGGGAGGAAGGCTTTACCCTCTTGATCTTCCCAAGATAATACAGTCCATCTGTCCACCGGCACAGCACATACTGGCCCTCCGTCAGCTTGGACATCAGGTCTTTGAAGTTGTTCTTGGCTTTTGCCAGGGCCCCCTTGTTAGGGAGATGGCTGGTGGCACCATAGGAGTCCCGAGTCCCTGAGTCCAGAGCTCGATTCTCCATCAGCTTCCACTGACACTGGAAGAGAAAGGATCGGGTTTTTACTCCTTACTTTAGGAGAGAGGGGAGAAAGGAAAGCAGCAACCATGCATGTAACCTGCGCTGTGCCAGATGCTTTTATCATCTCACTGGATTCTCGTGACAACCTGCGAGGTTGTCACTGTTATTCCCATTTTACAGGTCAGGAAACTGAAGTCTGGCAAGCGGAAGTGACTCTGGGGTCAGAGGCAGAGCCATGGTCCATAACCAGGTGAGCCGATTCTAAGTCCTGCACTTGCCCCACCCCTACCACAAAGCCTTGTACAGAGAACGGCTCTTTCAACCAAACGCAGAGCAAAATCCCCCTGCCCAGGTGTGTGTGTGGGGGAGATCTGAACCATACCCCCTGGCTTTGGAGCCAGAGGTTTTATCCCTAAAGCAAATATGCCCCGTGTTCTCTGAGTGGAGGGCTTTCTCCAGGAGAGCAGTGGGAGGTCTTCAGACCCCTGCCCCCTCCTGAGAGCTATCCAGAGAAAACTCACCTAGAAAGTAAAACTGCTGGTGGCTTATGAACTGGTATAGACTTGGCCATCTGTGTCTTCCGTAATCTCCTTTTCTGTTCTCAATTATGGGATGATTTAATGGAAACCAATGCTGGGACATTTAAACTCACTTATGCTTTTACTCAGATGCAAATTGGCTCCAAGCAGTGAAGTCATCACCATGCCAACCTCTCTACTTCTGTCTCTCACCATTCTATGAAACCCACTGCTCCCGCTGCTTCCCCACTTCCTGCTAACGGTACTACTCTGGTCCCCAGAACACCCCAGCATCTTTGACTTCTTCAACCGATGGTTGCCACAACCAGCCAACTTCAAGCACAGTGATTTCTGGCTTCCTCTTGTCCGTCTCCCTGGCCTGGTCTGAGTTCAGGCCTCATTCTGCCTGGGCCATTCATTCATTCATTCATTCAATGAGTGTTTCATGCTTACTCAGCTGCTGAGCACCTGGGATGCAGAATGGTACCACCGAGGCACAGCACAAAACAGGCCACTCCCTGTCTTCCTGCCTCCCCTGCAGACTCCTCCCCAGGGCCAACAATTCCCATCTTCTTCTTCTCCCAGAAACCTTCTGTGGCTCCCCAAAGTCTTCAGTGGCCTTCAAAGCCCCCTCCTCCTCGATCTGGGCTCACCTGGCTCCAGTCCTCTCCGCTAAACCAAAGCATAGCCCTCTGTTCCCTGCACGCGCTATTCCCGCCCCTTCCTGGGCGCCTGGCGATACGATTACCTGTAGATTACAGGGAGACAGTCGTGTGTGTTATTTCCGTGTGAGTGCGTGTGTGCTCCTGTGAGCCGGTGTTTGATGCCCACAGCCTCGTGGCGGTGAGTATAGGAAGCGGAGCACATGTGTGTGCATGTCAAGGGCCCCGGGGCACGCAGGGCATTGCTGGTGTCTTCAGTCTCCAGATGGTGGCGCGGCCGCATCCTCTTCCCTCCACCGCTCCCCCCCTCCCCCTCCCAATTCCTCCCTCCTCTCCAGGGCACAGCGCACAGGCGCTGGGCAGGGTGTGCGGTCCAAATCTCTGCCTTCTCCCTGCCACCTGGCTGCCGGGCGCTGCAAGGTCCTGCCCCGCCGGGCCTGGCCCGGGCCCGCGGCAGGTTCACAAACTGACACTTCCTCCCCCGCCGCGCCGTTGGGAGCAGGCCCAGTCGCCGCACCCGCCTCCCTGACCGGGCGGGGGCCCTCGGGTGGCGGCCCCCCCCTCCACCCGCGCCTCCATCCTCCCGGAGCGGGCCCCCGCGGGCTGTGATTGGCTGATTCAAACCCATCTGCAAAGAAATGCCTGTTTGCGGGTTCTCGGCGGCGTCCAGTTCAAATCCGCGGCACCCGGAGCGCGGGGCCGGGCGGGGGCAGGAAGCGAGGATGATTCATGCGCCGGGGCCTCTCCCAGGGCGGCCGTTGGCTTTTTAAAAAGGGTGTTCGGGAGGGGAAAGCGCTTGCAGAAGGACCCCCCTTCGGGTTCAAGCGCTCCGATCTTCAATCACTCCGACGCCAGGCCTCCCCCCATCCCCATCCTGCTGCAGCCTGACTTCGGACGTGAGCAAAATCCCAAACGGCCCCGTCGGTCTCCAGGCCCGTCCCCCCCCCAAACAGGAAAAGTAAAGATTTGGGGCACGGGAATAGCGACCTGTCACACACGCCCCCCCCCAAAAGGCTCGGGGACCCGGGCGGGGCTCCTGCCGCCCCGTGGACACCGTTCACCCCTCTCCACCACCCCCCGCCCCCCAGGCGTGCATCTCCCAGGACTCCAAAACCCCTCCCCGCCCCAAGGCGTTTGACCCGCCAAAGTCCAGGGAAACTTCCAAAAGAGGGATGACTGCAAGCAGAGGCGAGAGTGGCGAGGAGTCCCCGGCCCGGGCCGGCCGCCTGCAGCGCTGAACTTACCGCGAGGCTGCGTGTCCGCCGGTCCCACTTGGAGTCTGGCCACCAGGCGCATCGGCGGCGGAGGCGGCTGCGCTCGGCCCGCGGCTGCCCGGCCGAGTGTCCGCCCGTGGGGCCGGGGTCGGGGTCTCGGCGGGGGCGGGGCGGGGCGGGGGCGCCGCGGGGAGGAGGGGGGACGGAGGAGGAGGAGGGAGGGGCCGGGGCGCTCAGGAAGGGGCCCCCCGGGCGCGGGGCGCCATCTTTTTCGCGTTTTCCCGCGAATTATTGACGTCCCGCTTATGTAATTAGCGGGGGCCGCGCCGGCCTCGCCATTGGAGCCCGCTGCCGCGGGGCCCCGCCGCACCGCCCGCCCGCCGGCTCGCCCGCTCCCGCCCCCGGGCCGCCCCCGCGCCGCGCCCCGGCCCCCGCCCCCGCCCCCGCGGGCGCGCATCCTCCGCCACCGCGCGCCGGGCGCAGACACGCGGCGCGGGCGCACACGGACGCGGGGCCCCGGCTCGGCCACTCTGCGGAGGCGCGCGCGCGCGGCGCCCGGGGCCGGCACACACTTGTCGAGGAAACCCAGCTCTGCGCGCCGGGCGCAGACGTCAGCTGGCGGGGCACACAGCGGGGAGGTGCGGAGGCGCAGGGACGCGCTGCCCAGACAGACCTGGAACAACCCAAACGGGACTCGCACAACAGAAACACACAAACGTCCTGCGCTTGCAGCGGAGAAGGCCCGCATACAGACACAGCGCATGGCACAAACGCAAGCTGAACACACATGATCTACACAACACAACACACGGTAAAGAGTCTAGACACAGATACGCAAGAGTGTACACAGCGTAGACACACAACAAAACAGACATATAAAGCAGACAGGCATAGAGTCACGACACAGTAACACAGACGCACCAGAGAACTGCAGACCAACAACAGACTGCACAAAACGCGAAGCGGAGAAACGCAACACACAGATACAGTTGGAAACACCACCCTCCCCCCGAACACACACACACACACACACACACACACACATTTGAATAAGTGGCACACGGTGAAAGCGCATACAGAGTCGTAGGAATAGCGGATTGAGGCCAGGGGCATGGCTCCAGTCATTATCGGTCCTGGCCCTGGGGACGATGGGCAGAAATGTCCGCATCCGGACCCACTTTCGGGGGAGTGGGCCTTGGGCTGGCTGGCTGGGTCTGCCTTTGTTGTGCATAAGGCAGAGATTGCAGTCGCCAGCTCCACTACGGGGCTGTGGGACCCTGAGCAAAGCACCTCAATTCAAACTTCAGCCTCCTCGTCCAGAGTTGTTGGGAAGGTTGGGGTTAATGTATGCAAAGCCCTCGGCAGCCGGTGGGTGTGCAATAAGTGATTACTGTAGCGTTGCCAAGCGATCACGTACTCACTGAGTGCCCCCCTCCCGCAGGAGGGGGGCTAGAACTGGGGGCAGTGGGACTCAGTCTCAAGGGGGAGTCAGGGGCTGGTCCAGGCAGCAACGGCACAGGGCTATAAACATGAGCGGCGTGGTGCGTGCAGCTGCGTGTGGCTTTGGAGGAGTCCTGGCTTCAAGTCCAGCTCTGTCTCTGAGCCAAAGCGAGATGCTGGGTGAACCAGTGCCCTGGGAATCCACATTCTCTGTCTGTTCAAAGAGGGTAAATGACTACCCTGTCCCACAGGACCACTGCAGAGATGAGGCCCAAACAGCGCTATAAAAAGCTGTGCTTTTGTAAATGAAAAAGTAGTGGGCAAAATGCAAAGTTGCTTAAACGCGACAAAAGGAGAAATAAATGCCACTAGAAAGGTATAGTTTCACCTGTGATTCAGAGGCAAATCTAGCTTTGAGTTGAGAAGAGAGGATTGCAGAAAAGGTGGCATTCAGATGGAATGTGGAGATAGGAGGGAGGCATTCCAGGCTGGGGGCGTGGTGCGTGCTGGAGGCCTGGGACTGAGCGAGTTGGGTGTCCTTTGGGTTGGAGTTCAGGGTGCACAGGTCAAGCCTGGAGGAGGAGGAGCTGCGTGTCCTGGGCTGAGTTTGGTTTTCAGCCCACAGGAGATTCAGGGCCACTGAGCAAGGTGGTCAGCTGTGCATGTTCTAGAGAGAGCCGCAGGGAGTTTAGAACAGGGAAGGGCCATGAAACAGCCTGCTTTGGGAGGGTCTGGCAGAAGTAGGTTGAAAGTGTGGACAAACGAAAGAAACACAAATAATCACTTTTTAAAAATGGGTTAAGGGTATCAACAGGCAATTCACAAAAGAGGAAACCTCGGTGGCCAAAAATATGAAAAGATGTTCAGCTTCACCGGTCATGGGAGAGATGCAAATGCCAAAAGCTGTGAGATACCGTTTCGCGTCCACCAAACTGGCAAGCGGTCAGCAGTCTCTCAGTGTGGGAAAGGGACGAAGGGGGAGAGGATGTGGCTCCCTGGGAACCCTGTACCATCTTGATGGAGAAGCGAAAGTGTGCAGCTTCTCTGGAGAAGAAGTTTGGCAAATTCTAATAAAGTTGAATATGCTCTTATCTACCGTTTAGTGACTTCCCTCCCCTCACTCAGCATGTAGTTGTAAAAACTGAGGAATTGATTAACTGTCCATCAACAGATAGATAAATGTGATCTATTTGTGCAATGGAATAATATACTGGGAGGGAAAAGAAACTCAGGCTATAGCCTCAACATAGATACACAGTCTGGAAAAGTGGTAGATACAAAAAGTTTTTTTTAAATTCAAAACTATGCTACATATGTATTTTTAGGGATACAGTCAGATAGTAAGTGTTAAAACATGCATAGGAAATCAAAGATACTAAATTTAGAACAGCAGTTACCTCTGGGTAGGGAGGGATGGGAATGAGATCAGAAAGAGGAACACAGAGGATTTAATCTGTACTGTTCTATTTTTCAGGAAAAAAAAATCTGCAGCATATATGGCAAGGTGTCAAGACGTGGCAAAGTTGGGTGGCTTGTCTGTAGTTCTTTGCACTGATCCTTCTTCTCAACTCCAAACCTTTTTTCCTCTATTTTCTGTGTGCTTGGAATATTTGGCAGTTTTAAAGACGGGATGTGCAGCGAGGTTACAGCAAGGGAGGTTTGGTCTCAGCACTAACCTGTCACGTGTGCTGGGCCATCAGAGCTCCCAGAGTCCTGACATGAGCGTGGTGACGCAGGCACGGCAGGCCCTGGATCTGTCCCCCGGGGACAGAGGCTTGGAGAGATGGGGTGCCTGCCCCAAGGCCACACACAGCAGGGAGGCGTCCTCTTACCCTCGGCTGTGTCTCAGGGGAGACCGGCCAAGGCCGAAGAATGTCAGGGAGAGGGCTCCCACCTTGCGGAAATCAGTCTTCTTCCAACTGCTGGCCATTTCTGTTTTCGCTTCCAATTAAGGACACCTCGGAAAATATTAAAAAAGGACAAGGGAGAAAATGAAAGTGACTTGTGCTGTTCACTGTCTTATTTTTAAGTTTATTTATCGCTTTTGGCTACGTTGAGCCTGTCTTGCGGTCTGTGAGCTTCTGTAGTTGTGGCACGTGGGCTTAGATGCCCTGAGGCTTGTGGGATCTTGGCTCTTGGATCAGGGATTGAACCCCCGTCCCCTGCATTGGTAGGTAGATTCTTTACCACTGGACCACCAGTCAGGTCCCTGCACTGTCTTACTTTTTAATTCAGCCTTATTGAGGTATATATCACCGACTCAATGGACTTGAGTTTGAGCAAGCTCCAGGAGATGGTGAAGGACAGGAAAGCCTGGCATGCTGCAGTCCATGGGGTCGCGAAGAGTCAGACACGATGGAACAACAACAAAAAATAATTCACATAAAATAAATTCACCTACTTTAAATGTGCAACAGTCTCTTCATTCTAGAGGACATGATTGGTTTGGAAATATTTGAGTACTAGCCCACTCAGCATGTATGGAAGTGCTCTTACAAAGAAGAAAAATGCTTTTCATGAATTTGAACAATTATGATTCTAATAAAAGTTTTGGAAATAATTAAGATACAGTTGTTTCCATCGTTGAAAGTGGGTGGGCGGCAGGGTGGGTCTGCGTTTTATTGCCTGAATTTGGGGGTCAGTTTATAATGGCCTCGGCAGGGAGGTGCTGAGAGCTTTCAAATTATGGTAGAAAGGATGATTGTTAACACCATTTAAATTCTTTTTTTTAAAAAAAGAAACAATTGACAGGGCTAGACTGTGGCCTGTGGAAGTGCCTGTGGCCTCAGATGGCCTCCAGGCCAGAAACAGCTTTACCTGTGGCCTTCGTGGGGGAAACGAGACATCAAGGGTCTGTCCTCTCCGTGAGCCCAGGAGCACCTCCGCTGGGGTGCAGCAGATCTTGGGGCCCCACCCCGTGCCTCCTAAGCTTGTGGTGGAACCAGGGGTGGGTCCCTTCTCTTCTCTGGATTGG